TTTGGTCCGTCATATGGCCCATTCAATAAATTTAACTGAGGATGATTTGAAATTGATTCGAGTGGATTCGACTGATAATGGTGATTTATTTGTGGTTTCATGTACCGATTTTGCATATGAGGAATTGGTGAGGCGAGGTAAGTTATTCTTAAGGTTTTTTGATTATTTTTAATTTTGGTTTTATTTTTTCATTTTTTAGATCTAAAGTTATTGTTTCATACAATGGTAATTGGTTTGTTTCAGAATCTTGATTTAATACAATGTGGACGTTGTAAACGGCGTTACCCAGTTACCGTTGGCCATCAATGTATAAATGAGACGTTGTGTGAGAGGTGTGGAGATAGACAACACGGCTTGTGTCGGCGGTTGTACATTTTTTGCGTCAATTGTGGTGGAGAACACAGTCCTGATACGATCCATTGTAATTTGTTTTTAAGAGATATTTTGCGGGGATTTGCTGTTTACGATCGTTATTTAGACAAAGTCTTTCTCGATTCTACTCGATATATTGGTGACAATGTAAGTTTAGATAATTTTATTTTGTTTTTTTTTTTTTTTTTTTTTTTTTTGTTAATTTTCTTTATTCTTTTTTTCAGAATTAATTGTGAGTAAAGACTTGTAAATTTTCGAAGTATTTCTTTTCATTGGTGGTCACAAGGATGAAATTTCTGTCGGTGTTAAATGATTCAATTGGTCTCCTTTCGTAATTTGGTATTTTTTCAACTTCATATTTTCTATCAAAAACTCGAGAAGTTCTATTTGGTTTCTTAGATTGGATTTGTTTAACATGACGATAATTCGGCAAACATTTCTGTCGATCCTGATGTAACAGTCACTTGTTTCAAATTCAGGGAGATCAACTGGACCTTTGAAGATGATGAAAACATTCACTGAATTAATAATGTTGACCATTAATTTATCACTTAGGAAAAGCATTTTTGTAATTTTTAATGTTATCAGTTCAAAGAACGAGCATTAAATTAGCTTCAACTTAATCAAGGTAACAAATGATAATAAAAATTAACCAGTTTGCGATTCGAAAATTGAGACATCTGGTGGTCAGAATTGTAACTATTTCGGCGCCATCTTGAATTGTTGAGTTTTTATCTTTCATTTGATTGTCAAACAATTAATTCTGTTAATTAGTTTGGAAAGTTATTTACACAAGATTAACATGATTGGTAATGTTAAATTGTTTCCTTTGTTGTTGATTGTTGGGGTAACGTTGATTACTTTCAATGAATCTTTCAATTTTCAAATTATCTTTCAAATCAATTATCAACTTGAGAGATACTTGATTGAGACTTTTAATTGTTGCAAAGTGATTAGTGTAACAATTAAAAGATTGGGAGAATCGAGAGGAGGAAACAAAAGTCAGTAAAAAAAAAGAAGGTGAGAAAATAATATCGATTTTTGGGTTTCGTGGTAATTATGACAATTCCAATCATTTTTTTCAGGGTTTTTTTTGTTTCTGTTTGATTAATTTACTTTGATTTTGTTTATCTCTCGATATTTCTAAATCTTTCCATTGGTTAATTAGTTAATTTAACAATCAAAATGGAAATATTTCTCAATGTGAGAGAGGAAATTACGATCAACTCCTTTGATGAAGAAAAGATTCCGTTGGGTAAGTTTTAGATCTTTAACTTGGGTTACATCTTTGTCTCGAATTGAGGAAACGACAATTTTCTCGACCGAATGTTGTTTCAATGGACCTTCGTCAGTTAAATCAACTGACCCATCGAAAGTAATTACAATTGAGTATTTGTAGGGTTTAATTTCAGCTGAAGGTAAACAATTAAGTGTTGATTGTCTCATTTTGGTCAATTCTTCTCCAACTTTATCGAAAGTGTTTCCTGTTTTCAAAATAGAGTAAAATTTTCATTCTATTAGTTTAAAGTTTGCAATATTGAAACAATTAAGTTTTTCTTTGTCATTTATCATTAGTTACCTGAGATCTTGTAGTGTTTATCTTTGTAAATTACTCGATTTTGAGGATAAATAAAGAGTAGAAATTGGATAAATTCGGTCGGTTTAATTACGTGTGATAATATGAATGGTCTCTTGAGTTCTTGATTAGCTGGTTTCTTTTGGAAATTACTTCCGGATTCATCTGAATCAGTTCCAGGGATGTTAAGGATAAATAGGACTTCTTCAGGGCGTTTGTAATCATTGTCTTCGAGAATTGAGCCAACTAGAGATTCTAATTCTACCACTGATTGTGGATAATATTTCGGGTCTATGGTTCCGGATTCTCGAAGATTTTTCCCTTCTCCAAAGAAAAGATATTCTTGAAATTTCAGCCATTTCCAGACAACGAACACCGATAAAATGTTGACCTTTTCGTTCTTCCTTTTTATATTTTATCCTAGAAAGAAAAATAACAATTGGTCAAGTATAATTGTAATAACGTTTAGAAAAAAAAAAGGTTTAACATGATTAACTTACTTCCAATCTTTAAGTTGGTCAGTTAATTCCTTGGTTAGTTCAGATGACCAAGGATATTTTTGCCACATTCGAGGTATATGTTCAATGTAATCATGTAATGGTAATCGTTTGATGAGAATCTTCAAAACATCAACACTGTAAATACGAGGTTTAACATTGTAACAAAGGTCAAGTCCAATTTCATTGATATAATCTTGAGAATTAACAAAATCTAGCCAATCCTGACGATCATCGATTGTCCTTAACTGGACAAGTTTATCGACTAGTGATCTTTTCTCAGGAGAAACTTTGGTTGGATCATAAGGGAAGCCCATTAAAAGTCTAAGAATACCATCTGATTCAGAGACTGGTATTTTCCAGTGAACGATTATATCCCGATGTCTCCAGGCCAATCGACGTTTAACCAAAAGTAGATCTTTCAATAAGTCAGAATCTTGAGAGTGAATCTTATACCATGCAATCAACACTCGGCGGGAACACTGGTGACTTCCTTTCACTTTCTTCAAATAGTAAGCAAAGAGTAAAAGCTCAGACGAATCACGGATAACGGAAAGAAACACTTTTGGTAAAACTGGCCTGAGAAGAGAACAAGTGTAAATTCTGTATAAAAGATAGGGAATTACACCAGCAGGAGAAGAATCAACATTCTCAACGAGAGTAGAAGCCATTCGGGAGATAATATCCTCTTTTCGTTTTGTATCCTGATGTTTATGAAAGAAAAAAAAAATTAGTAACCAACAACAATATGGTACAATCATTTTAAATTTACTTCTTCGTCTTTACTTTTGTCCAAGACTTCAATAGCTGCTGATAAACACCTTAAGCATTTAATTTTATATTCTTCAATATATAAACGAACATTTGTCTCCGTTAAGAACCATCGGTTAATTGATTGATTAGAACATGATTTATAATGAGTTTCAGTACCAAAGAGAATGAATCTTTTAAATTGTCCAAGTTGAAAGGTTATGTCAACCTTTTTATTCACGTTTGGCTTGATCACCTCAACAATATCATCATTCTTTGAAGGTGATGACAATTTATTGTCATCACATGAAACAGTTAATTCTGATGGTGAATTTTTCTCCGGTAATTTGGTGGAATCGTCAATTCCCATGATCACTTAATGAAGAAGAAAAAAAGAAGCCAAAGAATAAATAAAATCAAAGAGAATCGAATGAAATTAAAATTAACACAAATGGAGAATTCAAGTAAACACAAACCACCAGAATAAAGAATCAATTTTTCAATTTGAATTGATAAAAATACTCCAATTAATTACCGAAATTAATTAGACAAAGAAAAAGTGATTTCTATTGTCAATTCAACAAAAGAAATTGAGTAAACAAAACCGAAAGAATTTTTTCTATTCCAACATCAGATGTCGCTCTTCACCGATTCTTTTTTAATTCTTTTAGGAGATTAACCTTAATCACTCGAGATTAATTGTAATTTAATTAATTTTACCTTAGAATTTAAGATTAATTTTTCGTTAGTGTTGTTCGCCTTTTCCCGAGGATTGCGATCATATCAAAATTATGATCTTTCTTTCACTCTAAATTATTCCCAATCTCCAAATTGGACATCAGGATAATCTTGCTGACCAAGACTCGATTAATTTGATTATTAAGCTTTTAATTATTTTCTTTAGCTATTAATCTGATATCAATTAACTAATTCTTATCTTAATCATGGTTAACTCTCAGTCAAAATCTAAATTGTATTGATGAGGTTTCATACTTTTCACTTAAAGTTGCACTTTGGTGTTAATTGAATTTTCTCAATGTTTACAATTAAAAATTAATTTTTCTCTACAATTTCTTGGAATCTCACATTTTAAATTGTTACAATTTACTCACTAATTGTTATTCTATCAAGATAACTCCCCTAATGTAACAAAATATTGATAATCACTTTACACTAATCTGTTAATCAATTAATTTCTCTCTATAATTAGCCTCATTTGTTTGTTGAATTTACAACAATCAACTAAAAAATATTATGAACTCGCAATCAATTAGTTAACGAGTAATCAATTTGATTTGATTTCTTAATCTTAACTCTTTCTACTAACCAATCTGATTAATCCAATAACCAATTAAGCTAAATGATTTGATGATTTCCTAATACAATGATTAAGTCACAAAAACTAATCAAGTTTCCATAATAACAATTATTTAACTACCAAAAGCTAATCAAATAATTGCTCGCCCATTATTAAATCTTAAATCCTTCATCTAATTTAAATTGCTCCATAAAAAATACTAGTAATTAACAATTAAAATCTAATCATGATTCCTAATTGACATATAAAGAAATTAAACTAAACCGTTTTTTTGTTATTCTAAAACAGATTCATCATTAATCCTCTCAACACATTTAACAAAATTATGTACATGAATCATGCATGTTCATTAAGAAGAAATGTTTTTTTACTCATCAACAATTAAATCTAATTAATGAGTTAATTTAATTGTCCAAAGAAAAAGAACTTAAGTAGCGACATCTAGCGAAAAATTTTAGAACTTGAGTTTTGTTTACTCTTTTTTTGGAAAATCCAACAATTGAATTGATATTTTTTCCTCCTCATTAAAATTAAAAGATTTAATTGCTTATCGATTTTCTTGATTAAAAGGATTAATCTTTATTTAGAAAGTGTGACAATTAAATCTTATAAGTTTTCTAAATTCTGTTGGAACAAAAAGAGAAACGAGTTGGAGTGAAACAATCGTTTCCACATTCATCTGTTTATTGGCTTCTTTTTTTTTCTATTTTTTTCTATTCTTTTCTTTTCATTCTCAAGCTAAACTTTTTTTTTCTTCTGTTTATTATTCCATTGATATAATTTATTACCATTTATCGTATTTAGTTTATATATTTACACTTGTTCACGATTATATCCGATTGTCTTCATTACTCTGTCTTGAGATTGGTGGATTTACTCTTGTTTTGGAATCTGTGGTGAATATTATTGTTTTTGTCCCTTCTCTCTTGAAGCTGCTTTTTTTCCCCTTCATCTTCTGGTCTTGGTCTTGATCTATTGTTTGGTCCAGCCAGAAATCACCATGGCTTCTTCAACCGAAGACCAATCTCAAATGTCTATTCTTTCCGATGTATCCAATGGAAAAATGGTTGAATCCTCTTCAAGCAGTTCATTAACAATCAACCAAGATGGTGACTGTCAGAGTCAATTATCACTGAGCACAAGTTCATGTTCTGAGATTAAAATTGCAGATTCAAGTGAACAATCAATCAACAATCTAGAAACCTCACAACCAACCGTCAGTGGAAATGGTAAAATGTTTGCCATTAAAATTTTACGTAAACCACCAGTGTCTCGAGTAACAATTTATGTCACCCATGATTGTGGACCTGAATGTCTTGGAGAGGAGAAACGACTTAACGATATTAAAGGAGTCAAATTGTCCACTCATTGTATATTAATTAATCGAGTTAATCCTTACTGTGTTCCTATTTTCCTTGGTTGGAATAGATCTAAACAAGAAGGTTGGATTGTCTATACATCTCCATGTGGTAAACAATTAAATTCACTTCGCCAGGTTTACCAATATCTCCTAAAAACTGAATCTGCTCTTTCAATTGATCAATTTTCCTTCCATAGTCAATTAAAATTACACACCAATCGGGATATGTTCAAAGTAAGTAGAGAGAGAGAGAGAGAGAAAAACAAAGATAAAATTGATTCTTCTACGAGATTAACAAGATTCTAATATATTTTTTATTTCCTCTATTCTAATTTAGGCTTATACTTATTTTGCTGATATTACCGAGGGTAAAGAAAATGTTCCAGTTGCAGTTGTAAATGAAATTGATTCTAATTTACCAGTTGGTTCGTTTGTTTATATTTCTGAACGAATTGCGGGAAAGAATGTAAATTTATCAAGTGATCCAGAATTTTTGTCTCACTGTATTTGCCAAGATAAATGTAAAAACAGCGATGAATGTAGTTGCCATGGGCTATCTCGTGATGAGGCTTACATGATCTCTGGTCTTGATTCTGTTAATCAAGCTGGTTACAAGTATAAATCATTGAACAAAAAACTGGCCTCAGCTGTTTTCGAGTGTAATTCCCAATGTAAATGTACAGTTCGCTGTTTAAATCGTGTCGTACAAAATGGAATCAAACATTGTCTACAAGTATTTAAAACACCTAATCGAGGTTGGGGTTTAAGGTGTTTACATGATATTCCTCCGGGATCGTTTATTTGCCTCTATGCTGGTGAGATAATTGATTTTGATACTGTTAACGAATCAGATCGGATCAATGATTATATTGCTGCTCTCGATTATATTGAAGAGGGTCGTCGTCCAAAAAGAGACTTTGATACCGCATCGGATGCTGATTCTGTTCTTGATTCCGATTCATCTTCATCAGAGGAATTGTCAAGTTGTGAAGGGATTTCAAATTCTTCAATTATTGATGATTTAAGTGATATCGATGAGACTCCAATTGAGAATGAATCAACACCATTAGTTGAAGGAGAAGGAGAAAAGGAAAAAGAGAAAGAAAAAGATGAAGAAGAAGAAGAAAATAAACCAAATTGTTCAAATAACAATCAAACCAATGGAAAAGCAATTGATCAACAATCAACATCAATGAAACCTGATGATTCACCAAATAGTTGTACAATTTTACTTAATGATTCAAGTAAAAGGTCAATAGAAACGGAAGATGAGATTAGTATGGATATTACAAAACGATCTAAGAAAGATGATGAACCAGTTCCAATAATTGATTTAGAAGAAGAGTTAATCAATGAAGTTTTAAATTCTCAAGCATTAGATAATGATGATGTTATAATTGATTTTGATTCTATGGATCAATCAAGAATATCATCTTCTCGGGAAGGTGAACATGGAACAACAATCGATGGTAGCAATGAGAATCATGATTCATATTCAAATACAATTAACGGTAATGGTCATTCAGGTGGAATCTATGAAATTGATGATATGGATGATGATAATCCAGAATCTGTTCCAGTAATTTTGCAACATCTCGAGATGACCCACAGTTTGTCCATTGATGGTGCTCGTTTCGGTAACGTGGGCCGTTTTTTGAATCATTCTTGTGAACCTAATTGTCGAATTAGAAATGTTTTCGTCGAAAATCATGATTACCGTTTCCCAAGATTGGCCTTCTTTTCAAATCGTCTCATTCAAGCTTACGAAGAGTTAACTTGGGATTATCGTTATCCACCGGATATCCCATATTCGGACTCTAAAATTTGCCTTTGTGGTTCTCGTCTTTGTCGAGGTCGCATCTATTGATCGAAAGCCTAATTTTGTTCAAAATTTTCTCTTAATTCTCTGAAACTTATCATCTTTACACCCAAACGCAATGATGATCAACATTTATAATCATTTTTGCAAATTCTCTCTCTCTCTCTCTCTCTCTCTATTTCTCTGTTCAATTCTCATCAAATAGATCCAATTGTTTTTTGCTTATTTATCATGTTCATCATCTATACCAATAAATCAAATTAATTTTCTGTATAAAATTAACATTACAATTAGAATTGATCAATTTATTCACGACGAAAAAAAAGTTAATTCTTAAAAAAAAGTATTCACTTTAAAATTAAATTATTGCTTCTCTTTTTCCAACAAAATTGTAGCGTAAAAATAGTTGACAAAAATATCAATTTGTATCTTAATTTAAAGATCAAGAATCAGTAATTGATTGCAAAAGTTAATTAACAATTACGATGATGATTTTGATAGAAAAACAAAAGTTTCCAAACTATACCATCGAATAGGTAAACAATTTTGATTGTAAATCATTGAAACGATTAATATTATTGCTTAGTAATTGATAAATGTTTGAATTTTCTTGAATCTGAAAATTGTTTCTATCGATTGTATTTCCTTTAATTGTTATGATTCCGTTGATTTGAACATCTTAAACAGTATCGGTCATTGCAATTGGCAGTTCACTCTGGTCAAACGGAGCTAATCCTTCAAAATTAATGTGACTTGAATACTTGGCAAGGAGGAAAAGCGTTGCCACACCCGAAAGGATGCCGACATTTTGTAAAATTAAGGCTTTGATCATTGAGCTTGTCGACCGGGCCATCGCTTCATCAAGGGACGCGGACAACTCGGCCATCATGTCAACCAAGGCAATGTACAGAAACATGCCCCCGGCAAGGGCAAAAATGTAGGTACTTCCAGCGGCAAAATCGCCGATAATGATTCCCAATATCATACCAAGATAACAGGTACACGCTGAGAGGAAATTGTACCCAATGGCCTGACGCAAAGTCATTCCGGAACTGATGAGAACTGCGAAATCGCCCAATTCATGAGGAAACTCCTCACAAATCACAGCAACCGAAGTGCTAATTCCTGTTAAAATTGAATTTGAAAAAGCAGCTCCTGTAACAATAAGAAAATGATAAATAAATTGCTCATTATTAACCTTGAGAATTACAAATGATTATCAAATGAATTAACTGATTATATTGAATTAACAGTTTGAGACTTTGAACTGAATATCAAGATATCGGCTTTCTCTTAATATTTAATTCATCATCTTTTTGATTGATAAAAACAAAACAATTAATATCAATAGAGTAATTAATTATTACTATTTTCAAGTTAATAAAAGTGGATTCATGATAATTAGCCTTGAATATGTAAAAAATATTCATTTACAATTAAAGTTAATTGTGCAATTTGTTGATCTTTTTCAAAAGATTACATTTGACCCAAGTAACATTTTCACTTTTCCAATTAAATGATGAGAATTAAATTTACTTAATTGTTATCAATGTTATTTTAATAGTTAGTTGTTTATATTGAATTTGATTATAATGTAATTATCATTTCCAATCATCTTAATTACTTAAGCTCTTCAACAGCAATTAGCTCTCAGATTTACAAGAGATGAATAAGTATAATAATTATATTAAGATAATATGAGAATTAAGATAATTATTAACAACAATCAGTGATTATATTAAATTAATTACAAAAGAGGCAACTAATTTCCATGTCATGGTCAGTATATTAATCACAATTAAACTAACGATTACCATTAATCAATTCAATTGATTGTAAGATGAAAAAATTTTATTTACCAACAGAATATATTAATTTTTATCAAACAATTATAATGAAAAATTAACAAATTGTGTTAATCATAAAAAAAATCATAAGTATCAATATGATTATTGTTTTTGCAATTAATTAATTTTCTAACTTTAATTGAACATATTGATTTAATCAAGAGACTGTGGACTTTTAAAAGCTCAGAATTAACCATTAACCAGAAATTAAAACTAATTATGTTTTCCTAATCATCATCGATTTCCATATAATTTATCTGATTGATTTAATAGATTGTTACCTTTATTTTAACGCTGATCTGTTAATTTTCAGCCCCACTAATTAGGAAAAGTACTTTTGTCTGATTTGATTTGATTAGAATGGAAGAAGAAAAAAAAAACAAAATTAAATGAGAAAGCGCAAAGGAAGTGGTAGGAAATTTTCCCTCTAGATATTAATAACTCTCGACGTTTTCCAGCAATTAGTTAATTTCAAGTGTAACATTGAAATAAATGATTAGTTGATCAACTTACCAACTGATAGACCATCAATGAAATTGTGTAAACCATCACCGAGAATAATCATCCAAGCAATGGTGGCGATGTCTCTTTCGCCGGGATTACTTGATGAAGTATCGATGTGAGTGTGAAAGTGTTTATTCAACGAGGCGGAAGAACAGGAAGTTTTCCTCATAGAATGATTTCCAACGGGATTATTAGGCACTTTAGGTTTCAATAGACCCCCACCACCATTAAGACCACCTCCTCCTCCTCCACCAGAAGCATTACCATCCAATCCTCCGTTTCCTTCATCTTTTCCGTTTCCTTGATTCTCCTGGTTAGAGGTGAACGTTGTCTCCTCTGAATCTTCATTGGGATGACCTTCGTTTTCAACCAAATTACCATTGGCGAGGGTCAGTGATTTGGACACATCATCGTCACCCATGTCCCTAAAGTAGACATGTTTCATTGCGTTGAACCCGCTGGCTAAATTTGACGATTCGGTTGGATGTTCAGGTGAAGAGCTTGTCGGAACGTAAACTGAGGCCAACTTTTTTTTCCGTTTAAACTCAGAGACAATTTTCATTATTCTTTCCGACCAAAAGAAAAGGTAAATACCACCAAAGATAATCAATGCTTTCCACAGGAAATCATGGGAAGGATATTTGATTACCAGGTCAAAGGCTTGAGGTATAAGGTGAAAAATTGAGCTTCCAATTAAACTTCCCACCGCTAAACCTTCAAGTAAATTCATTGCATTGGTAAATGAATCTTTATCAATGAAAGGCATAATCATAACACCAACCAGTGAACAGAATGAGATAATTGTTACAAATAGAATTGAAAATCCCCAAACTGACCCAATGGATGGACGCGGTTGCGAAGCCTCATCTTTAGCCAATTTAGATGAGCACTTGGAATCATGTAATTGAAATAATATCACAGGGCAAAGTTTAACAATTGAATGGCTTAACCTTAAACCGGTGTCTTCCTCTGAATCGGTTGCAGCGGTTGTGGTTGTGGTCGTGGTTGTGGTCAGAGAGGGAAGGTCAGCTTTACGAATTAAATTCAACAGGTCATCACTAGATTGGCATTTATTAACTGCCCTACAGATTAAAATGAGCTTTGACCTTTGACGATCAGCTGAAGTTAATGAAGCTGAAGATGGAGATTGATTTGTTGATACTATTGATTGTAAAGGAGATGATGTAACACTAGATGAAGATGCTGATGATGGATTAGAAGTTAAATTATTGATCAATCGAAGATAATTATCAACCTCATGTTCACAATTGATTTGACGTAAAAATTGACCAGATTCATCGACATTACCACTTCTGAGATCTTCAAAGAATCTGAATAAACTTGATTCAGTTAGATTTTTATTGCACCATTTGGTTTCCTCCTTATTACCACCAAATCGATCACCATTTAAATTGTATCGACATTTATCTTGATTGTGACTTGACAATAAGAAATATGAAAGAGCTTCAATATCTTCCAAATTTTCCAATAAAGGACCTGGTGAATTGTAATAACTCTCAGAGGGATCAGATTGATTTCCAGATGAGGATGAAGAAGATGATGGAGATGATGAGGTAGAATTGATTCCATACGAAAGTGTAACAATTAAATTAACCATCAAATAGATTATGGTGACTAGAAGACCATTGAAATTAGTCATCTTCCTCTCTCTCTCTCTATCTCTTGCTATGGCTCCTCTCCAAATCTTTATATTACTAAGATCAACTTGAATTACTTATAATGATGATGATGATGATGATGATGATGGTTGATGATAATGAATTTATGTTGTGTTAACAAGATGATCCAGAGGAAAATAGGAAAATATTGATGATAATTATGCTATTAATTTATTTACATATGGATATAATCAATTGGCTTCTAATTAATTCACCGGGTTGACACATTGCTTTTTCAGAAATATACATTTGTATTGATATAAATATTGAACAATGTTGTTGATTGTTGTTGAGCTGAGGTTTGGTTGTCACTTTCGAGATGAAGTCTTTAATTACACTTTGGTAAATCAGTTGATTGTTTTCTTCTTTAAGATGATAATTGTTGGTGTTGATGTTCAATTGTGTGTTAACTGGTTGATGATTGTTGCTTTAGTTTACTGATTCCAACAAGAAAAGATTCCATTGGAATATGAGAAAAAAGGAAACTTGATTTTCATCTGATTTTCCTCTCGATTGGTCGGCTGATTCAGCCGTTTCTGGTTATCTCCGCTTCTGGTGACCCCCATTCAGGAGGTTCCAAGATCCTCCTGAGTCCAGGATGTTCTGGTGAAAGGAGGAGACTCTCCTCTTTCCCTCCCAATCCCCTAGCGACTGAATTAGAGCAAAATTCAAAAATTATTAATTCGCAAGTTTTAACAATCAAGTCGATGATTAACTTGACAAATCAACCTAAAGTCTAATCATTATTTAGTTGTTCAGTTAATTAACTACTTAGAGATATCATTTCGATTGTTAAAATCACAATTGAATAAGAAAATTTTTCTAAATTGTCACAATTTTTTTTTTTTTCTAATTTTCATTACGATTATCATGAATTCGATGCTTGTGACTTTTTCTCCTTCAATCTTAATCATTACGGGTGGAAAGTGAATTTAATTGCTTCAAATCTCCCGTGATTTGTATCCTAATCATTTTATTGTTGATTATTTGCTCAACTAAATTGTTCTAAACTTATCTAAATATTGTTTTCTATTTAGCAAGTTCCATCATGTTGACAATTGACATTCGATTGGTGAATTTTATGTAAATTATCAATAAAGAGAAATTAATTCTTTGAATTAAATGTAATCATCTTTCGGTGTTTTCAAATCGATTAATAATCAAGTATCTTGTTCTATTAATCCATTGATTTTTTTGTTAGAATGGTGAAAGTCCAAGATGATCCGAAGTGGTTGTCAAGAGGCTTTTCGTTATTATCTTTGATATGATTAGATGATTATCGTAAATGATTAGTCTGTTGTTTTCTTTTATTTTATATAATCTATTGATTTCTTGCTATTAAAGATGATGATGATTCTAATATCTTCTCATTTTTTGTTTTCAAATTCTTCAGATAAGTTGTTGATTTATGTTCATTAGTATTTAACACGAGTTTTTAAAGTTCTTCCTTGAATGGTTCTAAATGTCGCTTATCGATTTCGTCGCAGGATGTTGGGGAGGTCAGTTTTCTCTCTCTCACATACTCCCTCTCTCAATTTCTCTTCCTCTTCTCTCTCTTTCTCATCTTTCTTTTTCTCTCTTTCTTTCTCTTCCTCTTCCTCTCTCTATCTTTCTTTCTCTTCAGCTCTCTCTTTCTCTTTCTTTCTCTCTTTTTCTTTCTCTTCCTCTTTCTCTTTCTCTCTTTCTCTCTCCATCTCTCTCAATATTTGTCAACTTGTGAGAGTTTTTTTCCCTCTCAATGTTGTTTACAATGTTACCATTGTTTAGTGTATGTGATTTATTATATTCTTGATTTGATCAAATTTTTTGGTTCCTTTTTCATTCATTTGAATTAATTTTCTCTCTCAACAATTAACTAATCATTTTATTTAAATCACATAATTTCATATATTTAGGTGCCTGTGGTGTACTAGTTGGACATCCTTTAGATACAATTAAGGTTAGATTACAAACTAATCCGGAAAATGTTAGTTTATCAACATTACTATTCAACAAGAATCAGAGAGTAAGTAGTTAATCAATTGTCATTTATTACTCAATACAATTAATTGGATGATGATGATGATGATGATAATCAGTTAATCTTCATCATAATTACAATCAACAAACTCATGATGTTTGATTCAGTTATCACCATAAGTATTTATTTATATTTGAATTAATGATAAATCTTAAAATATCATAGGATTAATTTCATCTAATTAGTTTTTTTAATAATAATAATATCATTTGTGTCACATTATATTTAATTGACAACAATTGTCACTCATTGTGCAATATTTGTCCACATGATTATCATCATTTAGTTAATTGCAATCACAATTGAATGAGTCTAAGTTGGAATCATTTTTTTCCTCATCATCGTCCTAATTATCATCAGTTGATTGTCCAAATTAAAACTTTCTATCAATGGAAATTATCATTATCATTGTTATAACTTTATTTGGTGGATAATGTTGTAATTATGAATGATACAATTCACCCAGAACTTGTTCATATCCTCAGTGAGTAGAGATTCAAGATCATTATGAACTTCATCATGTTAGTTACTTTTTCCATCATCATCTTCATTGTATAAACTCATAATTCTGTAAATAACTGTTTTTTTATCTTCCTTTTATATATATTTCTCTCTCTCTCTCTCTCTTTCACTTTCTCCATTCAATTATTATCATGATGATGATTGTTCATTCAGCTTGGTGGACTTTTTTCCGGTCTATCTTCACCCTTAGCGTGCCTTGCATTTGTAAATGCGATAGTATTTGGAGTCTATGGAAACCTTAATGAATACCTGAAAACTTTGGAGTCAACAACGGAACCACGAATGTCCAAAGTGGGTCGAGAGTTTATCGCTGGAACAGTTTCTGGTGTTGCTCAGTGTCTCATAACTTGTCCCATGGAATTGGTCAAATGTCGCATGCAATTAACACCCTCGGTAACTGCGGCAGTTACCATTTTAAACGAAACAAATCAAATCAAATTTGTGAATACCCAAAATCCAACCGTCACCAACAACAATGGTAACATTAAATTGAACAACAGTAATAATATAAAATCAACATTTAACACTCTCAACAATCAACATAATCCTGATCATCATCATCAACCATTACAACAACAGCGTCAATTTCATCACTCTCAAAAACAATTATCTTCAATGGTTAAGCATAATTTTCCCTCTCGAAGTGTCCACAGTTCAATTAAAAGCACCAATGGTCAACCAACAGTTCGCGATGTCCTCAGGCAAATAAAATACGATGAGAAAAGTTACATTCGTGGACTTTATCGAGGTATGATTCCAACTTTACTTCGAGATGCTCCCGCTTTTGGTATTTACTTTTCCTCATTCCAATATCTTATCGACCGGAACCCGGAAGAGACCAGTGAAACTAAACTTCTAATGGCCGGTGGACTTGCTGGTGCACTTTCATGGCTGTTCATTTATCCAATCGATGTAATTAAAACTAAAATACAAACCGAAGGTGCCAAATATGATCATTCACTAATCAAATGTACCAAATCGATGTACAAAGATAGTTCATTGGGATGGAGAATCTTTTTCAGGGGATTCACACCCACCCTGGTAAGAGCATTCCCAGTAAATGCTGTCACCTTTTATGTTGTCAACAAGACCTTTGTATTATACGAGAATTACCTATAAGTTATCATCATCATCGACAACAACACCAACAACAACCCACTCACCTCATCTCCAACCATTGAATAGTGATCACTATTTTTTACTATCATGATGATTGTATTTTTTTCCCTCCTCAGATGATATCAATTCTTATATATATTTGAGAGAGAGACACACATATACACATTATCTTCATCATCTTCATCATTTTCTCTTCTTGTCTTCCTTTTCCTGTTTTCCTTTTTTCATTCACCTTCCCTGTCCAAAAGCTTATGGAAAAAAAAAACTCCAACGAAAAAAAATATTCCAATTGTATAATATAAAACTTATTCTTTGAAACAATTTAATCCCAAGGAATTGATCATGTTTTCAGCTGATTAATTTGATCCAATTTCTGTGTATGTGTGTCAGTTAATTGTTAGCATTTTTTTCATCATCGTAAAAATAACAATAAAAATTAAGAGAAATGAAAACAAAATGTTAACAATAATTTTCTGGAAAATTGAATCATTGAAATTGAATCAACTTCTAAATACTAATCATGATAAGTTTGATAACTTTTTCGGTGAGTGAGTGAGTGTGTGAGAGAGAGAGAGAGTGAGAGTGAGAGTGGTGATGATGATGATAACGATTCTGGAGAAAAGAAAGAGAAGATGTTTAACCAGAAGAAAGAGAGTAAGATTAAAAATCGATATATTCGAATTGTGTATTCATTTTCTCTCTCTTTCGATTTCTCTGTCTTCGTCTGCGCAATTGGAAGGACGAAGAAGAGAAAAAGATAATCAGCTTCAGGGAGAAGAGAAAAAAAGATGGAAAAAGAAAGAAGAAAAGAAAGAGAAAAGATGAAGATGAATTTTTCGAATAAAACAGAAATTCTGAGAGAAGGAAGAAGATGATGATCATCACAATCGTCTAATTGTAACCATTTTCTAAATGTAAATCGAACTACTCATTTTCTACTTCTCTCTCTCTCTCTCTTGTTCTATTCTCTTTCTCTCTTTCTCTCTCAGTTTATTTTCTTTTTTCTCTCTTACCTTTGCTTTCTCTTTTTTCCAATTTCATCTTTGTGTCATTTTCTCTTTTTATTCCATAATAATCTTCATCATCTTCTTTCATCTTCTCATAATAATCTCCATTCTCATTATTTCTGTATCATCTTTATCTCCATCATCTTCATTTGTCTCTGCTTTTCTCTCTCACTCTCTCTCTCTCCGGTTCCATCTCATGAGAGAGAGAAAGAGAGAATCAGTGAGACCAACAACATCTCCAATTGTATCTCCTCTTTTCATCCAATATTCAATTTAATCTCCATCAAGGGAAACCCCTAATTTAATTATATTCTTGTTACCATATTAACCGTTAAGTTAATCGTTAATTAACTTTAAATTTGTGACAAAATTGTTAAAATCAACAAAAAGAAAATCGATTCAGTGTCCATTTCCATCAACCCTAATTGCTTCATCTTCTTCCAATCTTTCCAATCAACTGGTAACAATTAACATTCTCAAATCAATCAGTTAATCACAACAACAAAAAAGTGAAATTCTATCTACAAATCTAAAGAAAATCCTTTTCTCTCTTAGGCCTAACTAAATCTCCATGTTTCCATTGTTTCCTATGTTGGAATCTGTTTGTTTTCTTTGTTACATTTTCACCTACAAATGGTTCAAGTTGATTAATCTTCCATTTCTCTAATAACCAATTAATTATCCTAATCAGTTCTTCACAACAACAACACAAATTGATTTTCTAATCGTTTGGATGGTCTTCTGATTTCTCCAGTTAATCTACTGTTATTGGGTTTATAATCCTTAATCTTTAATCTCTAACTCTTCTCTCTCTCTCTCTTCAAATATAAACACCTAATTAGTGTGTATATTTATTGGTTAACATGTTTAACTTTAATCTCTTGAAATGCAATTACAGTGCCAAACAGTGTTCCAACAGTGTGTCCATTTTAATTACTACAATTAATGGTTTCAATTACAACAATTTAACGACAATATCTACATTGGAATCAAGGAAATTAACTATACCAACAACAGAAATGGAAAATATTGTCTATAGTTGCTCCTGATGAAGACTCATGGTTGTGAAATCAAACAATCAAATTAGTTAATCAAGGAAAATCATATTGTCTCAAATTTTAACGATACAAATTATCCAACAATCCAATTGATTAATAAAGAAGGAAAATCAAGAAGAAGGAGAAGAAGAGGAAAAAAAATCTCCAAATCAACTAACCAAGAGGAGGATTATTTACATAACCTTCCCCTTGGAATTATATATTGTTTATCATCTATATCTTCATCTATTTCTTATCATCTTTATCATCTTCTTCTCATGTTCTGTCATATTTCATCATCCAAAATTCGAGAAACAACAAGATTCTCCTTTTCTCTCTCGAGATTTTCAGGAAATTACTTGATCAACCTGAGGAATAATTCGTGACTCTCTCTCTCTCTCTCTTTCATTTCATCAACAATTACTCTCTCACTCTCACTCTGTCATCTTCATCATTCTCTGACAATTTCCTCTTATACATATAACTTCAAGATCAATTACACACCTTAAACAAAAATCATTTCCATCATCAATATATTATCAATTTTAATCAATCTTATTGAGTTACTGTTACATTTTGGAAACAAAATAACCCAAAGGTTATAAGAAGCTGATATAAGGAGTACCAAGTTAAATCGTTTTCATCCAATTAGTTAATTGTTTACGATTTGTTTTTTTCTAAAATTCTTACATATAAATATAAAATATATAGAAAATGTTACGTCGTTTATCAATTGCATCGACCTTCAGGTCATCTGGATCTACCAATAAAGTGAAATATTGTAAAAATCGTGGTGTTGTCCGAAAGACTGGTCGTAAGGTGAAGGGTGCCCTGGGAGGTGATGATGATGATGAAGATGAGGATGATCTGGAACAAGGAGAAATGGATTCATTTAATGGTGTTAAAGTTATCGGCGGTGGTGGAGGTTACAATGGGTCCGGTGTTGGAAATGTATATCATTCTGGATCAGCTGGTTACTCTTCAAGTTCCTACTCATCATCTCACCAACAACAACACCAACAAGTCCAACAACAACAACAACAACATCCTCATCCTCATCTTCATGTACATTCACATGCTTCATATAATCATCCGTCTTCCTCATCACCACCAATTAATGTAATGAAAATTGGACAAGGTCAGGTTACTTATGGAGGTAAAGAGGGTCCCACAAGCTCATCTGGTATTGGTAAAAAGGGTGATTCGGAAAGGAATGGACCCAGGGTGATACCCGGTATAATTACATCTTCTGGTAGAGGTAATGATAAAATTGCTCGAGTTTTCTCATCACAATCAACTTCTTTACACAATAATCGAGGGTAAGTTTCGTTATACACATATGATTATATTACTAGAAGAATAAATTTACATAACTAAATCATTTGCCTTCCCCCAAACAATTAACCAAACAACAATAATAGTAAATTGTGAATGATGATGAACATTTAAGAAAATGAATCAATGTTCATTAAATACTCAATCTCATAAATTGATTTCCTTGATGAGCTTTTTATTTATTCACAACAACAAACAATATCATATGAAATTAATGCTCATTGTAATCAAATTACTTTCTGACTTACGGATTATCATTTGCAGTTTATGATGATGATGATGATGATGATGATGATGATATGGTGGTTGTGATGATGATAATTGTCACAAAAACAATTACCATGATTGAGAAAGGAAGATAACAAAGTAATTTGTGATGAAAGAGCAAAGGCAACAATCAATAAATCATTTGTTTACTTTTTCTTTGTTTTCTTTTGTTGGTCATTTTTTGTTTTCTTTATTTTTCTTATTGTAGGTCAAGCATGGATGGTAAAGATGAGGATGACAATAATAAAAACAATGACAATGATGAAGATGAAGACGAAGATACCAATAATAATAAAAGTAGTTCAATTAAACCAATTATCATACCAACAATCAGTGGATCATCATCAATGATTACCAAGCAGCAGAATAAGACAACCGAAGATGAGGAAAGTGTTTATCTGAGTCGAAAACGTCGAGAAATGAGAAAAAAGGAAATTAAAAGGCAATTTGATCGTTCAGATGATCGTCTTGGAAGTGGTGGCGGTGGTGGATTATCAGGTAAACGAGGTGGAACTGGTACCGGTGGTGTTGGTTTCACTGGCGGTGGTTCATCTAAGGGCTGGTCATTTGTTTTCGATCCATCCGGACGTTTATGTTACTATTGGTCAATGATTGTCTCTCTTGCTTTTTTATACAATTTTTGGGTCATCATCTATAGATTTGCCTTCAGTGAGATATCCTCTGAAACAATGGTCCTATGGTTAACCTTTGACATTCTTTCTGATACAATTTACATTCTGGATATATTAATTAACTTCCGTATTTGCTACCTGGATGAAGGTGTCCTACAAACTAATGCCAAAAAGCTGAGACAATATTATATGAATTCAACCTTCTTTTACATTGATTGTCTCTGTTTACTTCCATTAGATTTTCTTTACCTTTCCATTGGTTTTAATTCAATACTTCGAGGTTTCCGTTTGGTTAAAATATACAAATGGTGGTCATTTCTTGATCGTACAGAGAGACACACCAATTATCCAAATGTTTTCCGAACTGTATCACTTGTCCATTATATATTGGTCATCTTCCATTGGAATGCTTGTTTTTATCATCTTCTTTCAAAGAGAAAAAATTTTGGTTCTTCCGATTGGTTTTTAGGTTCTCGAGATCATCAACTTTGTCCCGATGTTGAATGTGACTATTTACATGCCTTTTATTGGTCCATTCTAGCGCTCACCATAATAGGTGACCTTCCAAGACCTCGTACCAAAGGGGAATATATTTTTCTCATTGTTGAACTATTTTTGGGTCTCTTTTTACTGGCCACTGTTTTAGGTCATGTGGCCAACATTGTTACCAATGTATCAGCGGCTCGTAAAGAGTTTCAAGCTAAATTAGATTCCGTTAAAACTTATATGAGAATGCGTCGAGTACCCGAACATCTTAAAATTAAAGTAATCAAATGGTTTGATTATCTGTGGATGACACAAAAATCAGCTGATGAAGATAAATCAGTCGGATTCTTACCAGGTAAAATATAAATAATATAATACAAACTCTAAAAACAATTTGTCAACCTTTACCATCACTTTAGTAATATAATTTCGTTTACAATCAATTTCTCATTAATAACTTTTTCCCTCTTTCTCTCTCTCTCTTTTCATCTAATTTCCCACCATTCTGATGGTGTGTAAAGAAAAGCTTCTTACCTCATACACTGAATACCCACCGTTTAATATTTGGTATTCAAATGACTTTTTCCAACATTTAAAATGAGAAAATATTTCCTATGTAATTTAATCATCTATTTACATATAATATTTACCTTTTAAATGTATTTCTGTCTATGAATGAGTAAATATTATTGTTACCATTTCGCTTCTTGATTAAATTTGGTTCAAGTTTACATTGAGATTATTTTCTATCAAATAGAAAATAGATTCTCACAATTTAAATCTTACTAAATAGAGAGAAAAATATTACGATTTTAATTGTTGTGTAAAACTTTTCTCTCTTTCTCCTTTTCTCCTACTAATTCTCATTAACTAATCATGATTAATTTCTAACAATCATCTCATTAATATTTAGATTGTTTTCTTTTCTCATTTTCTCTGTTGTTCCCCTGTTAATGTCAATCAGAACTTTTTTTTTCCACCTCAATTACATTTATTGTCATTTCTTTCATACATATAAAAGTTATTAATATTATTCTTGATTCCCTTGACCATCATGCTACATAGTTGTCTAAGCATATTAATTATATATGTCCAGTGTTGAGCTTACCTTTGACCCCTTGTAAGATTTGTTGTCAATTGCAATGACAACAAATGTTTATATTTATATATTGATACTTTTTTTTGTTTGTATCAACATTTGATATTATCATTTAGTTGACATTTGAAATGATTAATATCAAATACATAAATATGATATTATCATCATTTGATTAATGAAATTTTCATTTCATGTTTCCCAATCCTGCCGCCCACAACTTTGATTGAAACTTTTCAATGATAATAATAATAATAATAATTGTTTACATTTGACTCTTGATTGTTTCGTTATTATAATATATTAACTAATTAATTTTTCGTATTTCTATTTTTGCTTATTAATTATTTAGCTAAATTAAAGGCAGAGATTGCGATTCATGTTCACCTTGATACCCTGAAACGAGTTGAAATATTTCAGAATACGGAAGCTGGTTTTCTTTGTGCTTTGGTATTACGACTTCGTCCAGTACTTTTCTCACCGGGAGATTATGTTTGTCGAAAAGGGGAAGTGGGCAAAGAAATGTTCATTGTTAATAGAGGTAAACTTCAGGTTGTCTCTGATTCTGGTTCCAATGTACTGGCCACCCTTAGGGCGGGAAGTTATTTTGGTGAAATATCAATTCTAAACATGGGAACAGCGGGTAATCGTAGGACTGCCTCAGTTAAATCAGTTGGTTATTCTGACCTATTTTGTTTATCCAAACAAGATCTATGGGATGTATTGAAAGATTATCCAGCAGCACGAGTTAGATTGGAAGCAATTGCCTCGAAAAGATTAGAAAAATATAAGAAAGAACCTCTCATGAAAAGTAAGTAATCATCATCATCATTACCATTTAATCAATACCATCCAACTACTATTATGTATATAACTATATCAGTAGCATCTCCATCCTCATCCTCATCATCAACAACAACAATATTATCATTAGACATCAACATTATCATTTCGCCTTAGATTAGACAAGGAAAACAATTGAACCAGATCAATCTTAATGTGATAATGTCTCTCCTTTTCTTGTGATATATATTTGAAAACATAATCTGTCAATCACAATTCAACTTTTAGCACAATTAGCTTAATTATTTACATTCAGCTTAGCGTTAATTGTTGTTGCTAATATTACGTTTAATTAAAAAAAAAATAATAAGATGAGCCTTTCATATCAATCAAAATATAAGGCAATTCAATGAAAAATTGACTCTTAATTGTTGATTTAATTTTGCCCTTTCATTGATAAGTCTTAATTGTCTTAAATTTGTGTGTATGTGTGTGTGTGTGTAAACAATTAACGATTAATTTGATTTACTATTTTTATAACGTAAACAATTTAATTTTTGACGTTTAAATTGTAAATGGTTATTGTTGTGTTTTATAAATCATTTGATTAAACTTAATGTTAGTTGTATGTTTAAAAGGTAATTTAAATGTTTCTAAATCATTGGCAAGGCCTATTAACATGTTAAATTGTTCGTTTATTATTGTAATCATATTAATCATTTTCTGCTTAATTTGACCTAAATTTAATGTCATGAAAAAATAACGATAATATAAATGTGATACATTTTATATCTCATTTTAAATGATTAGCTAAATTGTTGTCATGTTTAGAAACGACATCAATAGTTAGTTTAAAAAACGAACGGTGTAAATATCAATTGTTTTAATGATGATGATTGAGAAAATCCAATGATAATTGGTTTTAATACTAAACAATTAAAGGTTTTTAATATATATACATATTAGTTTGTCTGATGATTAACCTTAATTTCATTGATTAACTAAGATACACAACCTTAGGTTAGATTGTAAGTTGATGTTTGTGTTAATTCAAATTACTTTCAATCTCCTTTCAGTTTGATTATTTACTCAATGGATGATTATTATTATCATGATGATTATGAGACAATAAAGGATGAAAAACAAATTGATAGTATTATGATATCTTCATTGTTATCATCACTTATTGTTGAATAACAATTGATAAACTGATAGATTTAAATGTTGACAATGTTCAATGGTGTGTAGACTCTAGTGTTTACAGTTATATCCATATGATATTATATCAATTGAAACCTAATCTCTGACCAATATGATTGACGGATTTGATTTTGTTTCTCATTTTTTCCTTCTCCTTTTGTTGCTATTGTCTTGTTGTTGTTGTTTTCCTTCATCTTACTTGGTTTCAAGTTGAAGATATACCCACGAATTTGATGTGTATACTTGGAATGAAAATTCAGAGTATCACCATGAAAAAAGAAAAGATGAAATGTTGATAATGATGCGCAAAATCAATCATCTCAACTCTCATGAAAAGATGTGTTATAATACTCACATAGGAAGATGAATATAATATATCAATCTCCTTCCTTCACCATGAGTTTCAATCTGTTTTTCATCTAGTTTTTTTTTACTCATCATTTTCAGGCTCATCTTGTGTCTATCTTTTCATGGTATTATTATCAGGTAACATGAGATGTTATCTCTATATAAATTTGAAATTTTATCTGTGGTTTTGATGGGTTAGTTTGTATTCTCATCCTTTACAAGACCATTTGAACATTTGGGATGATGAACATGAACGAGAAAAGATTTTCTTGTCAAATCTTTTATCCTATTCAATACTTTTTTCCTATTCTTAATGATTTATCTCAAGAGATGGTGATGATAATGATGTTATATTTGTACTATTCAATGAGACCAAATATTTGATTCAGTTAATTACAATTAAGTGACAATATTTATTTTCTTACCTTTGGGTTTACCTTTTCGTTGACAATCAAAGTCTATTGGTTCATTATTTTCAACTTTTTTTTTATTTCCTTCTTAGTTTTGTTTTTCCAAATCAATCGATTAACTTTGTAATTACAATTTATCGATTTTCATTTCATTGTAACAATTAAGGATTAGTTTTACACTTTAAGATGATTAGATTACCTTTTTATTGTTCAATTTCAATTTAATTCAGTTTTCTAGGTTATTTTCATCTTACCAATTTACTTTTAATTGTTTCGTTGTTTTATCAAGTATTTTCCTTATAATCTCCAGATTGATTAATTTAACTATTACAATTATATCTTCTAATTAGGTGATAATAGTTTTTAATTGTTATAAACTTTTTCTATCTCGGTTGATTAAAACAATTGATTATAACAAATTGTAAATGTTTTAACCATTACAATAATTACTTTATTTTAATTATCACGATTTGTTGAAATTAATTACTCATTTTCTCTGGTGATTAATATTAGATTCCCTGTTGAATTGAAGTGTTAATTATAATACTCAATAGATGTGAATATTAAACGATTTGATTGTGATAATGATTAAGACTTGATTGCAATTCTAATCAATGATAATTAGCTGATTTCAAATGGAAATACAAGAAAACTTTTTCAACATTTTGTTTTCCGTCTACTGATTAGTTTGGATTACGATAAATTGTTGATTGATTTTCTAATTGTTTATCTATTTATCGTTTCTAATTTAGTATCTAGAGGTCGATCTAAAAGTACACCCGGAATTCAATCTAAATACAATCTTAGTTTGCCGAAGGTGAATGATGGTAAATACTCACGAACTCATACTCAATCTGCGAATACACTATTAACGGAAGACGAATTACTTGTGATAAATGAAGAGAAAAGGAAAGAGGATGAGGGGCGAGATGGAAATGGCGATGATGGCGGAGAAAGAGAGGGAGGAATAAGCGAAGATGATGTAGATAGAGTATCTGATCATCCACCGCCTCCTTATCACCATCAGCAATTGTTACAATCATCACATCAACAACATAGTTTATCTGGTCGCTCGGAGGGAAACAAACCTCCTAACGAGTTGACTAACTGTAATTCCCAAGCCAGTGTTGCCTTTACCAAGGAAGGTGTTAACATTTATTTTACTCCGCCAACACCAACACCACTTACCTCATCCGGTCTTGATTGGTTAATCGATGGATCTTCCATTGCCGCTGCTGCTGCAGCGGCCGCAGCAGCGGCGGCGGCTTCTTCATCTTCCTCTGTAAATGTTTCTACTTCCATGGGAACGGGTAAAAGGTGTGATAATGAGAGTGAACAAACTAACGGTACCGGTGGGAACAATCAGGGAATCATCCCAAGACCAAGTCATCTTCAACCCTCTGTCTCTCCAACACCTTCTTACAATTCATCAACTTCACCCTCTCACAGCCATTGTCTTGTGCCTTCATCAACCAGCACATCAAACACTTATCATCATCACCATCCACCCCCATTTACCTGTCATCTAATATCTCCCGCTCATTCATCTTCACAACTTTTCCTCTCCACGGCACCAGGTACACCTTTAATACCTTTAACAGCTCCAACAACTCCCTCCGGTGATTTACCCTCCGAAGGTGGTACTTTCAGTTCAATTGGTGTCTCCCCATCAACCGTGGCAAATGTCACAGCAACTTTATCATCTTCCACCGGTGGTAATTTACCTCCACAAGAGATTCTGTTGTCCGAAATAAAACGTTTACGTGATAGATTAGCTCACCTTGAGAAAGAAAATACTTCCATGAGTTTCAAATTATCTCAACAACAGTGGGAAGTTGAGGAGAGACTGAAAGGAATCGAGATGAAGATGATCGCCACCAAGGAAGATGACAATGGATCAACCGGTGGAAATCGAGGTGGAATTTTCAATGATGATGCTGTTTGTGATGAAGATGATGAAATAGACGATGATGGTTATCATCATCTTCATCATCATCACCATCATGGTCATGATCATGGTCAGGGTGATGGTGAAATTGGATTTGAATCAAGTGGACCGGAAGAGGAAGATGAGGGAGGATTAAGTGATATTGGAGGTGATATTCGTGTTGATGAGGATGAAGATGAAGATGAAAGTGAGAGAAACAAAGAATCTATTATTTAATTGATGATAATTAATTCTGAACAATTGGTTAATTATGTTGATAGAAATTGAGACTAACCATGCAAACACAGCGAAAGTAACGAAACAATTTATTCAACGATAGAAAGAAATTTAATTGTTGATTAACTTTCCGATTATATAAAACAATTAACTTGTTTCAACCAAAAAAAAAATCAATCAATTGATTGTTCAACTTGATCGTAATGATGAGGCGAGATAATTATTTAAGTTTGTTTGTTAATTAAAACTCAATTAGTTGATTGTTTTTGTTTTCTAAATCAATCTAAGAAGAAAAAAATCTCTACACTTAATTATATATAAAAAAATTACAATCTGATTATTGTTAATTGTTAACAATTAAAACATTTTAATTAAGAGATTGAGAAAAAGATTGTAAGTAAATAAATCATTTTGATCAAATATGTTGCTAATCAGATTGATTGAAATCAATCAACTCGCCATTATAACGATGATTAACAAATTTAGACAATTCATCAATTCAATTGGCGAACGATAAATTAACTAATTACAATTGATTAATTATCAAGTCAATAAAAATTTTTACTAATTACGTAGTAAAGGTAATAATAGATTTAATTTTAATCTATTTTACCTTTTTGTGTAAAATAATCAATACAATTAAAAGAAAATTGAAATTTGAAGAAATAAAGAAAAATTGATAATCAATTAATTAGCGCGAAAATAATTAATTGTGGTTAATTTAAATGATCAATGATTGTGTGAAACTTTGTCAATTCATTGAGTATTTTTATCGCAATTTCATGAGAGAATCGGTGATCATGACTAAAGATTTTAGCCCAAGGGTATTTTTTTAGGCTCGGCTCGATTCTTGGACGAAGAAAATTGATCTGAATTGACTCGAACTGTACAATCGATACAAAAATGGTTACAAAGTTGTTCGCGACGGCCAAGGACGTGATTGGCACAAAGGAAGTGGATGGTCAGTTTCATGAGACTTTTCAATCTTAGCGATGGTCATTGTGTCTTCGATGAAGTCTAACTTGTGCTGTCGCTTATCGGTTGTCATGGTGGACAGGTCAAAGGCCGATATATGATCTAATCGAGCCACTATTGGATCCCAATTTTAAACAAACGCTTTTCCCGTTTTAGGACAAATCAACCAGGTTATTGTCTTACAAGGCCAATTGACCACTTCCGTTGAAACGGAAACACTGAGTGAACATGACAGAGACACGAGCAATCAATTAAAACTAACTAATAATCGTTGTATTAATTGTAAATGATCAACTTTAACACTTGACAATTAAGGTAAACAAATTGTCTTCTCTTCCCACTCTAATATAATTAATCAATCCAATAGTAATCATCTAATTATCTAATTGGTCAATTATTAGCAAACAAACAATTTGAGACTGTCCAATATTTTGATTAACCATCAAGATATAAAATGTAATTACGATTATTTTTAAATGCTATTGAACTCAAATTAGTCTATCAACAATTTAAATTGGTAATAAAAAAATCGTCACAATTAACGAGTGAAAATATTTAATTTCTAAATGAATGATTTCCAATTTAAATTGTTAATTGAATTAAATGTTATCCGATTTGGATTTTTTCGCAGTTATCGTTGGACTGGTCAGTTGTTTGGATCGTTGTTTGGTCAATCCTATTGTACTTTTCGTTACCTGTGACGGTCGACTGACGACCTCACTAGCGTCAAGGTCACTTTTCCTGAAAATATTTCTCAAAGTTGGTGGATTAAAACTAATTGTCTTATTGAAAGATGACCCTTCAGATAAATTGACCACTGAGCCGAAACCCGTTGAATTGAGGTTTTTTGTAGCAATTTGTTTTGATTGTTTAAATTGTTCACTAAATAATTCAACAGTGGCTGTCGATGATGAAATATCACCATGATAATAATTAGCTGAATCATTTTCAGTTGCATGTTCAACGATTACATGATTATCTTCATGATTAAAAAAAATTTCAAACAGCAAAGAACCAGAATTGTTGATACAAATGTAATTAACCCAATTAACGGAGCCAAGTAATAGATTTGTTCAACTATTAGATTGTTTGTAATTTGAACATTAGTCGATTCAAACTTTGATGATATATCAATATGCATATAGAAGGATATAAACAATTAGACACTCAACATAATTAGTTAATTGAATTACTCGTATAAACAATAAACTTTAATCACTTGACATGAAAATATTTACATGTTGGCATTTTAAGGTTTGGGTTAACGGTTCATTTGGTTTGATTATCATTGTCATCGTAATTGTCTGGTAATCAACACTGATTTTCAATTGTATTGTAGTTCATACTTAGCAATTAGTTGATTGCTTGGAGGGGTTTAGCTGAGTTGATTTGGTTGTGATTAAATTTAAGGTGAATTTTGAGTTGGAAATGTTTTTTTTGTTTATTTTTGGATATGAAAAGTATTACAATTGGTAATTGATGATTTACTAATTGTTTCCCTTTCGGGATAAGTTAATTTACTTAATTGTATCCAATGGAATCGATAGTTAATTTTTGTTAAGTTGTCAAGAAACAATTTGGTTGATTTAATTGTTTTTTTTTCTCGTTTGGTGATTTGATTTTAGATCATCTTCAATTATAATTCAACTTTTCGTTGATTTAATGATTTAACACATAAGGCACAATGGTCAAGAGTCTTTTGGTCATCTAATGAACCATCAGTTGGCTTAATTACTGATTAAATAGAGAAAGAATTTAATTAATACACTGATCATAATTAAAGTTAATTAGTTTTGTTGTTTACCTGGTGTTGGGTTTGGTTGAGGCTGAGGTTGAGGTTGTGGTTGTGGTTGTGGTTGTGGGTTTGGTGATGACTAGATGATAATTAGAATTAAATTGTTGTTATTGGTAAGTTACAATATAAGAGTTAATTGTTAACAATTAGTTAATTACCTTTGGTTCAACATGGAAAGCGACCATTGGAGCATCAATGTCACCTTGGATTTCAATTGTTGCAGTTCCGTCAGCGGCAACGTTAATTGATTTACCAGTACACTGACCACCTTTACAATCAAGTTATTATATTATCAATTAGGATGAGCAATTAAATTGTTAACAATTAATTTGCTTACCTTTACCAGAACCGTTAATGATATCACAATAAACTCCTTCAGGTAATCCAGTTTGAAAAGTTGATGTAATTGTTTTACCTTCATTGTTAATCACAATAAAAGCCTTTGACCCTCGACTGAAGGCAATTAAATTGTTATCGTTATCGTACCAATTAGCGACGGGCTCATCTCCGGCCACAGCTCTAAAGGTGACCATGTTAGCGATCGCTTTGAATCTGATTAAAAGAACAAGACAATTAACTGATTATCCAGATTATCAATGATTACAATTAATAGTTACCTGTGTTCACAAACCCAAGGGGCTTCACATCCACCGTCTTTCTTGACTACACGTTTGATGTTTTGTTGATCATCAGCTGGAGGGCCCATGAATTTATTTCTATCATTATCCTAGATTACAATTAGCCAACAATTAGATTACTCAACAATTAAAATCGTATAATCATATCACTTAAACTTACACCATCTAAGCTTAGTGGCCAATCGTAACTACTCATGACATTTGGAAGACCTTTTGATAAATGGATTGGAATTAATCACAATTTGGTTTTGTTTTTCGTGTTAATTGTCAACAATTAAATGGACTCACCGTAAGGCCAAGACAACATGAAGGCGGTTGCGAGTTTGTAGGCTCGGGATGAACGGAAGTTACAACCTCTCACTGGCTCTGATCGTTGGAGATCGTGATTGTCCACCATAGGAACGGCATCACCGCTCTTGACAAATGACCAGCCTTCACCAAAGTTTTTCAGGTACTTCAATTTTTGACCATAACCTCTGAACACATCACGAATTGATGATCGATAGTTAAACTCTAACACTCGACCTAAGGGAGTGTATTCAGCCATTGAAACGGCCCCACCAGGCATTACTTCATGAAAGATTATCGGTCGACTTCCAGAGGGAAAGTAAGCAGTATTTAAATCGTGAACTCCGTCAAAAATGGCCTGAATATCGGCAGGCCACATGTGTTTAGATGCATCCATTCGGAAACCAGCAATACCAATATCGATAAGATGATTAACGGCATCACGTTGTTTTGACCTGACATATTCACTACCAGTATCTAAATCATGAAGACCGGAGAGTTCACAGTTTCTGACCTGAGAGGGATTACCGTAATCGTGAATTTGTCCATCACCAGAGTTACATTTTTCCTTTGAATTAAAGTTTGAGGCATCAAAAGGTACACCTGGATATGATTTACCCGATTGACCTTGGAAACTTGACCCTCCCGAGCCGACACCATCCAATTCACCGGTCATATGGTTAAGAACCAGGTCAACGACAACACGAACTCCAGCTTTGTTACATCGATCAACCATCGATTTGAAAGCATTTTCATCACCACTTCGAGAGGCGATCTTATAACTGACCGGTTGATATCGTTCATACCAAGGTCGGATCGCAGCGGGTTCATACCAAGGTGCGGATATAACTGCGTACTCGAAAACGGGTGAAGTCTGAACGGCAGCGTAACCCGCTGGACCTAAAAACTGTTCACATTCATCGGCAATATCATCGAAACGCCATTCAAACAGGTTGGCAATAACCGACCGCTCAGGTGAGGTCGGATGCAAGTCCGAGTAAGAACCACCCGCTGATAAACCGGGAGCTCGGGAAATAAGTAAAACTAAATTAAGCACAATTAAAGGAAACACCGATGTTGCCATGATTGAAATTGAAACTGAAACTTTTACAATCAATTTCTCGAACCTTAAATACCAATTGGTTGATTAATTTATCTTAATTAATTGCCCTCAACTTGATTACCGCCTTGACTACAAAAATAAATTGTAATTAACATTTTTACCCAACACAATTAACTGATATTAGTTTGATTATTGTTTAATTGTCAACAAGATGATCATTTTGATTATGATTGGCTGATTTCATCTTGAACAATAGTTTTTGTCTGCCAATAATTTACAATTGTTTTAGTTAATTACAAATCTAATTGTTGTTGATTAACTAGAGGTGATGATATTTATTTTTGACAACCCAACACAATCAAATCAAAATACAATCATTATAATTGTAACTAATTGTATTTAGGATTGAAGTCTAAATAACTATTGACGATTAACCAATTCTATGAGATTTCCAATAATCAATTGATTAAATTTCTTGATAGACAAAATTAATCACAATTAAGCGTGATTACAGAATTGAAAATCTTAAAAATTTAATCAATGATTTATATAATTTAATGAAGATTAACTTGATTAATAATGTAATTAGTTGATCATTTAAGTGCGTGGCTTTAAATTATGACAATAAATTGTAACTATTTATAAATTGTTTTTCCTTTGGAAGGTTAAATTGTTCAAGTTTTAATCACAATCGTAAACAGAAAATAACTTTAAACTTTTCTCAACAATTAAGGAAATGTTTTAGTTGCATCGATTAATTGTCGTATAAATCAAGAAAGGGAAACTATTGATTCTTAATCATCGTGATTAACTGTTGGAATAGAAATGATTAATTTAGTTTAGTCACAATCGTTGCAATCAATGGGTTTAATTGTGATCAAATGGTTTGCTTATTTATTTGGATTGAAATATTTTCCTCTATTAAAGTTAAATTGGTTTAAAATGATTAAATTTAATCTCTTTGATTGGATACGAGTTTATATTGACCATCACAGTTCCGATGGTCAGTTACTGTCCCATTTAAAGTATATGAATGAAAGTGGTCAGTTTTGGTTAGTCTGTTGTCGAGGTTATTCACAGAGGGGGAAAATTTCCCGTCGACAAAAAGTGGCCTCATTTGGATTGGATTTTATTTGCTTATCACTGGTCAGTTACATTGTTTATCTTGCATATATCGAAACGGAGTCCGTTCAAATAATGACCTCAGTGTTTATCTTGATCAATTTTCTCGGTATCCGTTGGGCCTCAATTTATTGTGAACTTACCAATCAGTTTACTATACTTCGTGTTTTGGATGACCTTTTGTTTGCTGGTCATTTTGACGGACTTATTGACCTAATGGGTCCAGTTAATTGTAGACTATTTAAAAAATTCACTTTTATTATGGTCAAGTTTAACTCGTTTGCCGTTTTTGCCGCTGCACCGGGACTCGTTTTGTATAATATATTTGCCGTCCTCCGACTTGAGGTCATTCAACAGCTTTTCCAATCTGATCGAGTTGAAATTGACCGGTTAAGTGACCTATGGTGGTCGATTGAAAATCGATACAATCTACTAATTGTTGTACCCGGTCTTGTAATTACCATTATTTTTTTACTCCAAAATGTAGCCTGGTGTTTCACCCATATCATAATATTCATGACCTACTCAACGCTCATCTTGGATAATATTATAAATTCAGCTGATCATCATCATAGCTCATCGGTTGATTGTTCAAAATATTGGCGAGCAACTAATTATTGTTACAATCAAATCAATATAATGAAACAACAATTTAGCCCAATCACTTTCTATGGATTCATGTTGGGCTGTTTTGGAACTGATTTTGCCCTTTTCACTGGTTGTATTTACGGAACTGGAAATTCAACCTTAAACTTAATCATCGCTGGACTTGGACTATTGGCGGTCAGTATGTTGACCATGATAAACATAACCGCAGCTCAGGCCATTCGTAAGGTCAGTTTTGTGTCGGTAGAAAAGATGATTCATTCATTTCAATTTCTTTTCTTCTTTTTTTTCTGATTCCTTCCAAATTCAGATTAACTATTGTGAGAAATTAAATTATCGCCTTTCTTATTCCTGTAAATGCTCAATTAGTATCAAATTAAAGGTTAGCTAATTAACTATCAACTAATTAAATCATCGAGAGGAAGAAAAAATTAGTTTTGTCTATTTTTCCTTCATCAGAGATTGTCAACAATTAGACGAATGCAAATCTCACCAATTGGTTTTTATGTTGGAAATTTGTTTCTAATGGACAATTATCGTTACTTTGTGGTAAGCAATTAACCCTTTAAACAATTAATATCCAACAGAACAATTAACTTTAATTCGTAATTAATTTAATACAATAGTTTCTATTGGAAAACGGAAGTTTATTATTACTTTTTGTTACCAACTTGACAAAAAAATATTGATCACAATTGATTAACAGCAACAATTAAGATGAAACAATGATTATTGTGAATGTTAATCAGTGATGGAACTTGATGATTAACAAGATAAAGCAATTAAATAAGATTCAAAGATCAACCATTAAATCATATCAATCAGCAAATCAAATCAAATCAAATGTCTTTCCTCAAACTTTCAATAATAGTTAATCATAAATCAGTTGATTTGATTCCTTCAATTAACATGGAGATACAATTTATTCATTTTCTATAATTTAATCAAATCATACAATCAACTCAATTCTATTGGAATAATCAATGGAAAATGTTCATTAGTTGATTAATTTGATCATCGAACGTTAAAATTTTCATATTCACCTTGACATCGTTACCATACAATTAATTGTCTTCCAACGTCTTAAATTTTAATTTTAACGAGTTTTTGATTAATCCATTCATCGAACGATTAACAGGAAATAATTAGAATTTGTTGATTTAAATCAATTGAATCAATAGTTTGATAAAAAGTTTTAATTGTTGTTTCTCTCGTAAATTGTTATGTTGGTTAATAAAATCGGGGAAAAAATTTGAGAAAATTTCAAGTTTGATTGTTGATTGTATTTAATTATCGATTGTGGTTGCGAAGGAGAAAATTATTGTTAACAGATTTGAAAGAGTTAATTGTTATGAAGATGGTGATGATTTAATTTGATTTAGTTGCAATCGATCCTGACATCAAGAGACAACCAATTTGCTTACGAGCTGCGTCAATGATTGTAAATCGAGCGGTATAAGTGCCCTGAACAATTAAAGAATCGCGAAAAATGAGAAAATGGTGAAAATCAATTAATCAAGTTGAAGATTTTTAAATGAAATGACAATTTAAATATGAAAACAAAATTTGAGCTCAAAATTTGATACTTACTGAGTTAAACCAAGAAGGGAATTGACTTTGGGAGGCCATGATGAACTTTTCACCGACATCTGACCTGATTCCCGCTTTAACGGGACACTTACAGTACGATTCTGAATTATGGTATTTCATGCATGAATCAAATTCCATTGTCATCCAATCACAGATTGAAAATTCACAGGCAGGTCCAAATAAACAGGGTGTTCGTTCATCGTCCTTTAAATTATTGGCCTCAGATAAACGATTTCCAGTCCAAGTATCGACATAAAATGAAGTTTCCGCAGGTAAATCGGAAGCGATCTTATAAACTATCGTTGATTCACCTTCGTTATCAAAGTAAACTGGACTCGGGGAAATTGAAACATCGGTAAATTTGACAATGGCCTCAGGTCCACCTAGTAGACAATCAAGGGATCAGAGTTAATTGTTGCCAAGTAGAAATCAACTGATTGATTACTTACCACAATCAAGGAATTGAAATGAACTTGAAGGAGCGCCAATAATAATTGGAGATAAAATTAATAATAGAAAAGTAATTGTTGATAACATAATTATTGATTAAGTTGATTTACTTGTTGATTTGATTTCTATTGTAACAATTTAATCACTGCTTGTTTGCTAACCAACGTCTAGGTGTTTAAATAGTTTCAATTACTTGACCTATTGGTGATCACAATTAGTTAACATATGTAATAAATCAGGTCAAAAACCGATAACGATAATGATGATCATTGAAAAATAATCAATTAATTGTGAATCTAATTAACCAACAATAACCCAACATTCAAATTAAATCATCATCATTTAACTAGGTTAACTTTTGATGAACCAAATGAAACATTAAACTGGATCAATCGGTTAAATTATTTTCATCAGAATAAAACAAAAATTAATTTAACTAAATCATTCAATTGATTATCATTGATTTAATTAACACTTGGCCAAGGCTAAATTGCTAAGTATGCCGAGACTTTTGGTAAATTGTTACATTTCAACCAATCAAATAATTAGATAATTGTTACAATGTTTTAAACTTTTGTTGTTGTTGTTGTCTCAATAGTTGATTAGTTTCCATTTGATTAACAATTTTCTTTGGTTTTCGTTTTTACAATTACAACAATTAAAACAATTAACCTCTTCGTCCGAAGCCTCGACCACCACCACCACCATTAAAACCACCGACAAGTTGAATGGGAACTGTTGCCCTGAGGTCCAAACCAATTCCACACTGAGAATTCATTCCACTGGTCATTTCTCCCGTTAAAGTGATGATCGTTTTATGACCAGAGGTCGTTGAGAAAATTCTGTCCACATTATTTGGTACCCGTTTCGATTGATTATCAGAATAAGGTTTAATTGTCTCAAGTGAAGTTGAAAGTAATTCATCAAAATAAAGTTGACCAACATGAAGTAATTTACCTGAGGACAGGTAAATCTCAAAATGAATATGAATCGGTCGACCAGGATACCAACCAGGAACAATTGTTTGAAAATTAACTTGACCAATTGAATCGGAAATTTGATAACCTCGTAAAAATCTGTCAACTGGACTGATCGAGGTTGTAATTGTCGACCGAAAACCACTTCGACGTCCACCACGACCTGATAACGATCCAACTCCTGAATAAACACCCAAAGCATCACAATGCCAGATATCAACTCGTAATCCAGGTAAACCTTTACACGAATTAACTGAGTCCATTACGTTTATCGTTAAATTTAACGGGATTCCAGGTTTACCATCGGTGATATCTCGTCGCTCTAAGACATCCTTCAAATAGTATGGACCCTCAGTGGACATTGGGGTCAAGGAACATGTCCCGTTGGTCGATTGTCTTTTCGGTCGAGGCTCCAGGCCAATTGTGGTCACATTGGAAACACTCTTGTTCTTATAAGGTGAAAAAGTGACCACATTAGAGTTACTATTGTTATCACAATTAATTAGTTCCAGAATTGTTGATAAACTGAGAAAATATATCGCAATAAATTTCGTTGTTATCATGTTACTTTTTTGTTCAATGATAATCGAAATGATTGAACTTTTCGAATTGTAAATTTTTCCAGAAAAATGATTGAAAAATAATCTCTTTCTTTTATAAATTACTAATACTCTCTCTCTCTCTCTCTCTCTCTCATTTTATCTTCTTGTCATCCATTTTGTTTGTCTTCCTTTTCATTCATTAACCTTGTCTTCTGGGTATCCATCAAATTAACGCAACAATTTGACAGTTTTTAATAAATGACCGTAATCACAATTAGATAACAATTGAAACTATTGTTAGATTGTTAATTGTCCCTTCTGTTCAAATAGAATCAAGTAATTACCATGATTCAGATATTTACACAATTTTAGACTTTATTGTTGTGATCATATGAAATCGCAACAATTACAATCGTAACAATTAAGGTGCCAATCGAGTGAAGGTAAATATTGAAATCGTAATTATCTTTTAATGATAATAAGTGAATGTTGATTTTTAATTTTACCTTTTTCTCTTCTTAATCCAATGACCAATTTAATAATGATTAATTCGTGATTTACTATTTACACCATTTTATTGGATCGTTGCTAGATTACAGTTGAAGGATTAGTTGATTAAGAAAATTAAGTTAATCAAGTTGCTGTAAGGAAAAAACAAACAATCTGATTAACAATCAGGTCATTTTGACATCATAACAACTTCGTATTCTCAATGTAAAGATTTAATTAAATAAATTAATCAAATTACAATACGGTAACGCTAATTGGACAGATTTGTTTTCTGAATAACTTTCGAACCACGTTGACTATAAACATGTGACTGACGGATTTGGAGTCGCTATGACACAGGACTAAGATCAAGGTCATTGAGGTAGTGAATGAACCTCCATTTTGGGTGAGAAGTGGAAGTGAGGGAAAAATTTGTGATTCTTGAATAACTTTTTTGTCTTTGGGTATTCAGACACCAGACTCAAGTTATGGGAGTTTGAGTGATACTCAATATTAAGGTTATTCCTGGTCACTCTGTTATGAAAGGTTTCAAGGTCATTTGATGATCAGAATCAATTCGAGTTCCAACCTGTAGGATACGATCCATTTATGGAGCTGCAAAGAGTAAGAATTAGTAAACATTAACGAATGAGCGGTAGTTAATTTAAGTCTGTTTTGTCTCTTGTGCTCTCAACCAATGGCATTTCCTATTTACATAATTTCTTTTTATTTCAGATCAATTAGCTAATTCAGAAGAAGATTTTATCGGTGTAATGTTTACTGATCTTAGGACTTTTCAATAATACAGAAGCAACTTCTGTTGAATCCTGGACAGATTCTCAAATGTTACCAAAGGTTTTCATCTAACAAAAGATTCTAATTAAACTAATCTCAACTCTAATTTTAAGTTTAATAGTTTGGCCATACTCAATTGTCATATTGAAATATCAAGGTCATTCCGGTCATTCTGTTAGGATACAGTTCAAGGTCATTTGGTGGTCACAAACTACCATAACTTGAGTCTCAACACTAAAAAACAAAAAAGTTATTCGAGAAAAACTTGTTGGAAACTTGGTGAAATGCCCTGTATAATAAGTAACTTACGGTAAACTTAATTAAACACTGTCATTTTCTCTGTTGCAAAAGTTTTCCTGTTCGGCTCAAAAATAAAAGTGATGAGACGAGAATTTTTTCTCTACATTTAATTAGAGAAGGAAAGATATTGAATGCTCCTCCGTTATTAGCAGATATGAGGTCTAAAATGTTAAAACCATATTGAGTAAACCTGGTTCTCTTGAATGTGGCTGCTCGAGTTGCATCCAGGACAAATTGAACACCTTCGAGCGAAGCAATAAGCTACTGGAGCACATGAGGAGAATGATAAACATTTTGATCCAGTGTCATTATTGCGAAAAACTACTTAAATCAGATCAATGGTCGAAATCGAATTTGAAGATCTTTCATTGGGCATTAGGAAAGACGCAAAAATCACTTCTGAATGAATTATTACATATATTAGAATACTTTTCACAATATATGCAATTGTAAATCCATACACATTCGACTAATGTTGTCAAGTAACAACCTCAAAATCTCAAGAGTTACAAAACCAGAACATAGATGGAGTCACATTTATTATCTTCGCCGATTATTGTAATAATTTCATCATAATCTTAATCCAAATTGTTGAAAATTGTTCAAAAAAACATAATTAGAATTAACAGATCTCTCTAAAGTTTAACTAAAAAACTGAACTGACGAAAAAGTCACAGTGTACTTTTATCAATAATAATCTAATTGTTCTAGTCGAATATATTGTCAACCAATCCTTCAACTAATCAACAGTAAACAATTAAAGTTTATTTCTCTTAAACTTTCCCTCTCTCTCACTTTCTTTCTCATAATTTAAACTCATTCAATCTCATTAATGGAAACTACAATTAGATCAATTGTTCACCCAATGAACATTTGAATTACCGTTAAAATGGAAAAAAAAGTTAACCATTAATAATAATAAAGAAAAACGTGTTTCTCCCCAAGAGTTTCTCTGGTATATGTTGGCATCTTTTTCTTGTTTCATTTTTTAAGAAAAAAAGTTCAACATGAATCTAAATCTAAATCCATCTGATTCCTTAATTACTTTGATCATTCTCACCATAAAACGAACATGAAAAACCCTTGAAACCGGTTCTCCATTGATAACTTACCTGTTCTCCTCTGAAGATAGAGAATATTTTCATTTTCTCTTCTCTTCTTCTCTTCTTCTTCTTCTTTTCTCTCATTCACATTTTCTAACATTCTAAATCAACATTGGTTCTTATTCTTGTGCTTTGTTTATATCTTTGTGTAAATGTCTCCAATTGATTAACCATCTTAAATTGTTTTCTTCTAATTAAATTCTCAACATCAATATCTACTTAAAACTCTCTCATTCTAATTGAAGTGATTTGTTGATTGGTCTCAATGATTGATTACAATTCCATCACCTTAGAACCAACATCATCTTCTAGACACTTTTTCCTCTTCTTCTATTACTTATTCTTAATCTGTTGATGTTTACAATTAAATCCAACAATTGATGTTTATTTTTCTATTAATCCACTAAATGGAATTACTATTGTACCTTAATTGTTGTCATCTTCTTATTAAATCGTCACTATTGTTTCGTATTTAATTATGATTCCATTTAGAAGTAAATTCAATGTTTCACTTGGAATCAATTGGTTGATTATTTTTTCAATTCTTCAATTGATTATTATTTCCAATGGGTAAGAATTAATTTTCTCTCCATGATTACCTTAATTATCTTCCAGTGATTAACTTAATTTCTCAACAATTCTCTGTATTGGTCAATCGTCTCTTTTGTTTTCTATCCTTGATTTTTTTCCCCTCAGACTGACCATCAGAATTTGACCTTTACTATGATTTCGCTACAATTTAGCAATCAAATTGATTCTTAATTGTTTCAAGTCATTTGAATCAATTTAAATTAACTTGTTCACTTTTTAAACTATGGTTAACACTATTTTATTTGATTGACAGTTTCCATCGATAACCAAATTATATTAATAACAATTAACACAATTAAAAGTTGACTTTTGTCCTAATTACAATTTTCATAGTAAAGGTTAATTTCAAATTGACTTATTGTTTAACAATAATCAACATTTTCCTTTCACCGATTAATTTATTAATCAATTAAAGTTTAATTATTTGGGTTACTTTTCAATTCTTATATTTAATTGATTCAATTCATTTTCTAAATCATAATCAAAAACAATCAACTTTAATTATTTTCAATTCAGTTTCCTCTTTTTTTTCCAGTTAATTTAATGATCAACTTATTATTGTCATTTTAATTTAATTGTTGATAAAATTGAATACACGTAGTTGATTTGTAATTAGTGATTTTGATTAATTTACCTTAATGATTATGATTAAATTTTGATGATTCCATTGTTTGTCCTTGATTAATGAAAATAATTACAAACAATCAGTCAATCATTAAGATTTTCTTATAACTATTATTATTATCATTTCAATTGCTTCCACATAATAGATTAGATTAATTTGATTGTAACAATCAACAACAATTAGCTAACTACTAACTAACTAACTTATATAATTAAGTAAATCATAAAAAAATCTGATTCAAACTCAAACTTATCAATAGTTAATTGTTATCATTATTACAAAGTTTTCCTAACCAACTAAATTAAATTCACAATTAACTCACTAAACTTAATTAACTTGCATATGTAATATTGTATTACTTTATCCTTGCTGTTCTGTTATTAATTCAGTTTAAATTGTTTGAATTGATTATAAACATAATGATAATTTAATACAACCTTGATTTGTATTAACCTTGTTCAAAACTAAATTGATTATTAATCAATACAAATTAAGATTGTTTTCAATTAATTAACTGAAAAGTCTGATGATGATGTTTTTGTCAGTTAATCGTGTTAATTGTTGAATGAGTAACAATATTTTCCAGTTAATTGCTTGATTCTGATTGAAAAGTTTTTCCGCTTTTCATGTAGATTAATATTTCCTGATTCTCAAATTTATCGTAACTTTAAAATCTCCTTTTGATTTGATTGTTATCAGATTAATCAATTCGGACCTTAATTGCTGTTCATTTAACTCGTTGCTGATTAGAATCAGTGAAAAGGGTTTGAAATTGAATGAACTTGAGCTCAGGTCATTGGTCTTTCTGATTGGAGAATATGATTAATCTAATTTCATGTTCGAATTTTGATTTTCTCTTTTTCTTATAGCCAAACGCATGAAAGAAACTTTTCATTCGAATCATCCTCATCTTCATCCTCATCATCTTCTTCTAGTGTGATTAATGAAAGTCGAAATCGAGCTGCTTATATTGACGGAAGTGCAGCAAGATTTAATTCCAACTTTGGATCAACCAAACGTCCATCAAGAACTCAACCTTCGCCATCAGAACGATTCGATGATGAAGATTCATCAGCAACTCATTTAAGATCTGTGATATCATCGAGTTACCATGATAGTAAAATTGCCGATGAAAGGGACGAGATACCCGAAAGAAAAGAGAAAGATGAACGAGAGTCAAGTGCCGAAGTTATCAGTTCATCTCGTCGAGGTGATGATGAAGATGAGGACAGAAAAAATAATCAACCATCAGAATCCTCATCAACCTTAGCACCCGATAAACCGATAAGGTCACAAGGAGTGAAAAAAAGTCGGACAACACGTCCACCAGCCTCACCACCGAGTACATCAACACAACCTCCTCCTCAACAAACATCAACAAAATCCACTACAACGCACAGTCCAGCCGGACAATCAAATGGTCATCGTGTAATTAATACTCATTCCTCATCTCGTCCTAACGGTGAATCATCATCATCATCATCAGAATCATCAGAGTCTCGACCAGGATTGATCAATAGTAACTTTGCCTCATCGAGTGTGCCAAAGTCGACCAAGCAAATCAATCCATTTCTATCAACCTCAATTCATTGTGGTGAAAACATTACCCTAAGCTCACTGACCACTTCAATTGTTTCTCCAGGGTGGACAGAGGGTGAAAAATATCCCGCCAATGTTGAATGCGTTTGGATTATTACCGCTGTAAGGTCACATTTTACTCATAAAGAGTCAGCGATTTTAGTTCGAGTGAAACATCTTGAGATTGAACAAGATGAGGTCGATTGTCCCTACGATTATCTTGAGATTAAAGGTCACAAGAAACTCTGCGGGTTTATGCAGAACAAAGAGATTCTAATTAATTCGTCAAGTTTAATAATCGTTTTCCACACCGATTCCAATAATGAAGATCGAGGTTTCGAATTGGAAATTTATTCTCATATGGATGATTGTACTCTGGAGGTTAAGGCAACGAACTCAGGTGAAATAACATCACCCGGATTCCCGAAAAATTATCCCGATTCAACTGATTGTTGGACATTGATCAATGCGAAAACTTTAATCAACAGTGGATCTCGAAGTGGTGGTTCTTTAAACGGAGATGGACACGAGAATTTAACCATAATGGTGACATTTGATTTCATTGAATTGGAACCAGATGATCAGTGTAATTATGATTTTGTTGAATTCTTTGAGGTTGATAGTTACACCAAGAAACCAACCAAAAGTTTAGGTAAATTTTGTGATGAGAAATCAATCAATAAACTATCTGAACGCACCATTGATTATAATCCTGATCCTCGAGTATCATCATCACCTCAACCATCAACTCACCTTTTAATTACTCGTCCAACAAATACAAATAATAACAATCATCATCATCAAAGTGAATCAGTACAACCATCATCTTCATCCTCATCATTGAAATCATCATCATCATCCTCATCTTTGGCCAATGAAAACATTAAATCAAGGGCAACAGTTAATGCTAAAGGACCTTATCTATTGGTTCATTTTAAATCTGATCAATTACTTAATCTAAGAGGTTTCAAAGCCTCTTACAAGGTTGAAACTGATCTGTCAAGGTCATCGCTTTCAAATTGTGACTGGACTCCCGATGAATCCTCCATGACACTGAGCTCACCTCAATATCCTAAACCATACCCACCGAATAAGGATTGTTCATTAATCTTAAAATCACCTCGAATCGATCAGAAAATTATTATTGTCTTTGAATCATTTCTCATGGAGATTGATAATAATTGTACTTTCGATCGACTTGAAATCTATGATGATTATGCTTCGATAAAAGGTGAATCATCTAGTGACAATAAGCCATCAAATGGAGTTCGAGGGTCATCATCTAGTCTTTATGCCAACGGTTTGACCATGACAAAAGTACCGACAAAAGTTTTCTGTGGACACAAATCGTCCAAATTTAAATACCTTTCGAGTGGACCATTGATACGATTACGATTTGTTTCCGATTCTCTTCATGAACATCAAGGTTTCTTTGCAAGGTACAAGTTTATTCAGGGTGAAAATATTGATGTTCAACCTTCAAAACCGATTGAAATTTTTACTCAAGTTCCTGAAAATGCTTCGATAATTTTAGGCTCATCTCATCTTCTTTCTTGTCATCCAAATATTTTACACATTAATCAGCCCTCATCATCATCATCATCATCATCTTCAACTCGATTACCTGAAACAAATGACCAAAATAATAACAATTATAATCATCATGTGGGTGACATTAATTTCAATCAGAATCACAAGAATAATAATAATAATCCAAATAGTAAAAATATTTTATGGTTCAAAGATAATCAATTAATCACCGACGGAGTCTCTGAAAATGGGACTAAATTGTTGATTCGTGAATTTTCAAAGTTAGATGTTGGCAGGTACTCTTGTAAATATGGCTCTGCCACCGCTGAGGCTTGGCTTAAAGTACAAAACACCGAGTGTAGTATAACCTTCCGTAAACGACCTCGAGACGCTGTTCTATCAGAAGGAGAGTTCACCATCTTTGAATGTAATGCCATCTCTCCAAGTCAACTGTCCAGTAAAGTGACCATTACCTGGACCAAGAATGGTAAAAAATTGGTAAACAATTCTCGAGTTGATAAGCTTAAAAATGGTTATCTTGTTATTAACGGAGTAAATCAAGAAGACTCTGGTCATTATTTTTGCGTTGTTCGGCTGGAAGATTATCCCAGTTGTACCTCTCAAGCCGGTGCTCGACTTGATGTAAACGCACGTGCCAACGTTGAAGATATTTGTGGTAAACCAAATTTAGCACTGCCCTCCAAACAAAAGCCTCTCCTCGACTCGGCGGGTAAAATTGTCGGCGGTGCAGATGCAAGGAAAGGCGCTTTCCCCTGGCAAGTAATGTTCTGGGACGTTAATCGGAAATCATTTTGTGGTGGAGCGCTGCTCAATGAACGCTGGATAGCCACGGCTGCTCATTGTTTCACCCAGAATAAGTACAGTCCACCACCTCCGCCGTTGGATACAATTGTTGTCCGTCTTGGTAAATTTGACCAGAAAGATACGGAAGAGCAAGAGTTCAACACCAAGATACAAGATATAATTAAACATCCCGATTATAATCCGGAAACTTTTGACAACGATCTGGCCTTGGTTCGTGTTCGAGATCACATTTTATTCACTGATTACATTAAACCAATTTGTATTGGTTTCTCACGATCTCTTATCGATGGACTTTTCTTCACTGATAACCAACGGACAATTAAAATGGGCCATGTAACCGGTTGGGGTCAGTTAAAAGAGAACGGACCTCAACCTCGTTATCTTCAAGAGATACGAATGCCAATTGTTGACCAAGATTCTTGCCGTAAGGCCACTTCCTTTGCCGTCACGGGTAATATGTTCTGTGCAGGTTATGCTCAGGAAATCATCGGTGATGCCTGTAAAGGCGATTCGGGTGGACCATTTGTCGGACTCTCTTCCGATCGATGGTATCTAATTGGAATCGTCTCCTGGGGCGAAGGCTGCGGTCGAACGGGAAAATATGGTTACTACACAAAAGTCTCCAATTACATCGATTGGGTCAAAGGATTGATTAAACACTAATTGTTGACTCATTTAGTTAATCAGTCAACTTTTCATCAACTTAAATTTATTTTTCCATTAACTATTTATTTAAAAATCTTTCCTAAAATCCGAGAATCGCAACAATTTAACCAATACAATTTCAATCATCAAGAATTACATCATAATCAACCTTTTCATTTTTCCCCCTGTTTTTAATTGTAAGACTGAAAAACAATTAATTAACTAATCAGAGAGAAAAAAAAATAAGTAAATTAATTATTAGTAAAACCAAATTTACTATTAATAATAATATCAAGTACAATTATCATCATTAAACAACAACAACAACAAAGATGATCCCAAGGTCTTGATAATTAACTTTAAGGAATCAACAATCAACTTAATTTTATCATCACTATGATTGAATAATAATCAATATCAAAAATCAATGCCATTGACAACAATTAACAAATGGATTATCCTCCTTTTCATCATCTCATTATCATCATCATTACTTATATTGTGATAGATTGAAATTATTGTTCAATCTTGATTTGATTTGATTTCTTTTGATTAAAACTAATCATTTAATTGACTGGATTTGATTTGATTTAATTTAATTTATCTGGTAAAGAAAAAGTTGTTTATCTAATTGTGTGATGAAACTGGTTTTCCTTCAATAAAGATAAACATCAAATTAACATTAAACTGCAATTAGTTGATTGTCATGACATTTAAATTTGTTTTTAAACTTTTAAATTTTGCTATTTTTAAGTTTTGTCCATTTATTGAATAAGTTAAACTGACCATTGATTGAGACCAATGGGAATAGGTCAAAATTAGCGATTTAATCTAATTGTGATCAATCAAATGATTGATGATGGCAATTGTTGTGATTGTAAAGTATTTGAAAAGAAACAGCTTGAAATTGATTCAATTATTGAAAGAAAAATATTCAAATCAATTAATTGATTAGTAACTTTATTCATGGTAATTCATGGTAATCATTTCCTTGATTGTTGGGAAAGTGATTCCATCCGATTGATAAGTTTAAATTGGTGCGATTCGGTTTTAATTACAATCAAAATGATCTCGAGAAAATTGATTCGATGTTTACAATTAACTCTCATTGTCTTTGGTATTTGTAATATTATCGACTCGAGTTTACGAGTTTACGAATATTTGTCTGGACAGTTCAATCGAACGGCAATTTATACATTTTATCGAGCATTTAATAAACTGCTCCAAGGATCTATTTTGATCTTTGGCCTTCGATGGGACCAGTTGATCCGATGTGTTGACCTAATTGAGACCATGAATTTTGAACATTTATTTCCTAACCAAACGAAAACCGGACACTCGAAAATAATTAAGTTTAATCTTCTAATGGCTTTTCCAGTCCTCGTTTCTTTAATTGCAACAATTTGCATCGATTTTAATCCGTTCAGAGATTCACAATTCATAAAATCGACCTCATATATGATCAGATTTTTCCTCCTCCCGGCGAACATCATGAAAATGTTCACAATCCAATCGATTCTCATTTATCTCTCAATTAACCTAGGAAATTATTTCGATATTATCAATCGGAAGATAATTGATTTCAGTCGAAGTGTTAATCGAGATAATTTTCACCTTAATCAGATTCGTTGTTTGTACAGTTCAAATATACGAGCCACTCAAGCGGCTGAAAATTTTGCCGTTTACATTGTGGCCTCCATTTACTTTGAGTGTATCTGCCTGAACCCGATCATTTTTCACCGTTATTTCATTGATTCATCTGGTTCACTAATTAGTAGTAAATTTTTTTACTACATGATTAAAGTTGTAATAATGATCTTAATGACTTACCTGTTTGTCTCACTTAATTGTCAAGCATATAAATCACTTGAAGATTTACATAAGATCTCATTGTGTCGAGATATTGATCAAGAAGAGGTAACAAAGTTAATTAGTCCGAAACAATTAATAATCATATTGATTAAATTTGTTTCTCCTCTAATTTAGATTCAATCATTTCTCCTGAGAATGAGTCAAAAAAATATTGGTTTCACTTTCCTTGGGCTATTTGTTGTTAATCTTAATTTTATCGCCTCACTATTGACCCTTACGATGACCATTGTCCTTTACACTCAAACAATTATCAACCTTTGACCTGATCAAATGTTAATTGATCAACATTTCCATTGATTGTTAACCATTCATCTAAATTCAATCATTCAATCAATTACCAATTACAAACGCGTTACTTTTTGTAGCTGATCATGTCAATCAAATAATAACAATTAACTAATGTTACCAATTGTTTTCATCTATCATATTATAAGTAATATCAATAATAACTTTCAATTGATTTAATTTTGTTTCTAATTGTGAACACAATTAATAAAATGAATCAGGTACTAATCAAAGTTAAACATTAAACCGTAACCAATGTTAATTTATATTCATACAATTATAATTGTCCCTTATAAATTGTAATTATGTGTTTATATGTGAGTGTGTGTGTGTGTGGTTAACTGTTAATGTTAATCAAAAGTTAATTGTTATCACAGTTATGATGATAACATAATCATATTAAAAATCAATTTAATTGTGATAAGTGACCTAACTGAATCTCTGTTACCTGAATAAATCATTTATCTTCCGGTGTTTTTTTTTACTGTTACAATTAACTTACGTTTGCGGTTAAAACCCGGCAAAGGTAATAATTTAGTGTATGATTTAGGAAAAGTATATTAATCACTTGGTTAATTAACACTCTGTTCACGATTGTAAACCAATCAAAGTTAATTGTGAATTAAATAGATGACGTGGGTTTTATAACCTTAGCGGGGTTTTACTCTTGTTGAACTCGATACGCTGAGAGAGTAGTAAATCAATTTGATTGATTTTCTTTTTGTAGTAGTGATCTAATTGTTATCGATTGTGAACTCACTTGTTTCTCTCACCATTTGATTAAATTTACCAATGAATATGTGGTGATGGTATTTAACAATCAATTGGACAACACTAAACAACACCAACAATTAGTTAATAAAATGCAATTCAATCAACCAAGTTGTTTGTGTTTCTATCTTTTTCTAGTGATTAACTTTCTGTTAGTTAATTATTGTTCATCGGCATCTTTAAAATCATCATCATCTCCATCATTCTCAACTTCAAATGATTATCAAATTTACTCGGGTGATAATTTGCCAAATTGTTCTCGAGCTGATTTAACTTTCGCTGCCGATAATCCGATTCCCAAACAATCAAATGGAACCACTTTTCTTCCCGATTTTGATCCAACCGTTGTACTTAATGTAGTCGACGCAATTGTCAATGGTGACCTTTGGAACGACGTTGTCTCGGGAATACGAACTGTTTTCACTCATTGGCGAGATCGATTGTCCCTTAATCCACCATCACCAAGTACCAAAAGTTTTCCAGAAAATTCAACCAATTCCGCTAATCAATTACCATTAGTTGCTTTTGATTGATCAATAACCAGATAAATCCAATTGTGTAAGTAAAGAAAACCAAATTTGTAACCAGAGATCCTTAATTGTTGTCAATCCATTGACAGGTAAACATTGAAATCCTAAATTATTGCTCACGAGAAAAGTTAAATTACAATTAAAAGGATAGAGAAAAAAAAAACAAACTAATTATAGTTAATCAGTTGATTTTTTCGCGTTCAACAAAAAGCAATTGTAAAAAAAACAAAAGAAAACAATAAGCAAATGATTAATCAAATTGTTACTGTTTCTTTTGTAAAAACTTAGAGTGAGAGAAATTAACAATTTGTTTATCACAATAAACTTATATTTTGAAAACAACAAGAACTTGGAGCAACTTTCCAATTATAAAAATAAGCTTTTCGAATCATTAATTGTGATTTACAAAGGAGACCAAGTTGCTTAATATTATCATATTTTTGTCTCATTTCCTTGGTATCCTGTTTATGGGTGATGAGAAAATTGTTTGAACATCCTCGTGATTTATATTCGGTATCAAAACGAGGATCATGTTGTCGGGTTATATTTAATGGTGCCAACCAAACACCAAGAGTAACATCCTCATTATGATAAAGTGAAAGAAGATGAGAATTGGTGACAATATATTTAACTAATGAATGAGATATAACATAACCACCGCCCAGAGCATAAGGTAAATATTTGTCACATAGAAACCAATTATCTTCAGTCCATTTTCCTTGGCGTTTAATATTTGCATCACCATTAAAATATCCCCAATAGAGTGTTCGAGAATCGGCTTTTTTACTTTTCAATTCATCGTAAAGTTTATCAATTCGTACGAAAGAATCATCATCAACCTTTAGAATAAATTTATAATTGAAACGAGAATATGTCCACCGGAGGGATTCCAAAAGCTTTAGACTAAGGGTTGAATAGGAATCAAGAATATGAGGGAAAATTATGATATCATTGAATTTTTCTTGCTCCTTTTTTAAATGTTCTAGAACTAAATTACCACCAGATTGTGTACCCATAACAAAATAATACTTGATTGACCGATTCGATCCAATTAGATTAATCCAACTTTCCCTAATTGCATCTCTACGATCTTTGTATCCTGGTGCAGACATGATTAGAATTACTAGATCAATCTCTTGCTTCTGAGAGGTTGTTAAGTGAGATGATAAGTGTATTAATCCATTAGCCAGGCCAACATCGGTTAATTCTTTACCCATATTATCACCGCCACCAAAACCCTCGCTTTCATCGTTACGTAAAAGACCAGCTTCTTGGTTATTTATCTCTTGATTGGCCTCATCATCGACAGTTGGTGATTTAAGCCTTGAGGAACATAATCCATCCATATTCCAAAGGAGACCAAACATAAATCCAGTTGAAAAAAGTGCTAATCCTCCAATGGTAATTAATACAACCGTTGAATGGAATCGGAAAAATTTTTTACACACAACTGATGGGCTGGTAGATGTTGGCTTAACGATGAACTGCATCACACTAGATTTGATTATCGATTATTGAAGTGAAGATGATCAACTTTAAAGGAGAGAGAGAGAGAGAGAGAGAGACAAAAAGGCAGAATTTTTTTAGATTGGAGAAACAATTGAGGTTAACAAATAAGTGATAATAAATATCGTTCGGTTTTAGAATTGGTAAAAATGTAAAATATGCACATAGAGTAGAGAATAAAATTGTTGATGATTGTTGAATCTTCTCCGTGAAAAATTGTTCAATAAGGAGACAGAAGAAGAAGAAGATAAATATTCGAAAAACATAGTTAATTAATAAAATAGACAATTAAGACAAATTGATTAATTAAAAAAGACAATTGATTAATGTGAGATACTTTTTCCATGATGATGTTGATGCGGCAATTTTAGAGTTACAATCTTTTTCTCTAATTCTAAGCTCGCAAATGAGCAATAATTAGATAAACTGTTGAGCTAAAGGACACATTATGATAGAAGGTAAATTTCAATAATTGTTTCAATCAACTAAATTAATTCGATTACAGTAAACAATTAACTCGAGTTCATTTGTAGTGAATTGTGTTAATCTGATTGACCCAAGAAAGTAAATGTTTCCAGCTGATTAACATTGGAAAAGTTGAAGGCGCGAAATTTGATGTAACAATTTCGTTCTCAAAATAGTTTTTTTTTATTCGTAATTGTTATGATTAAATTAATTTTTTTCTGTAATTAACATTTGAGAGGTTAGTTTAAGGGAGTTTCGGAAGAAGAGAATGAAGAAAATGATTATTTGAAACTCAATGTGATTCTATTGTTTGTTTATCCTGTTGAGTGAATATTTTTTGCAAATGTTTCGTTAACAATTAAAGGAAGCACAATTGAAGCATCACAATTAACTTTTACACATTTAGCGTTTGATTTAATTTTACCCCAAGAAACAGCTTCATCTGGTCGAGCTCCAGAATCGGATCCATCAAATTCATTTGCTGTGTTGATGAAAACTGAATAATCGGCTCCATTTCTCTGAGAATATTGAACAACATTTTTCATTAGAATAAAGAAAATGAGAATTTTTTCGTTCTTTATAATTACCATTAAATTAGCGTTACAAATGTGATGTTTAATTATTCCTCCGCCGATGATTAACATGCCCGATTTTTGGGCTTTAACTGCAATCGTATTGATCCGCCTTATATCAGAAGCAATGTCAACAATTAGTCCAGGATTTCGGAAAGAGTGAAAATAAATCATATCACCAAGTGACCCATCAGTTAGTCCAGGGCAAAAAATTGGAATCTTATTACGAGCTGACCAATAGCATATCGATTGGTCATTGTTAATCTTTTCACCTAATCGGGTGATCATTTTTGATGGAGTCCAAATCTTTTGCTCATCTGATTTTTGCTCTGACAACATTTCATCCAAAATTGGGATAACCCAATCTTCAAATTTACAATAATTCTCATTGGGTATTAATAAATTTCCAATCCTATTGATACCTTTTTCTCTGAGATAATTTCCTTTCAGGTTAAAGTCACCAACGAATGTAGGAGCTAAACATTTGATTAAATCTTCTTCTATTCCACCAGCAGTGGTCACAATACAATCTACCTGAAAATAACAATAGAGTTAATTAACATTCGCAAGGTGATCTCTGTTAATAGTTACCATTTTATGTTGAACAATAAATCTAATGACATCTCGAAGACCACAAGAGACAATATTAGATGTATAACCAAGGAAAATTGAACATCCACTTTGTTTCCGAATGAAACAATCGCTCTCCAAATCATCGGGAGAAAATTCTTCTTTCCTTGCTTTAAGCTAATTACAGTTGACAAGTAAAAAAATAAGAAAAACAATTAGACGAAAAGTTAACTAAAATCAAACAAAAACATTTACCATTTCATTGATTATTTCAATGGCTGTGGATACATTGGTGGCTTGGAATCCAGTGGTTTTGAATGAATTAAAAAGTTCCGCGGGATTAATTCCCTTGTTAAAATCATACCCATGCACCTCAAGAGAAAGAAGATCATCATCTTGATCATCTTTTAATTGAGTTTTTTGGAAAACAGATGAACGAGCAATTAAAGGACTTTCATCAATCACTTTCGTTGAGGAATCATTTTCATTTTCACAACACTTCACATCACCCAAAACCTTTGATACCTTTGGATCCATAGAATTTCCAACAATTTAGATTCTTCTCAACAAACTTATCTAAAATAGAATTTAAAAAGAAATGTAATTTAAATGGTAACAATAATTAAAAAGATTAACAATTTAAAGAGATACGAAAATTAAATCTTCCATCACATGTTCACTATTTTGATTTTGGTTCCAAAACGAAACTAACTCCATCTATTGGGGAGAATCGAATTTATGGAAAAACATGTTTGATTGTTTATTTTTTGTTCCTTTGAAAATGTGAACATTTAATTTGTTCATTTGATTATATTTCTCAATTAAGGTTGTAATTAATTGTTAATTTGGTGAATTTAGGATGACTTCGTGTGCTGTGACTGCTTTTAAGGCCCTTAATGGGATTTTCTCTGTTTATAAGCCTCCATATCTTGGAAAAGCTGCTTTAACTGAAATGATTAAGAAAAATTTAGCTCAAGGTAAGTTAATTGTTGGCAATTTTTGTTTCGGTTTTTTAATTTGCTCATTTTTTGTCTATTTTTCCATCTGTTTTTTTTGTAGGCTTGAATGAAATGGAGGTCAGGCCAGTGGCATCTAGAGTTGTTATTGGTGGGTCACTTTCTAAAGGAGAAAATTTAACAGTTAATTTAGTCACAAATTATGCTGATCATCCATTAGTTGTTGGTCCAAGATATCAGATTAAAGATATTAAATTAGTGCTAGTAAATCATCTTGATTGGTTTTCATCTGGCGTTATTCCGGTCGGTATTGGACCTTCTGGGTGTTTTAATGGTAACAATATTATTTACTTTCTCTATCATTTAGACCTTTACTTATATTAGATTTTTTTTCCTTTCCATACATATAATTTTTAGCTTTTAGACTAAAGAAATCTAATCCAATCAGATGTTACGAGTTAACTGGTAGACTTGGATACGCAACGGAATCTTTTGATTCTTCAGGAGAAGTTCGTGAAAAGTCAACTTATGGTCATATCACTCGAGGAAGATTAGAATCATTTCTTAGTAGAGTTGAAGCAAATCACCAATCACTCATATGGACAACCGTTAATGTCGATATTAAATCACAAGAAGCTTATGAATTGGCATCTAAAGGCTTATTGAAACCCAAACAAAGTAAAAATATGCCAATAATTTATTCCGTTAAGTGTTTGGAATTTGATCTACCCTATTTCACCATCCAAGTTCAATGTGTCAACGAATGGCCGACTTATCTTAAACGATTCATTCACGACATTGGAATTGGATTAAAATCTAATGCAACTTGTACTCGTTTAAGATGCACAAGGTTTGGAACTTATAACGTTGATGATTCGTTGCTTCCCTTTCATGTTAATCTTGAAAATATTGTCAATTTATTGGAATATTTTGATCCTAAACAAGGTAAACTTGTTCGTCCAATGATTGATCAAAGTTTGACCAACGATCTAGACATTGATTATGATGAATATTCATCTGATAATCATGAGGAAGAAATGAAAGATTTGGAATCGATGACATTCAAATTTGAAAAAGATGCTGATGGTTGGATTGATGATCGAAGCGATTTAACTGACGATAGAATTTAAATCTCACTAACGAAAAATTCTTGTAAATTTATATGATTGTAATATCAATGATTTGTAAAAAACTGAATCTTTAAATATTTATAGTAATTATAATAGTAACCATAATAGCCAATTATGTGGTTAATCTTTGTAAATATTGTGATGTTTTAATTATAGATTAATATTTTCATAGAATATGTAGATGCTATTAACAGATCAATTTTGATTTGGTTAATTTTGTGTATGATTGTGTGTGTGTTTGTGTAGATTAAAGGGAAAATAAGCAGACTAATAGTTGTAAGTTGACTCAATGGATTAATCAGAGATGAAAAGGTTCACAGACTAACAATACACTCACTGATTTATGAATGAATGATTATTTTAAAGTGATTATGATAGAGATAGTAGAAATGATAGAAATATTTGCATATTTATATATGTAATTATGATTATTCTGAAGATGGAGGTGGATGCTCCTCAAATCCATCAGATTCAATGACCAAAGCTCTTTCCAAAATAACTTGACCCTCTTTATATCTTTGAGCTTCTTCATTAGCAAACTCATAAATCCATCCAAGCTTGTTGTCACAATTCTTACAGGAAATATCTCGAACTTTATGTCTTCCAGTTAACATGGCTCGTTCCTGAATTTCACTGTTGACAAATTAAACAAGAAAAACAGGTTTAATAAAAAGATTAAAGAATGAGAGCAAAAGAGAAAAAGAGAAAACCAAACCAAAAGAGAATAGAAAAAAGCTAAAATTAATCCTATTCACATAGTTAACCCTTCAACTGATTAACTAACAAATCAGCGAGGTTATCTGAAGATCAATCTTCTGAAATCTAATTAAAAAAAAAAAAAAGAATAAAAGAAATACCTGTAGGTAAGATTAACTGCTTTCTTAAATAGATAAGCACGTCCAGTGGATCCTGTAAATCGGGTTGAGGCCAATTCCTTTTTATTAGTCAAAACGGTGTCACAAGAAGCACATGAGAATAACCTTTCACCTCCCATATGTTCTAAATGAATACGACCCATGATTGGAAAAGAAAAATAATCAAATTTAACAGAATTGAAACAATTAGAAAGCAAAATCCTTTTAAATGTAAAGAGAATTTTTTTGTTTTCAATTTTCTTTTTAAAGGTAAACAAAATATTCCATCGAAGATCGAACACCAGATGGCACTACTTTCGAATGTTTTGTTGAAAGAATTGGCGCCAATTGAGTTTCTCTCTTTCAACTTTTGCCTCTTAAATTTTTTTTAATTTTTTCTCTTCTCTTTAACAACCATTTTAATTTGTTTTTAATCTATTTAATTAGTGACAATTTTATATTCTTTTAAAATTATTGATCAACCTTTTGGAATCATGAATGTTTTCAGCTTTTACCTAAATACTTTAATCTGTGGAAATGTTGGACAAAGATGTAGTTACCAGTTTAAAGTTGATTCTTATCATTGTTCACATGAGGCAACCATTGAGATAGAAACTGAGGTAAGTTAATTTGATTTATTTTCTATTCTATTCTTTTTTTCTAATGTATTGATTGTATTATTTGTTCTTTCATTCTTTCACTTTAATTAGGAGCATGAGATACAATGTGTTGTCTCACCAATTCTTTCCATGGCTCAAAATGGAGGAAAATTACTCGCTTCCGCCAATGAAGCGGGACTTGTTAAACTTAGTGATATTAGTGATTTAAATACAATTTCTTGTTTTGAGCTTCATCAAAATGCTATATTTGATATTAAATGGAGACCCAAAGAACCAAGTCAACTTTTAGCTGCTTCTGGTGATTTAAGTATTTCGCTGGTAGATGTTGAATTCCCTGGTAAGTAGATTTCAAATTTAATTTCTTTGTTCTAATGTTTTTCGATTTGTTTAATTTTCTTATCAATTCTTTATTTGTTTAGAAAAAAAGATAGCCCACATAACCGATAGCCATTCAGGGTCAGTAAGAAGCATAAACTTTAAAGATTCCAATGTTTTCGCAAGCGGGTCAAGAGATGGACAAATTAAAATTTGGGATCTTAGAGATACAACAAGTAAGTAAAGTATTAAAATGTTTCCAAAGTGTTACCATTTTTTTCATTGTTTTTTTTTTAAATTTTTCTTTCGTAAATCTTTGAAATGTTAAATGTTTTCTTTTTCTCCATTTTTGTTCAGAGGCGATGATTTCTATTCCATCTGCTCATGATGTTAATTCTAAGTTTGTCAAGCGAAAATTGCGAAAACACAAAACTCGACCGACAAATGTAGTTACCTCAGTTTTATTCAACGATTACTCATTGTATAGTGGAGGCTCAAGTGATGGATTAATTAAACTTTGGGATACCCGTAAAAAAGGAAATAACAAACGACAACCCGTACATGAGATTCCTTACAATGGTTGTTCCAATTTTTCCGATAGACAAGGTTACACTTGCCTTCTAATGTCAAAAGGTCTTCTTTATGCTTCCTGTTCCGATAAAATAGTTTATTGTTATTCTTCACAACTTGATACAATGATTGGCCGTTATAGAGGTGCTCGAATTAATAATTATACCAAATTATCCATAGTTCAAGATGAATATCTAGTCTGTGGATCAATGAATAAATGTGCTTGTGTTTGGAAGCTCAATGATAAACCTCAACCAAAAGGATCGGTGGTTTCACCTTCTTTCATTTTACCCGAAGAACATGAAGTCGCTTCGGTTGAGACAATCTCCGAAATTGGATGTATATTTACTGGATCTGATGCCGGTCGATTAAGAAGATGGTCTTTTGATTATTTTGATGAGAAGGTAATTAAAGAGAGAGCAGTTCCCTTCGAAGACTATCAAGAGACAACACTTAACGAATCAGAGATTGAAAATATTCCAAACAATTCAATAGAAAACATTTCTTCGGATAATCTTAATGATAGTCTAACTAGAAATGCTCCTCTAGCTGAGAATCAACCAACTCCAAGAATAATTAAATCACTCAAACCAAGGAAAAGGAAAAGTCCTCGATCTTATTCACCGAAGACGAAAAAATCTGCTAAAACTCGACATCAACCAACAGAACCATTAACACCGATAACTAATTACTATCAAAAATTACCCAAGGAAAATACTCCCAAAGGATAATTGAGATAAATTAAATCTTCAATTGTTAAATTTTCTCATCTTATCAGACAAAAACTCGTAAGAGCAATTAGACAAACTGTTATCCAATCAATGACGATATTATAATAATAATGACAATCATCATACAATTGGTGATCATATTTTCAATCTCAAATAATTTTAAATGGAAAGAAATTAATAATTTACCCGTTGAAGAAAATTATTGGACAATTGAACTTAATCACAACAATCAATCCAACTATAAATCAATCGCAATAACAATTATACTTTTACCTTGGAGAGAAACAAATTTAGCCTCTCAAGTGGATTATCAAAGTAAAATAACAGATTAAGTGTACCATCAAACCACAATCAATAAGTGTGAAAAACAAAAATCAATCAATAACGAAACTAAAAATTTGTAAATGTGTTTAATTATTTTAATTGTGTATCTACAATTAACATTGTAAAATTATAGACAAGAGAGAAAGTTACATAAATAACATTGTAACTTCCTTTCGAAAATTTGTATTCTAATTGTCAAATAAAAATATTTTCTTAAAACAAAACAAAACAACAAAAGTTCATATAAAATCAACAACAATTAAATTTAATTCAGTTGTAATTTCCCCTTAACAGCGACATCTATTTTCTTTAAAAAGAAATATTGAGATCCGATATGTAACCAGTATGGATCTTAGATTCGATACATTTACAGAGAGATTTGAAAAGCGACAGAGAAAAAGAAAGAGAAAAATGTGACAATTTGTCGAAAGAAGAAAATATGTTAAGTAGAAAGAGAATTTAGTGGCTCCATCTAAGGGTTGAGTAGATAATCGATGAATGAAAACATTCCCTTGACATCAAGACGTGTCTTCACTTTAAGAGTTAATTGTAATTAAATTGTTATTGATGATTGTCACTCGATTATTTTAATTTAATAAGCCATCGGTTAATCTCGTAATTTTAAGTAATTTACTTGTTCACAATTTGGAATCATGGTTAATACACAAAGAATGAGAGTAGCTAATGAAAAGGCTTCTAAAAATGTTACTCTTAGAGGGAATGTTCCGAAAACCAATGTAAGTAGAATTTTTTTTTATTCTTTTCTCTTTTAATTTCCATTTATTTTTTCCTTTCTATTCTGTGTCTATTTTTTGTCATCTAAATGTCAACGTCAATTGATTTTATTTAATATAAATCAAGTTCTCTCTTGATTAGATGTACCATTTACTTTTTTTCTCTTTTACCCGGTTCTGTTGCGTTCTTCTTATAAATAATTCATGTTCTTTAATTTTCTTTCCGTATTTTGTTTTTTTTTTACTCATTTTTATCTATAGAAAGGACAAGATGATAAATATCCAGTTGGACCTTGGCTTTTGGCTCTGTTTATTTTTGTCGTTTGTGGATCAGCTATTTTCCAGATTATCCAATCAATCAGATATGGTTTCTAAATTGTATTTGTCTCCAAGTATTTGAAGAAAAAAAAATATCAAAGATTATTATTATTATGTTAGCTGTTTAAGAAAAAAAGAGAAAGGAGGACAAAAATTGACCATAAGGTTTACTATTATGCTTTCTCTTTTTGATTAAATAAATTTATTATTTTTTCAAGCAAATTGTTGGACCTGTTGGTTGATAATTACAATCATCTACTATTATCGTGATAATAATCATTAGGATGATCAAGATTTCCGAGAAAATCTCAACTTTCCAGTGAAATTAGTGATTTCTGATAATTTACTTCAATCAAAGTTCTCAATTTAAGAAAAGAAAAGAGTAAACCAAACAACATTAGGAGAAAAGCAAATTAAACAATCAACTAGTTTAATCATCAGGTTTATATACATTGTACTTCCTTTTCCTCTAATTTAACTCGATTAATCACTTTACTATTTTCTAACATCTTTCCTTATGCTTAATTGCTACAAATTAACAACAATTTGCGTTTTCTCAAGATCCCCCTTGAGAAACTCTGATAAAACCAAATCAACTAGAAAGTTGATTACCTTTACTAAGATTCTCGATAATCATACAAATCACATTAATCAATTCTTAAATCATTCCAATTCCTCCAAAACTAACAATCTATTCATCCATCAACAATATCAAAAGTATCAGGAACCAAACATTTATCAATTTAACGAACAATCTAAATAATCTTAGATATCAATACGTCTCCCTACCCATTGTGATAAAAATCATTAACTTACCGATTAACCAAATTAACTTAATCACCATAAACTGACTGAATATTCAAAACAAAACCCAATATGAATAGACTAAAATTAACACCAATCGATAAACTAAATTGTTCAATTGAACAATTTTGTGAATTGATGAGCGGAAACAAAACTGATCGCTAACCCATTTTAACAAAAAATTATCTTCGAACAAAAAAAACTAATCAATATCACTAAAAATATCATAAATTATCAACAATTCTGAACAATTGGTTCCAATTAACGATTCCAAGAAAAGGAAAGAGAGAGAGACACCAAAAAAAAACACCAAACTCTAAACGACGATGAAGATAAACATTAATTTGGTGAGAGTTAACAATCAGTGAACAGATAATATGATGAATCAATCAACCTGAGAGCATAAACATTACATCAATTAATAAATTGTTGTAGTAATTGTGACACTTTTTTTGCTCGTTGTTCTATCAATATAAAGTATCACTTGCTATCCCTGGTGAAGATCAGTTAACGTGTTGAACTGAATTAACTGAACCATTGATTTTTCACCAACACCACAAAAGAGAGCGAGAGATACACACACACTTAACTTGCCGAACACACAATTAACTCTAACAATTAAAAATATCTTTCTTACCTCCCATTTAGAATGGAACATGAAAAAAAAAATATTCCTTCCTCTTCCTCTTTCTTTTTCTCTTTCTTTTTGTTAGAATTTTCAATCTTCCAATTCACATCCCGCCTTTTTCTCGACTCTCTTTCTCTCTCTCTCTAACCAAATTGTCGATATTCTCTCTTAATCATCGTTAACAGAATCAGTTGAACAACAGACATTTGTTGTTAACAATTTAAATTCATTGTGTTAATTCACTTTGATTTTTGTTCTAATTGTAAATCACCTTTTCTTCTGTGATTATTGTTTCTCTCTCTCTCCCTGTGGTCACTCATGGCACCGAATGCCGGATACAAGGAGATAAATGTTGTCCATCGAACATCATCCAACTCGAATAATAAACAAAATGGTTCCTCAGTTAAAAATGTAAATCGACAATCAAATAACAAGAAATCTAAATCATCTAAATCATCTGCATCTTCTTCAAAGAGATGGTCAGTTAATACCTGGATGACCATTTTCTCTCTATTCTTCTTCATCTCTGGACTTATCTTATTCTATATTCCAATTGAGAGATTGATTAAATTACAACAACAACAATCAACTGTCCAAGAAAAAGAGGATTTCAAATGGATGGTCACTACCGATCAACATGTCGGCCCTCATGTTTTGTAAGTTCATTTTTCCTTAATTTCCCTCAATCAAATCACTCGATTGTTAATTAGTCAACTTATGTGATTTACAAGCAACACTAATTATTTAACATTGTCTTTGATTATTTATTTACCTTTCCAAAGACAATCAAATGATAATTGTCTATATTTCTCAACAATAGATTTAATCATTTTCTATCAACTGAATTAATATTAACCGTTTACATATTTACTCAACTTTTAATTGTTGTAATTAACTTGGGAAACAATGCTAACGTTAATAACTTGGATCTGTTGATTTTAAGATTCACTTTGAATTAGACAACAATTTGCTTATATTTTCATTTCTTTTCTGTTAATCATGATTAACTAATTGTTAGAATTGCTTCCGTTTTGTAGTTAACAATTTGAATCCAAAAAAAAAACATCTTCAGACATTTTCATGGTCTAATTGAAGATTGATTATAATCTTAAATTAACTTAGTTCTTAATCACCATGATAATCACATTTCGACGATGATTATGATGATCAATTATGAGTTAATCATCAGACTGTGAATTGTATCTCTTGTTATTCATTTAGTTAATTATGTTAATTTACCTTCTAACTACTGATCATTTTCATTGTGAACATTTTCACAATTAGAGTTGAATTATCTAAACTCAATGTGAGACATTAGTTAATTAAATTGATCAGATTTTAAGTGTAACAACAATTTTCAACAAGAATATTTAATAATCGGTTAATTGTTATTAATAATCATCATTAACTGACACTAATTGTCAAACAAACAATTAGTTATTAATTAAACTCGATCAAGTTAATCAATGAACCATAAATTAGTTACTCTTACGATTATCGATTAAATTAAAAACACAAAATGCAAATTGTTTTGTCGTAATTAAGTTAATCATTTTATCGTATTGTCAATAATCCCCAATAACTAATTAACTCTTGTCACTAACCCGTACAAACTAATTTACTGATTGTTTATTTAAAATAACAATTAACAACTAATTGTAATTGTTATTAATCTTTCCTTATATTTTTCTTTGTTTTTCAATGAAAAGAAAACCTTTCAGCAATTAACTTTCAATTATTTGATTCTTTTTGTTAACTTAAGACAATCAATTCCTGCTTTTGATTGTTACACTCTAGAAAAAAAAAGTGTAACAATCAACTGATCATGTTGATGATTTCTATAAAAGTAATGCTGATGATGATCACAATTAAAGTGAAAGAATAAAAAAAGTTAAATCAATTGGGTGACAATTAGCTTGATTATTTGACTTCTCAATCTTATCACAACTGCTTTCAGTTTCATCAAAGTTTTTTCATCTCTTCATTATTATGAGACAATTAGTTAATTATTTGAAAAAAAAAGAAACAATCAAAATCAACCAACACAATCAAGTAAAAGTGGGATAAGCCTTGATTGTTACAGGTCGATACAATTAATCACAACAATCAACATTTTTATTATCAAACTTTACGAAAAAAACTTTGAAAAAATTAAGTTTTTATCATCTGAAGATTAAGTTGACCTGAAATGAACTAACTCAATTGATTTTAGTTGATCACAATTAACTAATTGTCCTCCAACTTATTGAAAGTTGATAACTTCTTACTGTAATAATTAATTGTAATCATTTTAAACAACTAATTTTAGCCGAATTTAATTGCGTTTCAATTAGTTTTCAAGTCAATGAAAAGCAATCAAATAATTTTTTAAATGACAAAAATTAAAATCAATTTGAAAAAGATGAGGTGAACAATTAATAAATTGTTGCCCTTGATTGTTAACCATTTTATTTTACAACAAATTAAGAATCATTCACACCACCAAATACAATTAGATTATTTGATTTTCTTAAAGATTAACCATTAGGCATTTGTATTTAACATTTTATGATCATTTTCTTTGACAATTAAGTTAATCGTTTCCATGATTATCCAATTTCAGCCACCATGATGTCCCATGTCATAAACCAGGTTATCGTCGGGAAAGAGCCTATGGCGCTGAACCTCAGCGTTGTGGTACTTTAATTTACGATGAATTGGTACCAATGGAAGAAGCAATTAGATTAAGACAAATGGCCGCTAAATTGGTTTACGAAATCGGGGAAACTAATCCATACTCTCGAGAATCAACTAATCTCCATTGGGTTAATCTTCACACTGTCTTCAAACGAGGATACAAGGAAAAGGTTTTCAATGAGACCGATTTCAAGTTGATTAAGAAAACATCAGAACAAGCAAAGGTAAAGTAATCAAAATTTAATTCGGTTCGCAATTGTTGTAGAAAATTGTTTTCATTACAATTAATCCTTACGAATCAGCTGACCAACCATATCGATCAAACTTGACCTTAGGTTTGCAATTAGACTAATTCACATATTAGATTTTCTTCATTGTAATTACAACAATTTGATTAGTTTGGCAAATGATTTATTATCACAATTGATTTTGTTGTTTATTGTAAGAGTAGTTTTTGCCATTCGATTGAAAGTAATCGAGACAATTAACTAATCACTGACAGGGTAATCACCTTTTAACCTAAATTGTCGGTCAGTTAATTTGTAAGCTATTTTGTTTTCATCGATAGTTAAAAAAAAAGTAGTTAAAATCAATTCAATTGTAGTAAAAAAAAAAATTCAAATCTCTAATTAATCATAATGAAAAATAATACAAATTTCAGTTCAAATCTGTTGAGAATCAGTAATTTACTTATCATTACAATTATCTTAATGGTTGATTGATCGTAATCATTATTAAAATGGAAAATGTTTTACCAATAGTTTCAAGTTTCGATTGTTGGTCATTATTATTATCACAATTAAACATTACGATTTAAATTGTTGTTTTTCACTTCGTCAAACACAATTTCGAGTGAATTAAATATAATAATAAGTTACTAATCAGAAAAGCGGAAAAGTGAAAGTTTCACTTTCGCTTAATCGAATCGATTGTAGGTCAAGATTGTGATTGTTGATCGAAAATATTTTTAGTGAAAATGATTAACTAATTGTCTCTCTTTTCCCTTAAATTGTTAGACTGTGATAGCCGAAACTTTCGGAATACCAAGAGACGCATTACACTTTACAACCGTCGCTCAATTTACTAGATATCGACCGATGACCCGTTACTCTCAATTCCGACACGTTGATAAGGTTCGAGTTCAATCGTTAATTGTTACCTCGATTCTATGGTTATCAACTTATGATTATGATTTCGGCGGTGGAACCACATCTTTCTTAACAGCTCCTGATTCCAAGCCATTTACTCCTTACATTGTTCAACCTAAAATCAATCGATTTGCAGCTTGGACTTCAGGCTGGGAGAATCCTCATGAAGTGATGCAACTTCTTTGGGGTGAAAGATTAGCGTTAATCTTTGCGTTCACCGTTAATCCCAATCTTGGTGAAAAGAATATGGAATCACTAAGAACTTGGGCTCAAGCTTTACCAGAGAATCCATTCCATGCTTAGAATGACAATCAATCTTTATGATTGATGAATAGAAAATTTCAATTTTCTAATTCCATCTAAATATAACATGACATGTTGATCATTTAAGAAACTTGATCAAAAAAAAGGTTCATAATCATCATCACCAACTCTTTTCATCGTGTTTGTCATTAACCTAATCATCACTTTGTTTCTTGAATGTGATTTATGTGATTGAAAAGATCTGTAAAATAATTTATTCTCATTTTTCTCACAAATTGTTAAAAAAAGTTGTTTTTCTCACCTATTCTATATTAATTGTTATCGTTCATAATTGTTGTTAATCGACTTAACATCTCACCACAAAATGACATTAAATCCTCTTTTCCCTTTCCAATAAGAATATTGGTTTTATTTTTGTAACTATGTTTTCCTCGTTTTCTTGGATTACAAAAAAAGAGATACAAAAAGGAGGTTTTTCCAAACCATATTAACTCGTCTTCTTGGCTGATCGCTGAGGTTTGGAGATATTATCTGAAATTTTGTTCAGTTCTTCAGAAAATTTCTTAACTGTCAATCGGAACATTTCAACATCATCTTCTTCCCATTTTTGTCTATCTCCATGAAGAAGAAAAGAAGCAAAAATCACAAGATTTGACACCAAGAATGAGAGAAGCAATAACAGCACAAACAAAGAAGCGAAAGTTTTCCACAAAAAGAACAAAATTACCAAAATAAAAAAAGAATAGAAAACAAAGAAACAATTAGAATAGAATAGAAATAAAAATTTGAAAGAAAAGATCGACATTTTTACTAACCCATTGATATTGACGTCACTTGCATCCAGATGCATGGTCAATTCTCCCAATTTACTGAAAGCTTGACCAGCAAAATTAAAAATTTCAGCAACTCGACCTGCAGCAGGAGTAGATGACATTTCTAATTGATTAAATCAAATCAATAAACAAAAATTTAAATTGTTGTTTAAAAACAAACAAAAAGTACCAACAAAATTTTCAGCCAATAAGAATCGAGAGGGACCGAATTAAAATTACAATTCTGTTCCATACTTAACATACACTCCCTCATTTTCCATCGATTTCAAAACAAACCAAAGAAATTGAAACAATTCTAATTGTAAAAAAGATGAGAAATTAATTAAACTAATCAACAACAATAAGTGAATGTAATTGCTTAAATTGGAAACTATTGATTATCGGTTTTGGAATAAATTTTTTTCTTATCGTTTGATTTTCTTTTCAACAGATGGTGTTACTTTCGTCTTTCAATCAGATGTTTTGTTTAAATCATTTGATTCCGAACAATTTATTTAATTTGATTGATTGTTAATTCTAATCAATTTGTCTCGATGATTTAATCGCTTTTACTTTATTATGCTGGGCGGTTTCTGCTGGTGATCTATTACTTACTTGTGTAGTTATGTTTCTCCTCTTCAAGTGACATCTCTCATTGAGAATCGGATGTGTTTTCAGCCTTTGGTGTAACTTTGATCATCTTTAATTGTTACAATTTTAGCTTTTTTTGTCATCAAACTACTAAATTTAAAAAGATGACATTGGGTTAGAAAATTTATCTTCATTCACTATTCTGTCCATTATCATTAACATCCACCAACTAATTTACGAACAATCAATCCAATCCATTAATCCGACTAAAGGAAAAATTAATATTCCATTAGCTATGGAATATAATATGTCAATCGTTTTCTAATTGACTTATTATCTAATTACCATTATTAACACTCGCAATTAACTTATTAACCTATGAGAATCTTTTCCTTTATTCGTTGGACTTTAATTTCATCGAGGTTTTGTATTTCCTGTCCAAGACTTTAACAGGTTATTCTCAATGGAGTTTGCTGTTCTTGAGCTCGGCCTTAAAAACAAACAGATTTTCAATGTCACATCATTTCTTAGGATTCAAGTTGAAGGTAAATGATTAACAATTTATTTACTTTTTTTTAAAAAATTCTATTCTATTTGAAAGTGTTACTCATTATGTGAATAAATCTTTTCTCTACTTTGATTGACAGCATTTCGAGTTAACTGGGAAAAACTGTGTACAAGTTTGGATGGAGCTGATGGTGATGATTGTCAACCTCTTTTCGATGATTGGGAGAAAGTTTTTTCTAAAATATTAATCATTTTAAAATCAACTTTACATGTTGGCCAATCTAGAGAAGAGAATGAATTTGGTCAACGATTGGCAAGAATATCATTACAAACAAGTAACTCACTTTTAGAGATATTAAATCGAGAAGACAGTAATCACATTATTAGCCCTTCACTTGACCGGGAGAAAACTCATTTCATCTCTTCATTAATCAATCAAATTAACTTAATTCGGACAACCATTGGAGCGGTTATAGCTGAATCAAATATTGTAGTTGCCGTTGAAAAGACACCAAATGATGAGGGGACTGAAATTTTCCGCTCTTGGGATGGAACAAGTAAACAACAGATTCTCATCAATTGTATTAAAGATCAATGTCTTCCCTTGGGCCAATATTATATTATCCACAAACGAAATGAACAATTACCATGGTCATCAATCAATGAGATGGTTTACCAATCAATTATTAGCTATCTTAAAGCTGGTGAAATTAAACAAGTGGAAAGTATTTTAATTGGCCTCGGACTTGATTACAACTTTCTTCTCAAATATATTTTGGAATATACATTTACCGATAAATTACGATCTCTTTTAATTAATCGTCTAAATTCCGAAGACCAATTAATCTATGAGAGACTTTGTCTAATCGAAAAAGTCAACGAACCATTGCAACTACGATTAAGCCTCTCCTGTGTACGATCAGTTAAATCGAGCTACCAAGGTGACCTGTTGACCTATGGGATTTTCCAGGAGAATTCAAAAAATCGAACCTCTTGTTTAAAAGTAGTCGAACCAAGTCAAATTTGGTCCTATCTAGTCAAAACTAATCGAATTAATTTACTTAAAATGTGGATCACTCGATATTATGATAACGCTAAAACTGGCGATTCTCAAGATGGAACTGTTTTCTCAGCTAAAATAACCCAATCAATGATTGATCAGTTAATCATCGATGGTCAAGATTACCTAAGAGAATCAACTTTATCCTCTTTGGGTAATTATGGTATTTTTAGTTCCAGTGAATTGGATAATATGCCACTTTTGATTCGTCGTCTTTTCCGTTCATGTCCTGCTGAAAAAACTGGCATATTAACTGGATTTGCTGATCACCCGTTGTTCAATAAAACCACAATGATTAGTTATCAACAATTTCATAAGCAATTCATTGAATATTGTGCTGAAAATTCACTCTATCAAATATTATATTGGTCATATGTTCAAAATGAATTTCAAGTTAACCTGGAAAAGTGTTCAATTGACCCGAAAATGGGCAATCTCTTACAACGATTTAAAACTTGGAATGAAGATCCACTCAAAGACTATCATACTCTTAATTCAATTCTTGAAGTTTCCCGTTACCTTTATGACCTTAAATCACCAGTTAATTTACAATCCCTGTTGGACGCTGATTTAGGCAAACTTGCAATTCTTGCCTCTCAATTTGCTCCCAAAGGAACTTTATCATTTTTAACCGCATCACCAGATGAACTTTGGTTCGCTGAAAAAGATTCACTTCTAAAAGCTATGGAAAAAAATTATCCTCTCTTATATCTTGCCACGGTTTCCATGAAAGAATTGAATCTTCCCTTCCTTCCTATGCAAGGAAGTGAATTCCCATCAATATATACTCTTCTCAATGAGACAATTGACCTTGACATTACCCGTCTATTCACGTGGCAAACGACAAATAATTACCGTATTTCAAATGATTCAACGATTCTCGGTGAACTTCCCCACTTTTCCCACCCCAAGTTGGTCGGACTTGGCCTGAAAGCGAACCTCACATTCATTTATCACCTAAAACGAGGTCGTCCTTTCGAAGCCTTCACCCGATGGATGTCAACTAAATCTACTTTACCCTCGCCTAAGAAAATTGATCTCGTCTGTAAACGAGCAGCTCTTTTAGCCTTCTACAATTGTACCAGCTTGGAGATGACATCGGCTTGTGTCACATTCTTTGAACTGTTCAAAATCAATTCGACAAATTTTAGACTTCACCTTGCAATTGGCAACCTTATAATGACCCACGCGGGTAAATATTTAGGCCTGGAGACAAAAGCTCAATCTATTGAACTAGGAAACGTTTTGAGAAAAGCTTATTATCACAATGAGAAAGGAGCAATTACTCACCTGATGGAACTACTTTTAACCTCATTCACCAAGAAATACGGTGAAAATGAATGTACAATGGACGAATGTGTTGAATATCAACTGGCAATTAGTTTCTCTAATCATTACAAATTAGATTTACCATTAACTTACCTCAACAAATGTATCGATTGTAACGATTGGTTAATGTTTACAGTTTACTCGCAATTTTATGAATACCCTAAGGAGATTGTATGTAAATTATTGACCACTTTCAGTGGATGTATAACTGAACATCTTGAGAAAGCATTCAGCTCTTCAATGGTCACTAGCGAACGTAAAAGTCCCCAATCAATTGTCCGTCGACGAGTAACCGAATCTCGAGATACACTATATTCGAGACTTGGTCTACTTAAAACACCAACAAATACACGTTCAATCCCACCAAACGTCCAACAACAATTAGCAGTTAGTCCAGAAGATGATAGAGCTTCCGTTATTAGTGAAACTGATCTATCCAATCTAGAAACGGTTTCGGTCACTTCGAGCTCAATGATCGGAGATTTACAAGAAAACCTTGAATTTGATCCAGAATCTCCACCCAAGGATCTTTTCAACCTAATATTGACCTGTCAACGATTCCATCCCTCGGAACCAGGAAAATCACTACTAAACGCATCTATAGCTCTAGTTAATCCAATTCCCGCTTTAATTGCCGCTTCTCTTTATTCCAATTCAGAAAACGACAGCGTCTTTTCAACCTTTGATTGTTTCTGTTGTTGGCTTCATTCCTCTTTCCAAATGCCGGACGATAAATCGATTCGGCCTTCATCTAATTCAATCCTTTGGAATCAACAAGATTTTAATACACTGATTCAAAGTGCCTTACAAGTACCAAGTAACTTTATCGTTTTCCGTAACGCTCTCAGAATATTTTCCTTGCCCAACAGTCCGCTTATTGATCTGGTTCAATTTTTCATTGAATTTCTGGTGGAAAAAGATTACTATGAGTCTGTTAAAAAGTTGAAGACATTCCAAGTGTGCCTGTGGAATTATAAGAAACCCGTTGACTCTCGAGGTCTTTTATCATCAAAGGCCTGGATGGAGGAAACATCGGTCATCATATTGTCCAGTGGACTAAAAGCCGCGGACTCAGAGTATGAGCTTCATATACTTTTACGACACTTAGATTTTGCTCGACTTCAAAGTAGTTTCGATGAAGAAAGTAAGTATTGTTTGGAGAAAAAGGTTAAATCAATTGTTTACTAATTGTTTTTCGTTGTTTCTTCAGCTTGTGTTCCCGATTTTCGTAAAATTTATCGCTTATCCCAATGTGTCCAAGAAACTAGTCTAAGTCTTAACCGTCTGAACATTTGTGATTTCCTTGATTTCCAACCGGCAACTGATGAATATAATGAACGTGTCCTATCATTTGTCTACGAACTACAAGAGCGAGGCTTTTATCTGGAAGCTCAACAATTTGCCACAATCAATGAACTCACTGATGATACAATTTATGTCAATGGATGGAGGAAAAAAATTCAAATTGATAAAAGCAATTTCTCTCTTTGGAAAAAATGTTTCAACGATCTTGAAGAACGACAAATTGACCTGACAGTAATTCGAAAATTTATTCAAGAATTTCGTAGTACCTTTTATTGTGAACTGACCAATGCCTTCATCTTGGCCAAAGACTTTTATTATGCAACCAAATCATCAGCTGATCATAATGATATTATTTCATGTGAACTTGCCCTTTGGAATACAGTTATATCCATTGAACTGAATTCCATTCATCCCGATGAACTAATCGATTGGACCGATATTTGGGAAAATATTTTAAACATTGCGAAAGATACAATTCCACCCAGTAAGGGGACCAAAGGTACAAATCATCTAGCGACAGAATTGACCGATGAAGAGGCTCGAGTGCTACGAATAATTATTGGTAAAATTTTAAATGTCGGCAAAATCGAGTTGGCCTATCGTTTAGAGTACCTTTACAGAGTTCGAAGTCACGATTTGCTTTTCATCAATGTAAGTGTACCATCAGGTTGATTAATCAATTTACTCTAAATTCTAATTTTTTTGTTTCAAACTCGTTAATTGTTAACAGTTTAGCAATTTACTGGCCAACGATTTTTTCTTAAGTCAACCATTTAGTGCTCGAACATATTTTGAAGTTACTGCCAAAGAATACGGATTCACAGATATCGCTCAAGGTAACACTTAAATTGTAGTAGTTTTGATTATGATGAACTAATTGTTTTTTTGTTGTATTTGCACAGTTACCCAATTGTTGATGCGACCACCCCTTGAATCTGGTCAAGTGGTCAAGGTTTTGGAAAAGTGTCTCTCTCTATCAGAACATGCTGAGAATGCTTGTCAACGAATTATTCTTTATTATAAAATATCATTTGTAAGTAGATTTTATATAATAATCTTAGAGTTTTGGTCTCTTAATTGTTTGAATTTGTCATTTCCTCAGGTTATTGAAAAGCGTTATTCTGAACTCGCCGAGGAACGAGATGAATTGTCCATATTATCTGAATTGGTCAAGAGATCGACAACTAATCCTGAAGCGTTAGCTTATGCCAAAGAGTTGATTAGTTTTGGTAAAATTGGCGATGATAAAGTTTCCAATTTAGTTTTGGCGGAAATTTTACCTGCAATTAAAAATGATATTGCTCAAAGTGAATCAAGTGAAAGTGGTATCGGGGAAATTAAAAATGGCTCTTATGAAAATGCGACGGCAACAAATTTCCTCGCATTGATCCGATTAATCAATGATCCAGCGATTCTTGGTCGGCAATTACTTGACATCTTACGAACCAATGTTTCACCTTTAATGTCCGTTGAAATCTGTATCAAAGCCCATGAATGTTTTACCCTTTGCTGTGATATCGAAGGTATCTCATTGGTCCTTCGAAATGCTCGAATATTGATAATTCAACATTTGACCATAACCAAGAATCACCAAGCAATGATTCGTCTTCTAACCGGAATCGGTCGATATTCTGAGATGTCTTACATTTTTGACATTCTCCGTGAAGATCATCAATTTGAGTTACTTCTTCGTCGAGGTAATCAAAAGTGTAACAAACTACGAGTTGCACTTTTAGATTATCTCAAGGGAGACAAAGAGATGTACCCGTTGATTGCGCTTAACTTTAGTATGCATCGAGAAATCGCTGAAATGTTAGAATCGGGAGCAATCAAATCACTAGGCTCAATTAACCTTCGGCGGCAGCAAAATTGTATGTCATACAAAGAGGAGCTGGAAAAGATTTTACAAGAGCTGATGGACGCGGCGGAGAGCTACAAGAAAGCGGGTGTTTTTGCCCGATCGGATTATTGTGATAAAATGGCTCAACTTGTTGCTCTTCAAATTCATTATTTACCCTCGGGCGTTATCTTGATCAATTTATCGGACACCATGGTGACCGATTTCATTGCTCGCCATTCCAAGTTCATCGAAGCGCTAATTGTTGCCGATGCTTATCAAAATCATCGACAATGGGCAATCGCCATTTTCAACAATGTCGTTAATCGCGGTGATTGGACTTATTTAAGAGATTATAACAACACTTTTCCTCTTAATCCAAACAATTTAGAGGAAATTTACGGTTTATATATTAAATTTCGTACCAATAATCGTAATCTACCCTCCGATAAATTGTCCACAATGAAGAGTAACCTTCATAAATTAGTCAAACAATCAAATGATCTGGTTCAAGTTTACAAATATTCACAAGAATTGGGTTTCGTTGAAGCTTCCAACAATTTACTCAAAGATATCAATGGAGCCTATCTCAGTGATCTCAGACGTCAAGGAAATCTATGAATCAATAATTAACAATTAATTGTTGAGAAAAACAAAACCAAATCTAAAATATTGGAAATGAATCAAATCAACTATTGTTATTATTATTTTTAATTAACATCATTATAAATTTTTCTAATCAACTTTTTATTATATCGAAACAATTGTTTATCTAAATTCTGTGACTTGTTAATTTACTTCAAATCTATTATATCATAAATCAAATAATCATTTTTTATCATCACAATTAAAGATAAATAATAAATTAAATCAATATTTGTGTTAAATGAACAAACGAAAATGTGACAATTTATTTTCCAATTCAATGATTATTATCAATGGAAATGATTTCTATCAATACGATCAAAGTTCTCTGACAAAAAAAAGAAAACAAGTTAATCTTAGAGTTAATTGTTTTCTAAATAGAAACAATTAAAACAAATCATGAGACCAAATTGAAAGAAGAAAATTTTCTCTTTCTTTTTTCTTTCTTTTTTCTTTCTTATTCTTTTCTTTGTCATTTCTTTGTTTACTTTTATCGGAGCAACATTGTTATTAGAAATTCATCTTGTTGATTGTACTTTCGTTTCTTAATTATGTTGACAATTATTTCAATTCTGTTTAGTTTAATTGCTTTAAACTATGGAAGTGAACATGTATTTCTCTCTGAGACAATTGATCCATTGTCGGATGAAATGATTAACGAAATTAATTCACTCAACTCTACATGGAAGGTAAGTCTTTGTTTAGCTTTTCTTATAACTTTCACCATTAAAGAATTTAATTTTTCTTTTCTGTTGATTGTTACACTTGATTCGCAGTGATTGTCATGTAATATTAACCATTTTTGGTGGAAAATTGAATTTTCTTTGTTTGTTGTCAATACAATTGATTCTCAATTTCTCTTCTCTTTGTCTCTTTTTAGGCTAAGAAAAACTTTGCCAATGTTTCCCTGGATTATGTGAAAGGATTAATGGGTGTTCATCATACTTACGATAATGTGATTCCATTGGCCGAGGAAGATTTTCCAATTGCTTCCGATATTCCTGATGAATTTGATGCTCGTGAAGCTTGGCCGGGATGTGATTCGATCTCGTTTATTAGAGATCAAGCGTCTTGTGGCTCTTGTTGGGCATTTGGTGCAGTTGAGGCCATGTCTGATCGTATTTGTATCGCTTCGGGTCAAAAGGCTCAGGTAATTTTATCGGCTGAAGATTTGCTAACTTGTTGTGGTTTCCTTTGTGGTTTCGGGTGTAACGGTGGTTTCCCTGGAATGGCCTGGTGGCATTGGGTCCATCGCGGTATTGTCACCGGTGGATTATACGAGGGAGAGGGTTGTCAACCCTACAAGATAGCCCCGTGTGAACATCACATTGTCGGACCTCGACCTGATTGTAAAATGGAAAAGACACCAAAATGTGAGAAAACATGTCAACCAGGATACAATAAATCTTATGAAGCCGATAAACACTATGGATCCAAATCATATTCCGTTAGTGGTGTGGCCAAAATTCAAACAGAAATCATGACCAATGGTCCAGTTGAAGGTATTGATAGAAACAAGTAATAATTAATCATCAAACTGACCATTTATTTTTCCTTCATTTCTAATTACAGGAGCTTTTACCGTCTACTCTGATTTCGTTTCTTATGCATCAGGTTCGTTAATCTTAATTGGCTTTCATTTGAAGAGCTCTATCATTCCAATCTAATCAACTCTAGTAACTGAAGTATTAAATTTTTCCTCTCTATTGATTTAATTTCTAGGTGTTTACCAACGACACTCTCATGAGCAACTTGGCGGTCATGCGATTCGTATCCTTGGTTGGGGAGTTGAGAATGGTGTTGATTATTGGCTTGTTGCTAATTCCTGGAACACTGATTGGGGAGATAAGGGTAAGAACTACTCATTTACTAACAATTAGTAAACAATTAAATCCAATTGACTTTCAACTCTTATTGAATTCAGGCTATTTCAAGATCAAACGAGGAACCAATGAATGTGGTATTGAAGGAAAAGTTAACGCTGGACTACCCAAATTGTAATTCCAATGATGGACAATTAATTAATCATTAACAATTAACCTTATCAATTTGTCAACATTCATATTTTCATCATTCAAGTTAAATCACAAAGTTTGATTGTTAGACAAATTTACGATTTTTTTATTGTTTAGATGTTTTTCTTTTATATCTGATGGAAAACAAATCAATTAAATCATCAATAACAATCAGATCGTCATTAAGTAATTGTCACAATTACTTGACCGCAACTTATAACCTTTAATATTTAAATGTATTAATAATTTGAGAAGACAATTATTACAATGAGCTCTTATCATCAACAATTAACTTCATAGTGAATAAATTGAGAGAAAAATTATATCACCAATTAATTTAATTGATTCGGTAACATATTAACTAATTAAGGAAATAAAGTTGAAAAAAGTATAAAAATAACAATTAAGTGTGAGAAAGTAAATCACCTTTGATTACTTTTGAAAATGATTAATATAACGACACAGTAACAATCAAAAATCAATTGATCTTAATGAACAAAATTAACCATTAATCATTAGCCAAAAAATCAAGGAAGCAATCAGAATAAACAACAATCAGTAAATGATTAACTTGATCAATTTTAAATGGTAAGATTCATGTCAAAGTTTCAAATGAAAATCAAAAACTATCAACACAATCAGTTGATTAAAAATGAATTTAATGAAACTTAGCAATTGTTTACAATTTAGTCAATAACAACAATCAATGAGCAAAATGAAGGTAAGTAAATCGTTTCAATTGTAGATCTTAATTGTGGATTAAGTGAAATATTAGAAAGTTAATTTTTGATCAACTTTTCTTTCAAAGCCCAATGTGATCTGGATGTTAATTAGTGTCTCAATTGGATTAATTACAATTAGTCGATGTGAAATTCGGCTTAATTTCCGGATTAATCTTCAACCCTTTTCATTTGCTTTGCCGAGATTCAAATTGCCTCCCATAAGGATTTCCGCTCATTTCCTGCCCTCCCCGCCCTCTGAACATGACCCACCGCCTCGGGCATTGAGTTTCCCAGGGATAACAGTGACTGGACAAAACAATTACCCAAACAATTTGCACCATCATCGGATTAATCAAGACGAAGAAGAGACAATTTATCATCACCAACAATCAACTTCAATAATTGATTCAGATGATCAAGTTAATCACAATCCAACAGTTGATTACAATCACCATCCAAATGATTACGATTAACTGTTAATCCCAACTGATCAGTTCATCGGTCAAATTTGACTAATTGTAACTTCAACGATTACAATTAAATTGTTATCACCGTAACTACCTTTTAATTAGACTGTGTAATTATGTAATTGTTACGATGATTTATCAATATTCAAGTTGATAATTAATTTCATTAAATAGTTCAAATGATTGATCATCATGAACAAGAACATGATTAATTGTTTTTCTCTAATAATAGTGAGTAATTAACCCGAACAATTAGTGTCTAATTAATCAATAACAATAAAAATCAAACACAACCATAGTTAACTTTTTGTTTCATGAAAATTTAATTGTCGTCGTAATTAGATTAACAATTAAATCGGAGTTAACATAAAGTATACAAATTGTACAATCAAATGAACCACAGATAAATATCAAAAAAATATTACAATGTAATAGTTATATGAATGAACGAATTAAATTTTCTCAATTCGTAATCACAATTAATCACCAAATTATCAATTTCTTTTCTTGTTCGTGATTGGTAATAGTTAATTGTGTCATCAAAAATAAGAGTTAATTGGTTCCCCGAAAATTTTCTCAATGTCTCCAAAAACGATTAACAATAATTTCTGAATTTCATCTGAATCGTCCTCATGAAGTTCCGCCAAGAATGGAACTGCTTCCGGAATATATGGTGTGTATTCCTCGGTCATAGATAAGATTAATTGATGGAGAACATGTAAAGCTTGATAACGAACCTGAGGGAACAATTAAAGAGAGAGAAAAATCAAATCAATTAATTTACCATAATAGAAAAGAAAATATCAAAATTAGAAAGTTCAATCAATTACCTTAGCTGAATTCTCCCTGGTTTTCAATAACAATTGGTAATTAGCATCTTTCACAATGTTATGGTCATTTACCGACTTGACCAAATGCTGAATACAAGGGATAACACCTTCATCGATTCGTTGACAGTATTTATCATTTGGACCAAAGTCATTGGTGATCTGTAACAATTAAAGAAAAGAGAAATTAATTAATTGTGGATATAGTAAGTTACATATTTTTTTTCTAATCAAAAGTTTGCTTCAGAATCAGTTGATTGTTTCCACACATAAGTGAGTTTACACTTTTCAGGTGACGAAAAATAAAATTTACATCATTTGAAGCGAAAAATTGATTAATGGACAACAATTACGATTAATTTACCTGATCCAATATCAAAGGATATAATTTTTTACTACGATCAGGAGTGGCAAAAGTAGAGGCGACATCGTGTTGGAAACTTTTAGCTAGAGTGGTCAGTATATTGCTAATGATTAAGTGACCAATTTGTTCATTGTCAGTCTTTGTTTTATTATCGTTGGATAATTTCAACATCCCGTTTTCAGAATTAATGTGAAAAGCTTTTAATTGTTTGATACAATTAATCACAATATAAGGAGCAGCAAATGCACTGAATAGATTTTTCAATTTATCGGCCAATTTGTTGGTTAATCGGTAAAAGGTTAAGACTCTGTGGTAATTATTATTTCCATCACCAGTTTTCACCCAATCATAGACCTAAATAAAAATAATGAAATAGAAATTAATTAGCGAAAAACAACAATTAGTGAAAATTATTCATTTTAAATTGGACAATTTAAACTTTACCTTGTAGAAAAATGATCTGAAACTGGCCTCTGATAGTTTCGGCACGAATGAAGTTATTGCATCTAAACTTTTATCTTCAATCTTATTGATTGATTTAATATCCTCATCGGAATCACAATTAACTGATCGATAATCCAACAATTTGAGAGCAAATTTTTGCAAATTAACCATATTAGGTTCAATTTCATTCTTATCACAATCTTTTAATCCTCGATGTAAAATAGTTAAGCAAACATAACGTGGTTCCTGTAGGAGAAAAAAAAACACAATTAACAATCAAAATTGGTCAACAATTAACAAATGTCAAGTTGATCTTACCGATGAATCAAGCTGATCAAAAGCTTCTTCCAAACTTTCAATCAGAATTCTGAATGGAACCTCATTAGCGATATTAATTATAACCTTGTCAACTCTTATACTCATACCAGTGAAACTACAGTTTCTATCAAGTTTACAAATCTACAAACAACAAGAGAAAAACAAAATTTAATTAGTGAAGAAAAAGTGACAATCTAAATATTAATTAAAGAAAACACCAAACAATTAACTTACCGATATTAATAATTGACAAAGATCTGAGCTTAAATATTTACCAAAGTATAAGGTTAATTTACTGAGAGCAGTTAAACTACTAAGTAATAACACTTCCGACCTAAAGGGAGAGAAGAAACAAATTAACAATTAAATCACTTAATTAAATCAATAATAACAAAACAATCAGGGAAAATGATAACCATTAAGAGATCAGAGTTATTTAAATCCACACAAACAATTAATTCAGGTGACGAAAAATAATATTGGACATCATATCTCAAGATGGTTAGAAATTAAATTAGTGAAACAAATCATAATAGAAACATGAGAAACAAAAAACTCAAAGTAATTAATGAGTTCCAGTGTTTTCATGGTGATAATATGATCAGGGAGAGAGAGAGAGAGAGGGAGAGGAAAGGTGATACATCTAAATGATTAACTTACTCTTCTTTTAGGGTTGACAAAATGATTGACATAACAGATGGAATTAAAGACAAACAATCAGTCTTTAAGCAGCTAACTAGCTGAGATATACAGAGTATCATTGAAGCAATTAAATTGGTGTTGGCAATTTGAGATCGATCTTCACAAAGGGAAACAATTGATTTCAATGCGAAAACAAGGAAATCAATTGAATCAGAATCACCCTGTAAAATTTTAGATAATATTCCAATGCTTATTAAACCAGTTTGTGAGGTGACAATTTGAATGTCACTTTTATTTTCCTTAAGATCACCAACAATTTTCACAATTGGTTTAATGAAATCTCGTAACATTGAAATCTAAACAGGGGAAAAAAATAAAAGATTAGTGAGTAAAAAAAAAGATTAATCAATCTGTAAGTTTTAAATTGTTAATTGTTGTTTACCTTTGATTTAGATTTGTTGGCAGGTAATCGTCCATTGAGTAGGTCAAGTGCTTTACGACGGACGGGTAACGATTCTGAACCAAGAAGACGATGAATAACTGAAATAAACTCAGGTTCGGGCAGCAATACGTTAACCTTTGAAAAAGAAGAAATTTCCAAGTTAATCGAGATGATCAATTAAAAGAATTAAATTAAATATTATCTCACCTTTTCGAGGACATTAAGAAGCTCTCGGTTGAGTCTACTGTTACCACGATTGGCCTTGTTTTCCGGTTTATTACAATAATCAATGAGAAGTAAATTAGTCTCAAAGAGTTGATTAAAGAGATCCTCTAAATTGGACCATTTTGATTTAGCAATTGCTGAGACATAATCTTCAGAGGAAACAATTAGATAAATCGTGAGAATGGTTTCTTTTGCAAAATCAACTCGATTAGTTAACTCGGGGAAACGATGATTTTCACCAAGAGCCTCGAATGAACCATTATTAACTATATTATGACACATTGACATTAGTTGATTAATTGTGGTCATTTGAATTGTCGCATCAAAACCAGTAACTAGGGCAGAGATAAATTCTTGGATAAATTTCCTTGATTCTTCAATTTCAAGTGAACGGCGAATCAATTTATAAACAATGTACCATAAAAATTGCTCCTCTCCAAGAAGTGAGGTCAACTTTTGGAAAAGATATAATCGCCGATGAAGAGGAATATCATTAAATGAATCGGTAAAAGTTTCAATTATCTTCTTCTGTGAATCCTCACTGGACATTACAAGACCAGGAATTATTGTCTCCATTGTATCGTCCAAAATTTTGTGAGTATATTGATCATCACATTTGATCATATCGTTGCCAATAAAGCCAAAGATGACAATTATATCACGAAGAATATCATCTTTCAGATGACCTGAGATTCGGTTAATTATGGTTAATGCTTGCATCCGAGTTTCTCTTAAACGGGCATGACGAAGACTCTCCAAGATGTAGACAAGTTCAAAATTGGTTAAATCAATTTCAGGTTGATTAAGACAATTAGATAAGATGACTAGTAGGAGAGATCGAAAATATTCCGATGATGATTGCTCTTCCGAGAGAAGATTTTCCTTGAGAAGTTTAAAAACTGTTCCCATTAATTGTTCGGCTCCGGTGAAAATCTCTTTGGAAGCAAAAATTTCAAGTAGCATAACAATTTTCTTCCATCTATCCGAATCTTGATTTAGAACAATCTTCTTTTCCAATCGACGTCTTTTAGCTTGACCACTTCCTTTATCATCTTCACCTGAATCATCTAGATCACCACCAGAATCAATCATGACACTGATTATGTAGGAAACAAGTGAACCATCAGTTAGAAATTTTCGCAATTTTCGTCGGCAATAGTTATCATTGTGAACTTGGATAACATCTAGAAGACATTCAATCAGCAATCGTTTAGAATCATCATTCAATTGTTTAACATATGAATTGTTGAACAGGTTTAATAACATTGGACGATAATCATCTGAAGTGAAAAGACGTTGAAGATTCAATCGAAGTTGAAGATTGACAAAAAGATTGCTCGAATTATCGAGAACTGGAAGCATTTCTATGATTTTCCTCCCCGCAAGGTAGGTCAACTGCCGTTCAGATAAATTGGTTGGTTGAAAGTGTAACAATGACAGGAAAAGTTTGAGACAATCAATGTTGTTATAATCTCGTAACATGCTTGCTAAACCAACACGTACGGTGTCGGGAGTGTTGGGGTCTTGTTTAATCAATTTGGTGATATTTTTAAAAGTAATTGAAGGTAATTTAATTTTTCCAACAGGTTGATTGTCTGTCCAGTATTTAGCGATGGCGATACTAATTTCTCGTGGATCTCCGGCCAATAGTTCCTTGTATTGACTGAGAAATTGTATAAAAGTACTTGGTTTAGAATCAATGTCCAATAATTTAACTGCGATCGCACGAACTGCTGAGTGGGGTGATTGAAGAGCAATACAAAGTGATACCAATTCAATTTCATCGAAATCATTTTCTACCATAAAGTGGGAAGAAATTTCCAAAGCTCGAGCTTGAAGAAGAGGATCTTCTGTCTTTACCCAAAGGCCGACAAGAAATTTTGGACAAAATGTTCGAATTTCTTTTACGAACAACTTGAGAAGACTTTGGAAAACTGGTTGAGCTTGAATTTTCTCATGGTGACAATTGTTACACAGAAAATTGAATAATCCATTGATATAATTATTCTCGGTGGTTTGTAAATGCCAGAACCAAGGTTTCAATCCGGGTGAACATTTTTTATGTGATAAAAGTCGAGTGACAAATAATTGAACCATTGATGAGGTGACACGTCTCTTGGTAAGGTAATTGATTGATGAATTGATGAAATCTTTGATACAATCAAAATTATCAGCATCTTCATAAGAGGTTTTCTTGAATCGGACAGTTGATGGATCAACCAGTTTGGCTAAAATTGAGATACAAGTTAACGAAAGCTCATTGATTGACTCGTAATTGTCATTAGCTGTTTGTAAGGGTAAAAGGTGGAAAATAACACAAAGCCCTAGAATTTGTTTGCGATAATTTTCCGATCCTGATTGATTAAGAACTTGTAATAAGGGAGAAGTTGGATTTTTGTTAATATATGAAGCAATTCGTTGTGTAACAAAATCAATCGATGAACCATAATCTTCATTGGCTATAAATGTTTTCAATTGTTCGGTGTAAATTGATTTAGTCCAATCAAAGAGTTTACGGTTTGTTTTTTCAATGTCCGTTTCGAAAATGACGGAAAAAAGGGAAAGGCCAGTTTCATCTAATGGTATGAAATAGTCGACAAAAAGATCCCAAAATTGTGATTCTTCCTTAAAGTCTAAATTGGAGACAAGCTTGAAACAACTTCGACGAACTGTTGTCCAATCATTGTGAGTCTCAGAATCGTCTTTGTTACGTCTGATCATTTCGATACATCGAGGTAATAATTTTTTCCCATAGACAATTAAATCGGCTAATGGAACCATTTTGATGAAAAGATCACGACAAGAGAGTAATTCAATCAAAACCAATGGATTATTTTCGTGTAAAGTGTTAACTAGTGAATCGGCGATTAATTGTTTGGTTTGTTCATCAGTACATTTAAGGATTTCCTTATGATTCTTGGCAATGTGACACGCTGAGTGTAAACGAATACCTTCATTGGCACTTGTTAGACCAACGAAAACGTTGACATTTTTATCATTCAATTTGGTATAAAAGGGAGAGATGATTAAATTTTCTAAGCCTTTGATTGTTGATTTACTTGTTGCTCCATCAAATTCACTGGGAAAACGTCGTTCCAACACTTGGACAATATTAGATAATTTAGATTTAGCATCAGAATCTGGATTTGGTTTTAACGCCACAACAGCTTCAAGAATTTTACTAATTGTCCATGAAGAAATTTTTAAATTGTCGATTAACATTAGAGCGTTCAAATATTGATCATCATCTTCACATTGACCAATATAATAGGTTAACAGAGAGGTTAGAAAATATTTCGATTGAATTTGACCATTAATCTCAATGAAACGTTTCAAGTTTAAAGTTTTCACAACAATTTCAGGTATTGACTCTAATTCTTGAAATTCGTAGACAATCAAAAGTGTTAGAAGAAAATTTTTCTCTGTATATGAATCAGAAACGTCCAATAAATGTTTAGCCATTTTGGATAAAAGTTTTTCCAATTTAGAGACTTTCAATGTTACCCTGGTAACAAGTTGACTTAAGACAATGTAACAAGATTGAACTAAACCTCTGTCCCGAGATTTGGTACCATAGAAAAGGTAACTCAAAATGATGGTTATGTATTTGTCCTTAAAAGTGTCCGTAAGGACAAAATCATCTTCCAAAAGGGTTACAAGTGTCGAGGTGAAAAATGAAACAACCGCTGGTATTTTATGTTGACTTTTAACCGTTTCAATGATGGAATCCTTTAGATATTCAATGGTAACTGAGCTTGTTTTCAGGTAAGCGATGAGGGAAACCTTTGGCAGTGGGATTGAATGTTTTGATACCGATGATAACCAGTGCCATTTATTGATTGGATCACGAATCTTTAAGCTCAACCTGACAATACGAGGGAAAAGCTTCGTCTCATGGTAAGGTAAAACTGAGATTATTAGATCGTCAAGATTATATTCATGAATTGAATATCTATAGATTAACCATTCCAACATTTTATGGGTGTGGGTTAACAGGAAGTAGGGTGAAACAGCTTGAAAGAGAAATGAACGTATTAATTGGTTTAATTTGTCATTTTCTTCCTTTGATTTAACAGCTCGATCAAAGTCTTTATTGATAACACTAAACAATTCTTCAAATTTAACCAAAGATCCATCGATTGAGCAGATTTGTCGAAAACCAGTTGAACCAATGATAAAATGGGTATCCTTATCTATGGAAAGGGCTTCCTTACGGTCGTATAAAAATGATGCCCGATACTTGGTGTCTCGAAGGCTATTTGTTTGAGGAGCCTCAAGTTTCCGCAATTGGGAGGCTAAAGATGTTTCCTTGTTCATCGTTTAATCTTTTCTTCAATTTTTCTTTTTTACAACAAAAATCAATCGAATCTCAATTAAATCAGTTATTCGGTCACATCAAGAATAGAATAAAATAGTTAACAAATGATTACAACATGGAAAACGTTGATTAATTAACAGAAAAGTAATTAAGAAAATAAAATTATTCCACCGACATAAATGTAAACATCCACATGAGAAAAAAAAAATGTGGAAATAATCACGTGTATGGAAGTTCGTGAAAAAGATCATAGGGGTCGCTGTTTTCGGCGAATTTGAGAAAATTTAATTTTCTCGATTATTTTTAATTCTAATCAATTAACTTTATTTAAATTCTCAATTGTTAGTTTATTGGTGATTTGTTTGGTTTAGATTAATTTGGATTTTAATTGGTTAAGGGGAAAATAAATGGGTGGGTTGATTGAAATTGGAATGGAAATGGAATTGGAAATTTGCTAAAGTTTGAGTAACTTATTTTTCTTGGTGAAGGGAAATTGTTTAATTGTTTGGATTATGATTGTGTTGATTAAATGAATTGAGTTCAATTTAATAAGAATAAGTGTTTTCATGATGATCAATTAATCAACTTATTTTTATAATTGTTGTTTGAGTTTAAGAAAATCACTTGTTTGAGATTTAAATAGTGTTAGAATTGTAATCAAATCGAAATTATTAACAATTGTTAATTGTGATTAGTGATTATCTAAGAAATTAGAATTTAAATTGTGTATGAGAATATTTCAAGAATTAGATTCGAACTTGTAATTAACTTTAAATTCGATGGATTAGAACATCGAATTAAAAGTTTCTCGAAACTCTTTTAGAATCGATTTTTGAGAAAGTCGATCGGATTGAACTCGAAACTTTTTGTACATTAGAATCGATGAAATCGAAGAAAAAAGTTATTAAGTTTAATTGGGAATTTAACTAATTAAGATTTCCACTCGATAATAAACCGAATATAAAAAAATTGGAAACAAATTTTGCGAGAAAAATTAGAAATCATTTAATGATAATAATGATAATATTTGGACAATTAGTTAATTAAAAAGATACCATAATTATCCAATTATTTATACAATTGATTTTACGACAAAAACAAAATAAATAATAATCTTGTCATTTTCATATTACAATATAACAATTAACAATTAAAGGTAAATTACTTTGTTAATGTCTAATAAGAAAAAACGAAATTAGGAAACAATTAACAATAAGGAGAAACAATTAAATGATTAATTAAATAAATATATAAGTTAATCAATTAGTGTCCAAATATCATTTCCATCCAAAAGCCAATGATATAAAAAGTTGAGAATCAGCTTCGTAATTGGTAATGTATTTAATTCCTGAGTGTTAATTGTTACGAGATTGTTATCCAAATTACAATGTACTTCCATAATTAACCATAATCATGATTGTAATAATCAAATTATATTATCGATGCTAAAAAATAAATAAAATAACGATTAATAAAAACAAAAGGTTAGATGATTAATCAAATTGGTCAATAAATAGATTGTGATGTAATTAAAATCAACAATATAAGAAAAAAGGATTTAAAATTAAAAATATAATTGTAGTAATTAAATTACCTGGAGAAGATCAAGAAAAAAAATCATAATAATCATAACAACAATCAATAAATGATAAACAAAATGGATGCAAATTACTGGTTAAAGTAAAGGCAATTTTCCTTGTTAATTGTCGTAATTTAAATAAAGTTAACAATTAACTTTTTCTTGTTGTCATTTTAATGTCACTTTATGATTTTGTTCAACAACTTATTATGTAATTTAAATTGTTAATTATTACATAACAAGAGAGATACAATAATCTAAAATTGAGCCAGGAACACTTTACTCACAGGGATGTTTCCAATTGTTGGTGGTAATTGTTGATTATTTGGTGAATTAACTGATTGACTGTGATTACAACGACCCTGACCTGGCTCGTTAACAGCTAATTTAAGGGGTAATTGTTGTTTAATTATATTATTAGAAGCACCAACATTATTATTAAAGGCATAATTTAATGGCTGTATTGATGTTGATGATTGATTAATAAATTTATCTGATGTTATTGATCCAGTTGTAGTGATTACGGAAGGAGATGATGATGAGGATGAAGATGATGAGGGTGGTGATGAAGATGAAGAAGATGGAGTTGATGATATGTTATTTAAACCAACAGATCGAGTTAATTGTGAGCTAGTTAATCCAGTTAATCTATCATCAGATTGATCGACAATAATTGCAGAAGAACCGGAAGAAGAGGAAGTACAACCATGAACAGAACCAGAAGAAGAGGAGACACCAGAGTTATGGAAACAATTAGAACCTCGATTATTTGGATTACTTGTATTAACGATTGTGTGAGCCGGTGATAAAATAATTCCCTCCTTCTGAAGAGCCTCCAATTTCCGGTAAAGTGTTTCCCTCTGTTCTTCAACATCTTTCTGTTCCCTTCGAACTGATTCTTTCAATTCTTCCAATGAACTTTTTTCCGCTTCGATTGAACTTTTCTCTTCGTTCAACCTTTTAATCCAATCACTTTTCTCACATCTCAATTGTTCCTGTAAATTTCTCAACTCTTCCAATCCTTGTTCAGGCCGATAAACTGATCGACGATCTGGTTTACTTGTTCCAATTGTCGTTGGTGTTACCGATGAACTTGAAGCCGATGACTGAAAACCTCCAGTTAATGTTGACACACTTGATGATGTTAATCCACTTCCACCACCACCATAATCAAAACCTTTACCACAACCTACAATATTACCACCTCCACTTGAACCTCCACCACCACTACTGGACATACTTGAACTGTGGGTGGTTGAATATATGTTATCCTTTTGAAGTTGAATTATCTTATTATTTGAATCCATCAACTGAAATCTCATATTCTCAAATAAAGTTTGTTGATAATTGAATAAACACTAAACCAGAATCAGAGCAAAGAAAAGAAATATATTAACAACAACAATTAGTTAATTTGGTAGCAAAAATCAATTCAATTAAAAGGTGAATTAATTTTTCTGCTTCACTTTCAAATGAATTTTTGAGGAAAAAAACTGTTTGCATATTAATCAAACTTTAATAACAATCAATTGCAAAAAAAAAGGTAATTGTGATTATAATTATCATAATTATCGTCTAATATATAATAACATGGGAAACAAGAAAGTAATTAAATTAATTCACTTTGACTACCTAATCATTATTAAATCATGAAACCAGAAACTAAAACTAATATTGAATATAAAAAACGAGTAACTCTTAATCTTAAAATGGTGACTATTAAATGCTCAAAGTGATTAAAGTGATTAGAGAGAAAATTAATTCTCTCTTAACAATTAACTAATCATAAATATGAAATATTAATAAATTACCGTTGATAATCATTAATTAACTAATTTAAATGCTCAACAAGTTTCTGTAAATAATATTAATGATTGAATTGATTTAAGGCTTTGAGTTTTTACTTTTGCCTCTTTTTTTTTGCTAATTGTTGTGTGAAAGTTAAATTGTTTCATGTTCAATCAATTAACTTACCATTAAAAGATTGACTTGATGTTGAAGCTCAGCAATTTGAATTAATTGATCTTTTCCTTGAGTCATTAAGAGTGGGGTTGTTGTTAGACGATAAATATCACTTGGGTCGTAAAGAGGTAGAGTGGCAAACATTGATGATGTCGTTGTCGATGATGATGAATTGAGTGGTGAATTTGGTGCCAATGTATTGGTGGATGAAGGGGTGAACAGTGATTGAATGGAGGGTGTCGGTGTTGTGACCAGTGATCTACGTTGATATTTTTCTGGACTTGAGGTTGACGATGAGCACGATTTGTGAATGGTACCAGTGGAAACATTGGTACTTGAATTGTTACCAATAACGGGACCAGATGAACGTCGGATCTCATTGATTGTCGGTCTAATTGATAGGAATGATTCACTGGTGTTTTGATTGTTAGCGGTGGTTGAAGATGAAACTGATGTTAAGGATAACGAATTTGATCCCAATATATTGTTAAGGCCACTTCCATCTGATTCTGCTTCGGTAATCCGACCACTTCCAATACCAGAGCTTGATGCTCGATCTCCACCACCACCACCGACTACAATGATTCCACCACTGGTACCGATCATTGATCCTTCCGTCTCTTTGAATGTACAATCTTTCAGTTGGACGAGTTTCTTTTTCAGTGCATTGAAACGTAGGGTGGGATCTTTTTCCGGATTATCAAAACCACCAAAGGTTTCAGCGCGTTTGGGTAAAATTGGTGAGACAAAAGTGTCACTTTGATGTTCACCCGCCGAGGAAACCGATCGACATAAATTGGTACCCGAAATGTATAAACTATGAGCTATTCTGAAAGCTGAAACGATAAACAAAAAGCAACAATTAGATCAACAAATTGTTCAACATATGAAAATTGTCTCAATTAAACTAACCTTCATTGGCAGCGTTGATAATTGTTTCCGGTGAACAATTATCTTCAATTATTGGCACATATCGGATTAACTCTAATCCCTCCTGTTCAATTCCAAGTAATTCCTGAATTTAATGAAAAGACAAATTTCCAAAACAATAGTTGATTAATTATTTTAAATTCTAATGATTATTGATCATCTTACCATCATATCAGCAAAAATTTTCATCTTATCTTCACACATTTGAGCCATTCGAGCATCTTTTTCGTACATAGAGTTTAATAGTTCACGAACTTTGGCCTTTCGTGCTTCTTCAATTTTCCTTTCCTCTCCTTCTGAATGACCACCGGAACCGGAACCCGAGCCATTGGTATTCTCTTCATCTTCATCAGGACACATTTCAACCGCTTCACGAGTTTGATCAATCAATAATTTTGATCCTTTGCCGTTGGACAGATAAGCTCATACATTTCCGGTTCATGGGGATTAGATGAGATTAAGTAGACACCACGTGACAATTGTCCAGCTTTCTCACGAACCAATAGTTTTTGTAACGAGACAACACTTGACTGAAACAATTAGAACGACACCAAATTAATATTGAGACCAACGAAATCACAATTATCTTCATCATCAGTAACGTGCAAATAAAAGGTTCCCAAAAATCATTCAGACACCGAAATGAGATTAAAATGGCAATTCAATTTTACCATGAAAAACTAACTAAATTACAGATTAAAATTCTGATTCTAGATGAAAACGAATTAAGAACGAGAAAGTGAGATAGAAAAGTTCTGATGGAAACATGATGAACCCTCTGAGGTTTAATAATTTGATGAATAACACAACAAATCATAATAATAATGAACAATTTAAATTGAAAATTCAACCAAATATAACAAGAGTGATGATTGAGATAAATTCACAACAATAATCACCATGAACATATTATCAAAATCATGATGAATTCATGAAATTGTGAAAAATATCAGCAATTTAAATATTATAACAACTACAATACAAATGTGATAAAACTATAACTTAAACTAAGCCAATATCATTGTAATATTATCATTTCCTTACCAAGATCATCAAGATGATGAAGATGATGATAACATTATCATGCATTCAGAATTGTCCTTGAAATAATAACAAAAATGATATATAATTAAATGATTTGACATGTTAACAACAATCAAAGGTTACCTAAAGTTTAATTTAACCTTAAACATATTTGCCAGACTTGATATTAAATTTATAGAGCAACAAAAATGACACAAAAAGATGAGGATGAACATGAACATGATGAAATAAGTGATGAAGATGAGCAAGAATTACAAACAATATTGTCAATGAATTTAAAGGTAACCCTAAGTAAAGGTAAGACAAAATATTCCCAAGGCAGTATTAGTTAAAGTAAGAAAACTTGTTAAAAACTAAATCTATGAGTTTTTACTTTCTTTTTCATCCTCATCCTCATCCTCATCATCATCATCTTCCTTTCAGCACTAAAGTGTATCCATACACTTAAATACATCTCTCACAGTATGAACATTATATTACAAGTAATCAAAGGAAATGTTTCTCAACCTTAAGTAAGTGTGATTCATTTCACTAGAAAACAAAAGTATATAAAAGAAAAGCTAATGTAAAAAAGTACCGTTATTATCATCATCATCATCTTCATTTGATGATGATGATTAAATTGATTAGCTAAATGACAGGGGAAAGATGCTCAAGGAACAAGTTGATTAAGTTGTTAACATATGAACACAATATTATTACATTTGTTATTACATCTTTGTTAATATCTGTTAATGAATTGTTATTGTTAACCTGAAACTGGAAAATTAAAGATAATAATGATAATATTATACAATTAATAGCAATCAAAATGATATAAAAATTTAGTTTTGTTGGGATAAATTGTAAATTTTGTATGATTAGTTTACAATTTAATCTAATTAAATGGTAATTCATTGGTGTTGTTAATAATGATGAGGAAAAAAAAATGATTCCAAGTCAAGGAAAGGAAGATGAAAAATCAGCAGAATCAAGGTCAAGGTTAATGATGATAAAATACAATAACATTAGTCTAGTATCTATGATGATTTTTTTTAACCATGGAGACTTTGTATATCGATGATGAGGATGATAATAATGATGAAGATGTAAGATAATACAAAGATGAAATAATGATCAAAAGGGATCATGAAGTTTCAGTTTGATATTGTTCAGGGTTTTTATTTTCAGTGAAAAGAGGAGGATGATAAAAGAGACACAGTTGAAAGGTTAGGGATAAGAAAAGATGATGATGATGATGATGATTAAGACGATTTTTCTTACATCTGATAATCAGATAATGATGATGATGAGAGAGAGAGAGAGAAACTGAATATTTCAAAGGAATGGTTAATGCGTATTCATGGTAAGGCAAAGTATTTCATTTTCTTAACAATCTTGATCATTAATGAGATTTAATTAATGAGCCATGTTGTTAGATTATGTTTGACAGTTTGTTATAACAGTAAATTCTGAATAAATTCAGACAAGAATCTGAAACTTTCACTGAAATAACAAGAGTAAAGGAAACAAAAACATCTTATTATCATGAAATAAGGTCAATCTTTTAAGATGATTAACTGATGATGATTATATAAGGTGATGAATTAAAGACTCACCTTATTATCTAATGAACAGAAATGATACTTTTGATTGTTTTCTTGAAGTAAAATGATAACATCAGACAAAACAACAGCGACCACATCGATAATTTTACCACGAGCTGATTTCCATGAAATATTGGCCTCATGTCGTAATTTACGATTATTTGAAAGAAGATCAGATTTTCGAAACTTTTTCCCTCTATACAAAGTTGTCGATTTAGCATCGATTTTGTTATAAATCTCAAGTAAACGAATTTCCTTTTCCTTTTCAGCGACCTGAGCATCAACTCGATTGATAACATCCTTAATATGTCTCAGAGCATCTCTCAAGTCAAGATAATCACACTTTGTATCTAAAAAAAATAAAATAAAATAAAGACCAACAACAACAATTAGATTATAACAATTAAAACAAGTCTCAACTAATATAAATTGTCCATACCTTTGGTTACTTTCAATAAGGAATCAATTAACAATGGATACTTAGTTATACGTTGAGTTACAAGTAAAATACATTCAGGAATACCCCTGGTTTTACATAATGGTTTTGCACTGCATTTCTGTTGACAATTAAGATAAGCAATTGATTAAAAATCAGAATGATGAGTAAACAAAGTGATTAAAAAAATTCAAGGATTAACTTTGATGATGGTGATGATGTTCACCTACTTTCTAGATTTAAAGTAAATAACTGTAACTTGATAATGTTTGTTTACCATGTTGAATATGTTAATCTCTATGTATTAACCTTGACCTCAAAGGTTGGAAATGTTCATGTGTAGATTAAGATTAGGATTGATCATCATCATCATCACCATGATTATCTCGTTAATCATACTAATTGTTAATCACTTACTTTGATAAAAGTTTGGAATTTTCTATCAGTCTTTAGGATATCTTTATACAATGAGAGTGCTTCTTTATGTTGACTACAAAATTGACCATAACAATTTCTTAATTGTTCACCATTTGATCCGGAAAACTGATCATTTTCATCATTAATCCAGTAAGAGTTAAGATAATCCAAGATAATCAAAAGAAAAAAAAAATTAAAAGTTAATATTTAGTTTGGTAACAAGATATAACATAAATAGGAAAGAATCACAATTTATTTGAAAAGTTAAAATCATCTCAGTGAATCGAGATGATCAATCATTGTCATCTTTATCATCTGATGATGAAAATAACGGTTCATATTTATGAGAAAGAAATGAAATTTCATCAGAGATGAACTCATCCAAATAACATCAATAACAACAAGAATAACAATTAAAACCATGTAACCAATTTAAAGGATAATTTAGGAATTGATTGGATAAGGGAATAAACGAAAAGGAAAAAAAAAATTTTTTTTTCTCTTTCAATTTTGTTCATCATTTTAACAAGAGAAATTCAATTGGAATCATGTTACTCATTAGATGGACATTCTGAGTCTGAACTTTACCTGTTGTAAGATGATGTCTCCAATACTATCGATTACAGAATCGAGAGATTGTCTTTCACGTAACTTTTTCAGGAATGTGAGGTGAGTCTCAAGAAGATCCTCCAAACAGGGGAATATCCTTTCCACCATGTCTTTGGTCATATGTAATTCCTTAATCATACCCTGAGCATAAATCTTTTGCATGATCTTAAGGGTTAGGCAATGGTGCTTTTCCGTTATTATTAGCTCTGAGAGAGAAGCACAATCAAGATATGCAAAAAAAAAGAGATGAGGATGATAAGAATGATGATACGAAAGAGAAGAGGATGTGAAGCCAAGAAAGAAAAGAAAAGATAAAAAAAAGTAAGAGTAAAAGTAAGAAATTAATTTCAAGTCCATTGAATATCATCCATGTTGTGTGTGTGTGTGTTATCATCATTATCATGGTGAATACAAAAAAAGGGACACAATAGATTGAGATTCAGGCTCAGGTTCCTGGGTATAAAGTCAATTATCATTGGTCAAACAATTGGGTCAAAAGGTAGTGTAACCATTGATGTATATGGAGTAAAAGTCTTAGGAGAGTGGGAAGTGGTTGATAATTGAGATTCCAAATGATAATAAAATGCTTACCATGAATAACCTCTTGTCGTCTGATGTCCTTTTCCTTTAATCGTTTGAGAACCTGAATAATGAATAATAATAACAATATAATGAACATCAACAATCAAAGGTAATCGATTCAATGAGAATACATAATAATCAGGGTAATCAACATGGTCAATAATCAATGATAATAAAAGTTAAATTGTCATCAAAATGATGATCATTTATCTTGAAAAGTCCGGAAGAGAATCGGAAAATATCAAAAAAATCATCAAACTAATCAGTTTCATATCTCAAGGTAATCATCATGATTATACCAAGAAATTAATATCATTACAATTATATTGGATTATATTCTTAATCAATGACTAATTTGATTGATTGTTCATTAGTTTAATTACCTTTTTATCAACTGTATTGTTCCAGGATTCTGGTTCATCATCCAGAAGCCTCAATATTAAATCATCTTCAAATTCAGAGGTAATTATTTCGGCAACTCCTTCATCAAGTGACTCCATTGAACCAGAATTAGTCTCAACCATGCTAATTAAAGGTTTTTAATTGTTCATTAGAAGAGTTAATTAATTGTTACTCTTTTTTTCCAACTTACTTGCTGTGTCCATCCTCACCAGTGTCCAGTTCCTTGTCCTCACAAATGACTTTGCTGTTGTTATAATGAAGACGAAAGGAAAAAATCTTGATTAAAATGATCAATTTTCAATCAACACAATTAAATTTAATTTAGTTCGTGCAACTTCAATGCAATTATTCAAATAATAATAAAAATCACAGGCAGAAACAAAAAAAAGTAATTGATAAACAATTATAACATTAGATATGATTATCTCATGTTCATCATGTTGATGATTAGTTAATTGTCATTCTAATAACGGTTTGCAATTAACACATGCAAAGTTAATTGTTAACTTGCAGTACAATTTATTTACAGTTAACAACACACATGCAATGTAATTTAAACCAATACTAAAGGATAGTGATTAGTTGATTATACTTGATTAATTCAAATGATAAAAAGGTTACGGTGTTGCAATTAAATCCATTGATTGTGATAACAATAATGAAGGTGAACAGTTAATTGTAGTGACAATTAGATTTTGATCATTATCACAGTAACATTCAGATTGTATTAGAATCAGTTGATTTGTGGTTCACTGATTGTTGATGGTTAAATGAGTTGTTAATTGTTGTTAACATTGATTTCCTAAAGTTAATTGAATCTCAATTTTTAAGGTTAATCAACATGAATACAAACTAAAAAGTGAACAATTAACTCAATATTACTCATAAATCACCATAGATGATTATCGTTGAGAGACCAAATTTATTCAGAATGGAAATTGATTAATCCAAATTTTAAAAAGTAAACAATTAAATATATAAATCCTGGTAATAATTAAATCACTTAGTATAATCCTTAATCCAGTTGATTATCCAAATTAATTGTAACAGTTGATCAACAAAAAGTTTACAACTTAAACTGTTAAGTTTCAGTAAAATCACAATAAGATTGAATAAAATTAAACATAATTAACTGTCAATAAAGTATTGATCAAATCAGAGGGAGATCTTTAATTTAACTGAATTAATTTAATTGTAGTGATGAGTCACACCAAGAAATGAGTAAAACTAATTAGTAAAAATTTGAAAATCTAACATTTGAAACAAAAAGCAGAGAGTCACAATTGTTTGAATTGATAGAAACCAGTTGATAGGCATTAATGGAGAGAGAGAGAGAGAGACTGGAAATGATGAGGATGAGGATGAGGATGAAGATGATGATAAAACTGTAAAGATTCCAGAAAAGATTCAACAAAAAGCAGTTAAGTTTAGTTACACCTCAGTGTGACATCGACTCTCATGAAAATCATATTCAGGAAGAAAATGAGAATTAAGATAATGGCTGAAAGGAAAACCTTAGTAATCTTGAAAAAAAGATGATGATGAAGATGAAGAGATGAAGATGAGAGTTAAATTTCTTGGAAAATGTCCTAAAAACGGTTTGTAAAGATGACGAAGTAAAACAAAATGCTAAACAGATTCAATCTAAAATAAATATAAACCTGAAAAATGAACATCATGGTTGACAGTTTCTTGTTGTTGTTCATTGCAATTCATGTCAATGACAATCCTCATCTTCATCTTCATCCTCATCCTTATCTTCATCATCATCATTACCATCAAGGCGACATGTAAGTTTGTGTGAGTGTGTATATATCATAATGTAAACACTTACTCATAGAGATAAATAGTAAACCTCAATGTAAGTATTTAATTAACATTGTTTTTTTCGCAATCAATGATCAATGTTTCATCTTCCGTTAATCCATTCAAATGATTATCTTGATAAATTGAAAGGTTTCTTCAAATTTCATGTTGATTCAATTAATCTCATCTAATATAATCTGTCAGTCTGAATAAACTTTGCCACTCTAATAATTGGTCACCATTCATTCAGTGATACAAATATATTTACATGAATGTTCAAGGGAAAAGATTATCAAAATTATATCTTCATCGTTATCATGGGAAAAACTGAATTAACCTTTGGTTAAGATGAGAAGAAAAAAAAGTTCTGAGTTGACTGAGTAAATATTATTTCCTAAATGTAATGTTACATAAGTGAGAAAAAAAAAGTTTCTTTTTTTAGACCTTAGATTAACTTGGAAAATTGATTAGTTAGATTTACTTGGTAAGTAAATTTAATTAACTATCTTACAGTAATTACTACAATCAAATAGATAATATTAATAATAATAATCAAAGTTTATTGTTAATTGAACAAATTGGTTTGGATGATTAAGATAATCAGAGTTATATTCTGGTTGATCAAGAAAAACAATCAGAATCCTTTTTCCACAGTTTCAGTTTAATTAATGTAAACTGATTGTATTATAATCACAAAATTAATAATAATAAACCATTAAATTAATTAACCAACTTGAAAGGTTTTAACTGTAACAATCAACTTTATAAATAAACATGTGAAGGACAAAATTAACTTTGATTACGATAATCAAATTAACGGTTAATTTTTGTTTACTATAAGTAATAGTGGTATACAAGATAACTGCAAGTTGTAATTGATTTAGATGATGATAATGTTGATTATTATGATTAACATGATTATCATCATGGTTATAGTAGTGGTTGTGATGGAGGATGAGGTGTTGGTGGTGATAATGATAAATAATGATGATGATGGAAGATAATATAAGATGAGAATAAGATAAACATGGAAACCAACTTGATGATTCTCTCTCACTCTTTTCCAATCAATTGATCTAATATTATCTTCATTTTTATCATCATCAAATCCAGTTGAAGATAGAAAGAGTTAATATCATGTACCTGGGACGATATCATCTCTGGTCCCAGAGGAAGTTACATTGAGATGATGATGAAGATGAGGATGATGGTAAGGAAGTGAGAGAAAATTGAGACTTTCGATTGAGGGAGAAACTTTTTCAAAGAGAAATATTAGTTTCGATTAGTTTATCTTCCAGGAAAGATGATCATAAAATAGATAAACATGATTATTTATTATCAGAATCATCATCTTAATAATTATTATTATCTTCATCTTTAACTTGTCATGTTGAATCAATTTGTAAGAATCAGCTGATCATCATCATCGTCATCATAAAACCAAAATCAGTTGTTGTGTTTTTCATATTCAATATTTTAACAATTGTATCAGATTAAATTAACTTATCAACTTTTGTCAATTGTATATTGAGATGATGAGGATCATGTAAAATTCAATCATACTCATGATCAAAAGTAACAACAACAAGTTGATTTAACAATATCAACAATCAAAATGAATAATTCATTGATTATTTTAATATTTTTTTTCTTGATTCATTCAACGATTGAGAAAGATAAATATTGATGTATCTTAATAATCAATAACTAGTCATGTTAAAATCTCATATTCACCCAATAAGTTGGTATAGTTAATCAAAAGTATAACAGAAAATTGGATTATGAATTATTACTAACAAATTGTTATTAATAGATTTACTTTAAGAAAAGAGCAAGAAGATGAAGATGATGATTATGATGATGATGCTGGTGGTTAGCAAACATGTAATATGATGCTATCATTAATGTCTCAATATTTACCATGGAAAATGTTGTAGACTGAAAGTTATTTACAGTTATGAGTCTTGAGAATAATTCTTTTGACCAATTAAGATTTTGACATTTAAGATATAAAAACAATAACAAAAACATTGGATCGATCATCTTGAAATAATTTGAAGATTAGATGAACAAAATGAAAGAGAAATGATTTATATATAAGTTATTATCATTTTCAATCAATTCTCATGATATGGTGGCTATTCTGAGAGAGAGATGAAATAACAATCAGAGAAAAGTAAAGATGACTTAAGGGAGTAATCTAGTGTTAAGATTGGTGGATATTTTCATCTACACCACTGACCACTACTGACCACCCCTATGTTACTTGTATCACTTTTTTTCCTTGGGATTTACTTTTGTAAAGACTTACAAGATTCACCATTAGATTGATCAGTTGGATGGTCAAGTTTTTTTTTGTTTTCTATTGACCATTTTACTTTTTCATTTAGTCGACTAATGAATTAGGTTAATCATAATCATCAGTAGCATAGATTAACAGACTAACGATTTATAAATCATGAACTTTATAAGTATTGAATCAACCATTGGTTAATTTTTTTAGATTAAACTCTAAACCAGATTAAAATCAAATTACGTTGATTTTTTCATCAAGACAATCAGTGAGCTTTTATAACTAAAACAAGGTGTACAATCAGATTAGCTGATTAATCTCATTTTGATTTTGATTAAACAGGATACCAGAAATTTAGTTGCTAATGAAAAAAGGTAAACAATTAACTTCCTCCCAACAAATAGGTAGACAAAATTACATAGGAAATGCAAGGATCAATTTGAAGGAAACAGATAATTAGATGAGTTTTATTTTTCGTGGAAAATGTTGATTAACTTTCCATGATATCGGGCTGACAATTATTTTAATTAATATCTAAAGTAATCAGTGTTAAAACAATAAGATTTTTCCAATCAATAGATCAACTGATTTGATCGTAATCAAATGTTTTATTAGACGATTAAGTTGATTGTGAAGAAAAAAATTTCACCAAAATATTTACACATGAAGATGATCATAATCATGATTGAATTGATTGATTGATCGGATGTGAATCGAGGTCAATACAATTGAACAAGATCCGATTACTAGATTACCAACAATTCAAATCAAGTATATAAATGAAAATCAATTGATTGACTGAATCAATAGTTATCAAAATTCATTTGAATTAAATCAATCAGAGATACAAGATCATGTTACCTAATTTTTTTAAATTTACTTTTCAATTTTTTCAATTGAAAAAGTTAACGACAATTAGGACAATAGATTAACTGTTAATAATGAACGTGATAGAAATAAATTGTCAAGTTGAAATATTATCACAATTAACAAACATAAAAAAAAATCTAATCAACAATCAGTGGATTATATTGAAACAGGCAAAGGTTTGTTGTGAAAAACAAAAGTAAAAGTTAATATAACGAGCAACAATTAACAACAATTAGTAGAAAGAGTTAATTGTAAAACTCACTTAACACCCAATTTGGTGGCAACTCGCCTCCATTGTGAATAGCCACTTGGTGTGTATGATTTACGATTAATGCTAATCAGTTGAAAAAGAAAGAGTTGATTGTAATTAAGAGACAATTAAATTGTGCAAAATTTTAATCATCACTTGCAAGTTTTAATTAACCTTTGATTTTAAAGTCTCATTAAAAAAGCATCAAAGTTTATTCACAGGGAATGGTAAAGGTAAGAAAATGAAGAGAGAGGATTGGAAATGCTCAAGTAAATTTATTCAACTGGAAAGTTTCAAAGTTATTCAGGGTATTCATCATGAATTAATATAATAGATCTTGAATTGAGTGAAATGGTAAGAAAACACAGCGGATATTAATTCTTGTCAAGTTGAATCATTGATGAAAATCCAAGTTTCCCTTTGGAGATGAAAATGAAATTGATCAATAACATGAAAAGAGGACAAATAAGATGATAGAGGATCAAGAAGAGGATCAAGATGATGCAAGACAAGGATTCTCATGATAATATTCATATTATTAATCGATGACCTTTACTATGAGTATTTTCACCGGGCTTGGATTAGTAATGAACCATTCAAATATCTAGTCTGAGTTAATATTAATAATCAGACAAGTTTGATTATTAAATTATGATTAAAGGGAGAGACACTCACAGATACAATTCAGACTTACAGGTAAACATTACCACCCTCTGAATAAGATGAGGGTGGGTGGAACTGATTAGGAGACTCTCAATAGGAATATATATCAATTTAGATTATCATTTTCTTCATTCATTCAAACTCAACTTACTTACTAATATTTTGTTTACAACATTAGTTTTCTTGGTTGTTTCATCTGGTTGATTTTTAAATTGTTTTCAAATTGTTCATTTTATCACTTACCTGGGTGATGATGATGATGGTGGTTTACAGGTAATACCCTGAGAGTCATGGGAAGATGATAAAGTGTGAGATGATGATTGATGACTTTTACAAAATCCACCGAGTTTTTTATCCTTAACCGATGAGGTGGGAGATGATGATTTACCATTTGATCCTAGATGAGGGATGAGGCAAGGGGCGGATGCGGAAATGATGAAAACAAATCGATTGAGAAAAATCAGTAAAATTGTAAAATATAATATATATATATGAATCATGCATGAATCAGAAAAAAAAGTTAATGAGTTACAATTAATTGAATTTAAAATGATAAAATATGATTTGGAAATCAAAAGACGATTATCATCATGCAGAAATAAAAGAGTCAATGTCATGCATTGGAAATGAATGAAATGGGATTTGCATTGCAGTTAATTAATTAATTATCATGCAGGAAGATATTGAATGGAACTGAATTGAAAATAATTGTAGATATCAGATGAGATACAAACCAATAGGAATAGGAAACTCTTCCATATCTGGACATTCATGGAGAGATGGGAATCCTCTTAGAGGATGATAATGATGTCGGCCTGATGGGTTAGGAGGTATCATGATAATTAATTGTCATGAGTTTTTTGTTTATTAATTATCATCATTTTTGGTAAATAATAGCAAAGGTGAAGAAAAAAAAATCAAATTAAGTTATTTCCATGATAATTCAATTTCAAATGCAGATGATAAATGAAAATAGGTTATTATTATAATGGTCAGCAAAGGTAAGCAATCAAGGGTCATAATTATTGGTGATTGAAGTAGAGTTCAAGCAAAGATGCATCAGAAAAGCACCAATATATTGATAATTATTGATTTTGAAATGAATTCTAATAATAAAAACTGAGAGAGACAGAGAGATTGAGAAAATGGTCAACTTACCCAGAGGAACTTGTAACATTGGTGAAATGGTCCGGTCTTTAGTGGACAATGCCAAGTGACTTGGTTTCTTGGCAAGACGAAACTTATTGCAATCTAATATCTGATCCTTACATGAACTATCATGAACAGTTACCATACAATCTGAGGTAATTAAGGATGCAAAGAAATTAGTGATTAATACAACAGGTAATCAGTTAATCTATTGACTGGTCAGTTGGTCAGTGATGATTAAGGTGAGTGTAATACACTTACTTTCACATTTAATGGCAGGTTTATTGGCTAATGCTTTTTTACAAACATCACAGAGAGCAGCAATTGAATAGCAAACGGACACAAATTGGTGAGGTGATACCTTTTTTGTATCTTTATCCTTCTGTGTATCAAAGACAATTAAAACATTGAGATTTGATTAATTAGTAAATTTTTCTTTGTTATTGTGGGTCAATGACATCATTTGAATCACGGTCAATTGTGTGTGGGTTTTTAATGTTAACCGATTGATTGACCGGAAGGAAGTTACGATCATCATAACAAAAATGATGATGATGATGATCATCATCATTAGAATAATTAATTAGCTACTTACTCGTTTCTTTCGGAAAAATAAACTTCCTCTTTTTTTCCTCTTTGAGATTGACTTTTCATCGTCACTTTCTTGATTACTGATGTAGGATAAATTTCTGATAACAATTAAGAAAGAAATAGAAACAATAATTAAGAGATTAATTATACAACAATATTATCAAATAATTAAGTTGATTAAAAATTGGATTAAGTTTCAAAAGAGAGATTAATTCATGAAACTGAGATTCAATTATTATTTTTTTTTTCTTCAGTAAAAGATTAACAATCAACACTTGAAACATTGACGTTTGTATTCATGATTAAGTTAACGTTGAGAAAACAAAGACAATAAAATCAATTATTAATTAAATTGTGACAGTTTAATCAGGGAAAACAAGGTGAATGATTAGATTGTGTAAGATTTGTATTAATATTATATCAAGGTGAGCAAAACGTAATCATTATAATCATTACCTGTAAGGATTAAATATCATAGACAAGGTTGAAAGTCAATGATAACTTACAGATGATTAAGTAATTAATTATTGATTATCATCATCATCAAATTGATAACAATCTTAATGATGATGAGTTTTCATCCCTTTGGTGATTTAATGGTAAATATACAAAATGGAAGCAATAAAAATGTTGATTTAGTTTTTTTTTGGTTCCTCTTGTTAATTGTAAAAGTTAATCAATGTGAACAATGATTTAGTTACAATTAATCATTTGATTACATCTTCATCATGATTAATCATTCAACATTTGGCTAATTGTGATGGTGATAATCTAATTGCTTAACTTTCACTAATTTTAATCAATAAATAAATAAAAAAAAGTGTTAATCTGAAAAAAAAATTTACTGTTAACTTTTTGATTAGTTAATTAATCAATTTGTTTGATTAATTAAACTCCCAGTTAATTTCTGAATATTAATAATGATAATTAACTTTCATTTGGTGTTGAGTTTTAAAATTTCAAATTGAATTACTGTTAATTGTTACAACGAGTTAAATTATAATTTAGCAAACTAATTGAATACATTATTGAAATTTCAAGTCCGGTAGAGTAAAAAAAAGTATTCAATTTACAATTTCAATCACAATTAACTGATTAATTAATATGTCAATCAATTTTAATTTTGTTCCTGCAAAAATTAACCCATAGAGAAGATTAAATCGTAATTTAAAAAACCAAATTGATCAACAATTAACTTGACTGATTTTTGATTAATCTACATGTTAGATAATATTGATTTTCTAGTTGAAATTATAAATATTAATCAGTTCAACAATTTAACTTTTATGAATTAAATTAATTATTAATTCATTTGGGATTTTTCAGAAATTATTTTTCTCCGTGAAAACTAAATTGTGATTAACATTGAATTAGTTTGAAAAGATCAACAATTAAGCAAAAACAACATTATTTAGATGTTAATTGTTTGAGGGTTAAATTAATTCAACTTCTGTAGTCACTTAAAATGTCAAAGTTAATTGTTACAAATAAATTGTTACAATAAAAAAAAGTATATTAAAATCAATCACCAGTTATTAAGATGTTGATTGTTTATATTTTAAACATGTTCATCTAATATAAATTGTCAATCAACAAACAAAAAAAAACGATAACAATTAACTTTTTTTAACGTCTTGGTGATAAAACCGTAACTTAAATTGTCTCAATTATAATAATCAAAATGAAAACTTTTCCTTGAGCCTAAGAAAAGTTGAAATAGTTGAATTAACAACCAATTGAGATGATGATTAAATTAGTTGCATGTTAATTAACTTACTTATCTCTACGTTCCCGGGACGTTGATTGCTCCTCCGCCGCCTCTTGAGCAGCCAAAATGGAGGGAGTTGATATTGATTTATGTAAAGTTGATCGAGGGGGAGTCAGGTATTGATGAGGATGATGATTAGGATGATGAGGATGAGGATGATGTGAGGGTGAGTGTTGATGATTTGATTTGAGGGTTGAATTGGGCATAATTTTACTGGTTGTTGAGGTTAAAAACTGTCTACAATTAGCCAGAAAATTTGAATCAGATGAGGAAGAGGATGCGGAAGTGTGAGTGTTATTAATTATCTGAGGATTAATTGTGTTCATTGGATGGTGATGTTTGGTTTGATTGGAAGAGCTTGTGGTAACAGTTGATTGTCCGATTGTTGTTGTTGATTGAGGTGAGATACTTTCACGAGAAGATGAATTAGATCCACTTTTAGGTGATGGACATCGATCGGTGGTTCCGGTGCTGGTCATTATATCATTCATACTACGAGCACATCCATGGGACATTGTTGATTGGGTTGAAATGCGATTTGATTGTTGTTGTGGTTTTTGTTGTTGTTGACTAGTAATTGAGCTTAAATTATGATGATTAGGTTTGAAAATTGTCTCACTTGAACTTGCTGAAAGTGATCGCGGCTTTTCAATTGGGATCACGTTAATTTGAGATTCTGGTGATCCACTGGGAGATGAGGATGAGTTAAGGACGATATCGGTTGATGAAATTGCGATTCGCGTTTGATGACCAAATAAACTTTCTGGACTTTGACTACCACCACTCAGCGATTCACTATTATTAACTAAATCATCTAGACGAGATGCGGATGCTGATGAATATCGAGTCAAGGTGAAATTAGTTAATTGTTGCTGTTTATCAGCTGTTGAAGATTGACCTTTATCGTTGGCTCGTTTTTTAGGAGATTCTGATTCTCGAGCATCATAAAATGTATCCTCAAGATCAGAATCTAAACTTGATAAACTGATTCTGTTGAGTAAAAAAAAACAAAACAAATTAATCAACAATTAACACAGAAACAATTACCCAAGATGGTAACAATTTAAGTCTAACCAACAAATCACCTGATTATCAACTGATTAAAAGATTAAATCTTATCAAGATGTTGATTAAAATATAATAGTAATTACAACGGATTTAGATTACAATCAAGATAATAATAAACTGTTTCATATTTAAATGAATTTGTCAATATGAATAATGAATTAGGTAATATGATATAATGATTATGATGAAATTATATTAATCTATTAATGATTAAAAATAACCTCTAAAAATGCATTCAATTTAAAATGTGATTAATATTATTAATCATAATTGTAACGTTAATTGTTTCAACGATTAAATCAATAGTAATGATTGTAAGAGTTGGTGAAATTTATGTATCGTTAATAAGCTAAATGTTTAAAAAAGAGGGGAAAATTTTTCTTAAATTGTAATAAAGTTATTGTTTTGATTGTTGTTGTATTATGTTGATTGTTGTGATTTATGGTAACAGTTAATGATAAATTTATCGTTATTATTATTATATTGATTTGACATACATTCTATGTGGTCCATTTCCTTTTCCTTTAATTGAATCACCATTAAAATCGGTTTGATTAATTCCAGATGATTGGTCAGTAGCTGATGACCAACTTTTCCGTCTAGGAATTGGTTCATTGTCATGGTGCTTATGATTAGTATTATTATTGTTACCAGTGGGGTGGTTATTGGCCAATAAAGGTAAACCGTTACGCTTGGCACACCGTTTGGCCGTAGTACCACCAATGGTTGAGATTATCGTTTGACAGCCACTGTTATTGGTCGTGGGTGTTGGTGAATTGTTGGTGTTTATTGTTGTTGTTGTTGTTTCTGTTGGGGTTGTTGGTGGTACTGGGGGAGATGTTGATGATAATGGTGAAGGAGTTGCTACTGGTGACCCACTGATTGAACTAACTAAACTTGAAGGGGTTCCTGGTGTCCGTCGTCCACCCAATGTGGGGCCAATAAATTCTTGTGAGCTTGATGGTGTTAAATCATTTACTTTAATTTTAACGGATCTTAAATCAGTTCCACCCATTGAACTATTATTATTATTGTTTGCATCAAATAGATGAGGTTGAGAATGGTGATCAATGGGGTTTGTGGCTATAGTATTATTTGCATCTTTAACCTTATATTGATAATCATCATCATCATCTTCATCTTCATCTTCCTCCTCTTGAGTCTTATCAATCATCTCAATGGCTGATAATGATAATGATGATGGTGATGGTGATAATTGACCTTGACCGATACAGTCTATGTCGGTTGTCCTTATTGTTGTTGATCCAAATGCTAGGGTATGAGGACGAGTGGGTAGTGGTGGTGGTTGAGGTGGTATCATTGGACTTGATTCTGAGCAATCATCTTCTAGTCGGTGGTTGGAATGAGAGCGAAATTTAACTGTTTTAAAGATGTAATCTTCTGATTCATCATTATCATCATGATGATAATATGGTGGTTCTGATGATATTGATGAAGAAGATGATGAGGATGATGATGAAGATGAAGATGAAGATGATAATGAGACAAGAATCTCTTCCTCCATTCACAGGGAATCGCGAAAACAAAACTTGTTACCCAATTAAACGTAATTTATATAAATTAAATCATTTGGATAAACCATGGAAATGATTATGAGCAATTAAGATACTTTCAGATTATCGGCAACATAAGATTATCTGTTAAATCAACATAAAGAAAAAAACAAATCACATTAAACATTGAAATAGAAAGTTAATCTGATTGAGTTGTGATTGTAAATTGTTACAATTAAAAGCCAATTGTATGAGTGAAAAAAAAGAGTGTTAATAAATCAATGAATGGAAGACAACAAATTAACAATTTAAACTGAATCAATCGATGATGTTATATAAATTAACTAATATTAAACGTTTCGAGATGAGATTAACCTTGAAATTAATACAATCAGAAGCTAATTAATCAAAATTTAACTAGTTATCAATAGATTACTGTATAGTTGTAATAGTTACAATTTAAATGATAGTTAATAATGAATTAAGGATAATCAACCATTTGATAACAATTTACTGATTTACCATAAAACAACAACATTAAACTTGATTAACATGTAATCAAATGATAGATATAAAATAAAAATCAAATTAATCATAATGATTACATGAAACATATAAACTTCTTGATTGTCAATTGAAATTATCATAACTATTACTATAAATAATCAAATTAAATTGTTACACAAATGATATTATCATGATGATTATGATGAATATCACCAATTCAAATCAATTCAATTCCCTCCTTATCAATGTTAGTTGGAGAGATTAATATTATTATTAAGAAATATATTACATGCATCATGTCATTCATATAGAACCTTGAATTTCATGGAGAAATCTTGAAACTGAATCATGATTTAACTTCAATTCTGAAAAATTTCAATCTCATATTGTCTTAAAATTAAATTGCCCTCAAGTCATTTTGAAACATATATACCGAGTAGTTCAAGTTAATTGGATGTTGGAATTGTAATATCAACCCAACCCTTAATAATTTGGTTGATTCCTGAAACTGAATTGACCTAGTGAGAAATGATTAATGATAATTTAATTAACTGATTAACTTTTCAATCGTAATCAAACTTTCATTAATAAGGTACTAGTAGTAGACTTGCAATTGTACATTTTTTATTATCACAACTGAATTGAATTCATCCATGGTGATTTAAATATCATCATGGGTAAATGCTGATTCATTTGGATTTCACTTTTAAATTAATACAACTGATTATGAATTAAGATCAGTTGTACAACAACAATTTACAATGTTCTGAATCTTTTATTTTCATGATAACATGTTGAATCTTTGAATGAACTTTTCTTGTTATATAAACTGATTAATTTTCTCCTTGATTCATGTTAGATTTCAATCTCTTACAGTTCAACTTAAATTCCGGTAAATTTACATGATATTCATGATTCATCATGCAGATCTTTTTAGCAAATGATGTGATGTATTAACTGAATACTTTTTGGTTTCTGATGAAAACCATAATTTGCTGATGGAAATTGAGTCAATTGAATGTCGTTTCCAATGTTCATTTGTTATGTTTTAATATTTGTTGAATTAATCATCATGATTATCATGAAAAATAACCAGAAATTGAAAAAAAAATCTCCCTTTAAATATTGAATAAAGTTCAGTCAAGTATTTTTAGTGATGTTCAGAGATTATATTATGATTTTCAATGAACTTTTTGCTTCACCTTTCGTGTTTACCTTTACATGAGGTTGTGAAACTGAATCAAAAAGCTCAATAAGTTGAACAGGTAGACACATATTTCATGGGCTTCAAAAGGTTTTGACTTTTGAATTTCATCAAGTGACATGATGATGATGAAGGATGAATGATGATAGTTAAAAAATTTCCATGAAGATAAGTAGGTAACTGTTTGGCTAAAATGAGAAAAATTTGAGATAAAATTTGAAACTCTTCAAATTTGATACACAGGGTAAAGCATAATGAGTCTGAAACTTTTTTCCAGATCATCATGATAAATTCATGCTTATCATCCTGAGAGGATTTTACTGTTAACACTTATCCAGGTAAAAAAAATCAAGCATTTATCTCATTTTTTTTGTTTACATTAACGCTACTCGGAATCAAGGTGAATAATAAACATGATATTCATGAGAGTTAAAGTATATATATTTATAAATATATTTAGTCTTTACTATGTAGAAAGATATGATGACCATTGGTCAAAACTATGAAGCAAAAAATCATACAAATTATTGATTCTCAGGGAGTGAATATTATCATGAATCTGATGGATTCGCATATTTTATCATCTATATTTAGAGATAGAAATTCAATTTAGGATAGATTGAGATAGAAAATATTTCATGATAGAATTCGGGAAAAAAGGAAAAGAAAATCTAATTCCAATTAATCAGAGATTCCAAGTTATCATTTTCGCATGATTCTGATATCAGGTATTCCCTCCCTTATGTGTAAGGTCAAGCATCAAATACAATACATGACATTTAGGGAGTTGCAACAAAATAATAAAAATTGATTTAAAATATTAAATCAAAGATAAAGTTGAGATGAGTATGTGAATAGTTGATCAGAGATTGATCATGATAAACAACAGATAGAAAGATATAAATAACGATTTGATTTTCTTCATGATATCAAAACGAAAAGTAACTTAGGAATCGACTCAACTCACAGACAGAAATTGATACTGAACTTTTCTCTCTCTCTCTCTCTCTCTACCTGAATTGATCAGAGTTTCATTTCATATGAAACATTGATAGAGTTACAAGTTTCTAGGACTACTCAGGATTACATGAGATTGGATAAGACGATGATCAATATTATCATCTACTGCATGATGATGATGGTGATGATGATGATTTTTCTTTCTATTTTCTGTACTTTTTTTTTCTGCAAATCAATCGATGACATTAACATTAATCTTCATCGAGTATTATTATTGTGTTTGCAAAAACGAGAAAGAAACGATTCATTTGTAATTCTCAATGATTTTCGTTACAACCAAAATCATGAAATGAACTTTTTATCCATTCTTATTCTGATGAAATTAACTCTCTCCCCTTTTTCCTCTACTATCATCATCCATCTTACATTTACCTATTTATAAACTAATATACAAAAGTTCAACGTGATTTATTAGCTCAAACCGAGAATAATAACTTGAAACTAACGCTACTTTCCATCACCCTGTAGGTAAAAATATCATCTCAATTCATTGAGTCATGAAATTTATTCAAATATGAAACAATTTTCTCTCAATTTCCAGACCAACAAGAGATGTCGAGAAATATTGTAAGACTTACAATGGTGTAAACTTGAATATTACCAGGGTGACAATTTTGTTGTACCCTCCCAGTTAATTGAATCAAATTGTTACATGATTAAAATCATTAATACTTTCATGTTTCTCTTCATGATAAATGGTTTGCCAAAAAATCACCAAGATGCTAAGGTGATTTTCCTGCTATTCTTAACCTTGGTTCCAAGCAAAATGTTGAAACATTTTATCAACTACATTTAACCAAAGTTATCATTTACTACCATGACAAAATATCACATTTACCCAATTCCAATTTACTTTTCCCATAGACATTAAATATTATAATGGTTTTTTCTTGTGGATAAAAATTTCAATTTATTGCTCAGCTAATGCATGATAATTGGATTACCTCGAGTAGACATTACAATTTAAATTGTAATTTAATTTGCTATCAACAATTAATTGTCAACCTTATATATCAAGTTTACGATAATGGTGATGAGAGTTCATTCATCATGAAAGATGACACAAAATTTTGTTAATCTTCATTTTTTTTTCCACTTCCTCATCACTGAATTTATCTGAATCATTGAGATAGAATTTATTTATTTTTAAAATCTACTATTGGTCAACTGGACAATAAAGTCATGTCCAGTTTTACATTATTGGTAAAGTTAATTGACTTTTGTTAACTTGTATTGTATTTAGAAAGCAAAATTTAATCATCAATCATATGTACAAGTAAATCTACAGACTAAATTATTAGGGTGAAATTAATTTCTTACAATTAACTGAAGGGTATGTATATGTATTGATAGTATAATACTAGTAGTTAATTGTTTCTATTTACAATTAGGTTAATCTCATCAAATCTGATCACTTGGTACACTATGTAATCAATAATAACTCAGAGAAAAAGTCAATAATGATTTATAATGGTAACAATTAAAGTGACAACGATAAACAAGAGACCACAATCAATTTTTTATTTGATATTTTTATACTTAATCTAATAATAATAATCAAATTGATAAATGATGATGATGATGATTAAATCAGTTTGGATTTTTATAAGATGATCATTCAAATTGATCAAACAGAATCATAATTGTTATAATCATCATCATCATCGGAATAAGAAAACAACAACAACAACGATAATTTAATTGTGGTTACATGAATTAACTGAGCCACTTATCACACAATGATTGATGGTAATGATGAAGATAATGATATTAACTATTATTGTCTCTTTTTTTTCATTCTCATCTTATTCATGGAGGACAATTTTTTCCTCCATGAAGATGCTGATCAAGACAGAAGTTCATTCTCATCATTAGCTTACATTTTCTGGGTCAATTTGTCCAAGAAAAACACAGTAATCAAGAGTAAACAATTAACCAAGATGCTAAAGGCAATTGTGATTAACAATCAAATATGTACAACAACAAATAGAGTAACAATTTGTTACAAACAATAGTTATTAGTTGATCAGTAATCAATAAATCATAATCAATATTTAATGATATTAATTTTCGAGTCAATTCTGTCAACAATTACCAAACATTGACCACTAATTGTACATTTTTGCAAATCATTAAAAACAAAAGGATATTTGTCTTGAGGGAAGTTTAATTGTTAACAAAAGTGTGTTAATTGTCACGATTTAATTAGTCCAAAGTCAATTGTAGTTTTGTGTATCTCTCATCATCATCATCATCGGATTCATGAGATTCAAAAGTAACCTGATATCAATGAAATTCATTGGTGTGAGCTCAATCTTTGAAACCATGATCATGATGATAAATTCATTGAGATTCATTGGAAGTAAATTTCATGTATCACAATTTAAATTCAAAAATTGTAAACTCTTTCAAT